TTTTATTTATTTCTTTTTATCTTTTCATTTGTTTTACGCATCTTCAGCTTATAATAATTTTCAAAATGTTCATTATGAACATTGGACATAACACACATAGTTTAATAAAATGGCAATACAGCGAGCTGTAATTTCCTTTCCTGAAAAAGAAAATGTGCATCAGGCGTTGAGGTACGTAAATGACAATAAAAAACATTAGAATACTGATAGAAAACTGTAAAATCATGTTTTGGATGAGGAGCGAACTGGTCATGTTTAAAAATAAAATTCATGTTCTGTTCTGTACTATAACTTGAAGAGAACTAACAATGAATGTAAGTTATGCTTACTTTGTGATCCCTCTTTGCAGCTGGTTTAATATACATGTATATTTAACGCACGACTCTTGTTTGAAACCTTTACTTAAAGCTCCAAGACTGCATTGGTGCAACTTAACGAGAAAATAAACACTTCTTTTTATTTTCCCACATACCAATCAGAAAAGAGAGCACCAAAAGTTTTATCTTTAACACCGTCCAATTTATAAGTACAAGGATAAATAGAACAGTCGGTATCACTGAAGTACCCACCTTCTAATATGATTAATTCCGTCTACTTGGACACTAAATACGTTTGAAGAATGATGTCTAAATCCACTAAATGGATTTTACCTGACGTAACTAAAATCAAAATAAATATAAAGATAGCTCTGTCAATATAAGTGTTAATAAAAGAGTCAACAAATCTTTGCTCGATTAAACGGCAAGTTATCATAATTTACATTAAATGTAATTCGTTGTTAATTCATATATATGTTATAATAACTTTTCTTCATATAAAATAGAAAAAGATTTCGTTGAAGAAAAAATAGTATATTTCAAATTTGGTATATATTTTTCACGTGGCTATTTGATAATAAAATTCCCGCAAGAAAAACCGTGAAAAAATGGAATACTCGTCAGACTTGGATTCGAGAAAGTCAAAAAAGAAGAAAATTGACCCAAGGTAAAAGCTTCTTTTTTACGAACGAATAGTATATGAACTAAATAGACATGTATATCTAAAATTCTTAATATTAATGTATTATCTTACAACCTAGTTTTGCTTATAATTTATGAAAAGTAATATTATTTTAAAGCAAATACTAATCAATTAATAAAGAACTTGGACTTACATAAAAACTGAGTGGCAATTGGTACTTTATCTTGGCGTTATATTTTTTTCGGCACCTCAGAATCATTGAAAAATATCTTAGACGCTACTATTTTACATGGCCTACATTGCCGACATTTACTTATTTACTGTTGTCTGAATCTAAAATAATTATAAGAGAACTATCTAAGTATTCTTAATATGCAAATTTAATTAGAAAGTAGTTTTACAGAACTTCAAACAAGTTTTATTATGAACTAATTTAATATATTTCACATTGTATTTTTAAGCACATTGTAAAAAAATCCATATCTTCTGCCTATGCATATCGTACGTTGAACCTGCACATGTGCTATAAACATATATTGTATGTTTAATGCAATAAAATCATTTAGTTTGAGTTTGATTTCAACACTTTCCGTGTTGAATCGTGAATACTGTTTCAGCCGGTGCTAGGGGGCGGTATAACGTTAAGCAATGTTATGAGTAAGATATACTCACAGATTTTATTAAATAGATTAACCAAGTGGGCAGAAATAAACGAAAAAATAAACGAAACGCAGTTTGGGTTCCAAAAAGGGAAGTCTACAATTGACTGCATATTTATATTATATTCTATTATTGCGAAAGCACTTAGTGAAAATAAGAAGCTATTTTGCATATTTGTAGATTATGAAAAGGCGTATGATAAAATTGACAGAATTAAACTTTGGCAAAAATTGATTGAAGAAAAAGTAAGTTCAAAATTAGTATTATCATTAAAGGCAATGTATTCCTCGGTAAAATGTTGCGTACGATATAAAAATGAAACATCCGGGTGGTTTGATTCGGGCGTAAAACAAGGCTGTCCGAGCTTCAGCTTATTGTTCTTATTCTTTGTCAATGACGTCACAACAAATATAAATACAAACATAAATGGTATATTTACAATAGAAGATGTCAAACTCTTTTTACTCATGTTCGCGGACGACGCAGTACTGTTTGCACAAGATCCCACAACACTGCAAAGTATGCTCAATGATTTACAAAATTACTGTAACACATGGGGATTAACGATTAACTCCAAAAAAACAAAGGCAATGATTATCGAAAAGGGTCGCCATACTAGTTATAAATTCTATCTTAATAACACTGAAATTGAAATCGTTACATCATTTAAATACCTAGGAACACATCTGTTTAAAAATAACAACTGGAATAGAACTCAAAAACGATTAGCACAACATGCAGCTTACTCTATGCATAATGTATTCATTGTTATTAATCAAATAGATTTACCCATTAAAGATAAATGCAAATTATTCGATAGCTTGGTAGCGCCAGTGTTAAATTATTCTGCAGAAGTATGGGGCTTTCATGACGGTCAAAATATTGAATAAATTCATACTAAATTTTGTAGAAAAATATTAGGAGTAAAACAATCTACTAACTTAGAATGTCTATACGGAGAATTGGGTAGATTACCGATGAAAGTTATTCGAAAGTCAATTATTCTTAAATTTTGGGTAAAAATTCTAAAATCACTCGATAACCATATCATAAAGTTAATATACAATATGCTCCGAAATGATACTGAAAATAATTTATCCTATAATGGAAATAATTGGGCATTCAACATTAGAGAAATGTTAAACCAGTTAGGCATGACTGATTTGTGGCTTAACCAAAATACTGACGTAATAAATTTGACACAAATTAAACAGGGTATACACGATAATTTTACACAGTCGTGGTATTCACGCATTAATAACACACCAAAACTGTGCTCATACTCTCTATTTAAACATGATTTCGTGTGTGAAAAATATTTAAATGAAATTTCAGAAGCTAAATTTAGAATAACCTTATGCAGACTAAGAACCTCGTCACATGATTTAAAAATAGAAACTGGTCGGTACATAAATGCACCTAGACAAGATAGAATTTGTACAAATTGTAATATGCGAATGGTCGAAAATGAATATCATTTTCTTTTGGTTTGTCCCAAACACACAGAAATTAGGAATAAATATTTAAAACATCATTACTGTAGATGGCCTTCATTAAGAAAATTTGAAAATTTATTATTAACAAAGTCATCTAAAGAATTAATTGGTTTAGGCAAATATGTTTATTTTGCATCGTGTAATAGACAGAGAAATTAAATTCTTTTTTATACTTCCCGTGCTAACTTTTATGTACTTTTTATATTTGAACTTGTATCACTGTTAACATTATATATACTTTATGGCTATAATGTTGTTATAACATTTATGCAAATAAAATGTTGTTGTTGCTGTTGTTGTTGTTGTAAAAAAATCCATATCTTCTGCCTATGCATATCGTACGTTGAACCTGCACATGTGCTATAAACATATATTGTATGTTTAATGCAATAAAATCATTTAGTTTGAGTTTGATTTCAACACTTTCCGTGTTGAATCGTGAATACTGTTTCAGCCGGTGCTAGGGGGGGGCGTTATTTTTTCTTTCATAAACAGACTCGAGCAAACAATTGCAAGTTAAGTTTTCATTACTCTAGAGGGAATTCCGCTTCCAGAACTTTGCCACTTCACATATACATGTAGTTGACTGACATAATTATTGTTCAGTGCAAATCAGTACTTGCAATTTTAAATTTGAAAACTGTTCTCATAGAAATGCAATTAGACAGATATGTCAAATGTTTATAAACAAGCAAATTTATATCATACTAGATATGTATAAATATTCTGAAAAACGCGAAATTCTTGATGGGAAACAGTAACCAATTTTACACCGTAAAACTGGACGACTGGTTTTATTGAAGGGACGGTTAACGAGAGACCTTCAAAACTTCGTAAAATACGTGCTTATTGTTATTATTTTTTATCTCTATATCACTAATTATTATACATTTATTCATTTTTATATTTATTCTTTATCATTATTATTTTTGTCATTTTGATCACTGAATTCTTAATTAATTTTTAATATTGAATGGTTTCCTTGGTTAGAAACAAGAAAATAAGATACATATACCTATTCTATATTGGTACATTGGCACAAAAAGTAAGCTAATGTCTTTACCGTTCTGAGAGCTTTATTTTTTCTATGGTCTCATTTCCTTTGAAAAATATTAAAATAGTGTAGAAATTCAAATATTGAACAACGAACAATGTTTAGCTAAAAAATTTGAAAACGCTAGTTAAACAAAAATAATGCTAAAAATTGCGAGACGAGGGAGTTTGTTCATGAGACAATGAAAATTTTCTAAATCTAAAATGTGTCGGGTGCCGGATGATCCTTAAAGAATATAAATTTGATTAGTTATATTTTCTATATTTAATGACTTACCTTCAATCACTCAAAGTTTATTTGTATAGAAAAAACTGCCAGCGGGAGTTATTTAAATATGCGGTTTTATAAAGCTGAGAAGTTGAACTGTACATAGACACATGTTTAGCTATTTCAGCTAATACAATATTTGATTTAAATTCAAACATTAGTTTTCGCTACAGAATCGTAGTTTTGAATAAGAATAAATATTTTTTTTAATAAATGTTTCTTTTTTTTCAAGGTTTATTAACAAAAGACAATTTTCTATTTTCAAGTTTCAAATCTAAAAGATATCGAGATAAACTGCGGACGGAGGTTAAGGCATTGGAGAACCTTATTCCAGTGGACCGACAAACACTCAACAAGAAGCTTGATAGCCAAACTGTTTACCGCCTTGCCATTGCCTACCTTAGAGTAAAATCATATTTGAAAGGTATGTTGTAAATTGTACATGAATTATTCATTTTTATGTAAAAAATAAGGGTTTAAATTACAAATCTTCATCTTTTTCCTTACTAAAATTTTTCCCACGACTGCATTTGTTAAGCAGTTAGTTGGATATATTTATCATCATGTCGCAAACCGGTTTGTAATAATAATTTTCATGCGGACTATAGCGTTTCTCTTAGTGATCCATGATCACATTTTTTAAGCTAAAGAAGCAATTTTTGTCTTGTGTTAAATATCTTCCCAGTGCCCGTTTTTAAGACTAATTAAAGTATCTATGTTGACATACAACATACATGTATATTTTGAATTATTTTGAATATCATCTCTCACGTATTTATTTTTTCTTCTTGGTCCCATTCGGATTATTTTTTTAAATGATTCCCTTGATCTGTTAAAAATAAATTTTCTTTTTTCTTCTCCGTTTCATATTTCTTTTTACCATATCATCTGTTCAAACACTGTACTGTGCTCATCTTAAAATGTAAATACATCTATGTCAAGGATAGTTTTATAAAAGTGATATAATTATTTTGCCATAAATATTAAAAGCATCTTCAGAATTAAGAATAAAATCTGAAATCGCATGAGCTGACGATTATGTGAGTTTCTTTTCTAAACAACTCAAAAGAAATTATAAATTTTCAATTAGCAAGAAATTATACACTCGAATACACTGACAATCAGAATAGAGTTCACACAGAGCGCGTCTTTGGTGATGATAAACTAGTTGGACCGGCTATTGGTTTCAAAGACTGCGGAAAAACACTCGGCGAAACGGATGTGAAACATGTTGACAATACAGGTCAACAAGACCGATGTGTGCCGGAGAAACCGGGCGATACCTCAACATATGTAGGAGACCAAGGGGATGAACTTCTAGATGCGGCAACGTTATATCAGGTATAAAAAGAACTTTTACTTACATGTACATGTACTTACAATAAATACAACTTCATAGATTCGTCTTTTGTTTCTATTAAATATGCTATAAATTATCATGCTCTTTTTGTGTGTTTATGTTGTCTCTTTTAATTAGAAAGCGGAAAACATTGTTGTGCTCATATGCCAATTAAACAATTGAAACTATTCAAATTAATACTTTTAAAAAACATTTTAAACGCTAATCCTTTAAATCTGAGTCAATGAAGCAGTTTAGTGTTTGAAATTATTTTTTGTCCGATGGAACTGCAGTGTTTCAAATGAATTATGATGTGGCGGCATGGCCGAGTAGTTAACGCGTCGGACTAGTAATCTAATGATCGCTAGCCGCATGGGTTCAAAACCCGTCAGGGGAGAGTTGTTATTTCCTTGAGCAAGAAATTGCACTCATTGCTCTGGTGGGTTCCAGGAAGGGATTTGAAAGTGTGTCTATAAGTTTATAGCTTCCTACACATCGAACGAAAACAAATTCTGTATAAACTAAATGAATCATGTCACATTTACTTTGGTAAATTGGCTAAATTTAATCATTCTAGTAAATCGGCAGTTTTATTAACACTAAATTTGTTAGTTTTATAAGTTAGCATTTACATCATTAAATTGGTTGAACGGACCAATTTAATTTTGTAAATGCTTATTTATAAACATTAACCTATACTAAGAGGTCGTTTTTATCATCTAAGCAGAAAACACTTTCTAAATATTTCAACTATCAAAAAATGAAAACATGTCATATACCGTTTGTGATAAAACATAATCTTTGACAGTATTAATTTTGACGGCAATGGTATTATAAGTATCTAAACATTCTTTAAAATAAAGTTGTTTTACTGAATGTCAAAGATATTTTTTACAAGTCCTCTTTTAATGTGGCAGATTAAGGCAACTGGACTAAAAAGAAAAAAATATACTCGAAAAGCATTGCTCATGACAAAAATATGAAAGTATAGCTAAACTCATGTCATAAACTTAACTCAGTGGAAATCACTTGCACATACTTGTGTATAATCAAAATAATTGAAAAATATGAAAACATTGATAAATATTATACAGTTTGTATTACAATCCCATTAAATACAGTAAAACAAATAAATAATGATGACAAGTTGTTGAAATAAAGATAATTGTCACGGTGGTCTAGATAAGATGGGAATTATTTAACCCTGAGACTGTTGGAGGTAACCGATTGTAAAACCCCCCGATCAACGTGAACCAAGGACCAAGATCTGCCGGCACAACATAATTGCCGGCTGATCTTGGTCTGATATATTCGCTATATAGTTAGTACTAATTTATGATATTTTTAGAAAAAAAAGATGAATGGTTTTGTTTACATTAAAAAGATTGACAAAACCATTTATAATATTAAGCGTGGTAAGGTTTACACATCCCAGCTGTATGTATTAAAGCGAGTCGCCTATGGATTCACGGCAATTTTTTGAATGACAATAAAAGATTGTTCAGAAATGAAAAAAAAATCAGTATGTGCCAAAAAAAAAACACTTGCCTTTTCTCAGTTATTAATAGGACTTCAGTCCCGTCCATACGTTACGTGAATTGGAAATATTTAAACTTTTCTTAAACTTATACATTTTTATAAAGTTTAATTTTTTTTCATAAAAATCTACTCATCTGAGCATGAAATGATAAAAAATTGCATGATCATCGTTTATCATTTTCAATAAACCATGTTGATGAATATCAATTGGGAGCTATAACAAAACATTGTATTAACTTTCTAAATATTTTAATTCGAAGTTAAAGAGGGTTGTATCTTAATTGTTGATGAATTGTAATGGCTGTCAAAGTCAAACAATGATGCCATAAAATAATTTAATTGTCAGCTTGAGGTGATAGTTTAATGTCGCAATGTGGATGATACCAGATTGAACACATATTGTATATGTTTAAGTCTACGTATTTAGAATGCAAAATTGCTGCTGCTACAGTACATCATTAAAAAACATGCACTGTTTTGGTCTAAACTCAGAATGCGTTTATTGAACTGAATGAATTAAATTTTTGAAAAGATTTATGCAACATTTTAAAAAAAGAACTTGAATATGTAATAAAGTGAAACAAAATATGAACAATGTGAAACAGATATATATGAAACAAAGTATTCATTTAATTGGCATCAAGAACAAATCAATGAAGTAATTTAATGCAAACATGAGCAGATATAATGAAATGAGAAAATTTGTTAACAGATAAAATAAATCTGTTAAGTTGAACATGAACACTTATTCCTATAAAAAATTCAGTTCAGTTGCATATATTTGGCACTTTTGTCTCCTTTTAAATGAGTATCAACTTTTCATTAAAATTTCTAGTTCCCTTTCAATAGCACGAATAACTCTATGATTCATAAATACAAGGGCACCATCTGGAAGAAGTTTGTGAAGAATCAAACACACCCGGTCTGCTTTTAACGCAGCTTCCGCCGGTTGGTTAAGAACTCTAAGATACTCTTGAAAATACCGAATTAACAGTTTTAACACATTTTCAGCTAATATTCTGTTCTCTTCCTTCTGTAATATCAACGTGAACCCCGTATTTCCCGCTCCAAACCAAACAACAACTTTATCGTCTGCAAATGGCTGACCTTCCTTTAATCTGAAAAATCCCAGTTCAAATTCCGGAAGTTGGTCCTCTTGATTGACTGCTTGAATATCGTCCTCAATAGTCCTGTTCGTTACCGATCGTCTAAACTGATTCTCTGAATGAACCTGTAAAAACAGATTTATAATATGTATTCTTATTTATAATTACATTTATAAGACTAACTCTGGATCGCAAGAACACGATTGTCCCCTTCACCCCCCCCCCCCCCCTTTAGATAACTAATGTTCTCAATTCTTAAAGTAAAATGGTAGCTCTGAGGGAATTTCATAATGTTTTCATTCTTTAATGTGAATTAATTGCATAAATACCAATTTAAGTAAACAAACAAGTATCATTTCGCAAACAAATAAATGCGTCTTTTTGATAAATAACACTTCTTTCGACAGAATATACTAGTATGTTCACTTGCTCACGTTCTGGGGATGACTAAGACGGTAGAGGTGTTCTTATTTTCATCCCTTGCAATATTTGTCCGATTTGAGTTTAAAGCGTTTAAAAGGCTTTTCATTTTTGTCTTGTTTTCTTACAAATATAATAATTATTTATGAAGGTTAATTTGATACTGTTTACCTTCTAAATTATAAAACATCATGCAGAATCTTCTTATATTGTTAAGTCTTGTTTAAGATATGATCACTATGTGTAGGGAGCCTATGGCACATGCTAATTATATAATTTACATTTTCAATATCTATCATTCTATTTACGCTGTATAAACTATTCGTCATACAGTTATTCATGACTTAATAAAACTTTGATATTTGTTAATACAAGGTGATTTATAGGACCATTGGGCCGGATATAAGTTATATCTAATTCTACTGGTTGAAATTACAAATTTTCACTATAAGTCACCATCAAAATAATGATTAATTAGATCTTCTGTTATAATTGAAGATATATAAAAAAAAAATGTAGGACCTAAAACAGTGTAAATGTCTACTGCAGTATAGATAAAATGTAATTGTAGCTCTATAAACACATACTTTAACCTGTTGTTATAAATATCTAAAAGTTACCTTTTTAGTCGAGTCCATGCATTGATCTTTAGTAAATAAAGTAATAATATATTACAAATCAAATCGTATATCACATACACTATCGAGACGAGGAGAAAAATAACTAAACACAGTTCAAACCTGAGATGCAACGAACTGTATCCGTTTCTTTCTTTCCTGTCGTTTTTCAAGCTCGTCGACAGACTGGTCATCATCGTCTTTAATTATTTCATCCGATCCGTAAATTTGATTGAACAACACTTTACATTGACCAGGAAATAACGTGTGTAAAATGAAGGCGTACACCATCCCGGAAATGTTTACATCGACACCGGTTGTATGTAAACACTGCTAAATACAATCCTTTTATTGATGCATGCAATACACGGACTTAACAAACGTGTTTTTGAAATAATTATGGGCATTTTAATTGAATAAGGTGCTTGATACTTAAAATATGTAGATTTATATTCATTCTTCTTATCTAAATAATCATTTTTATAGAAATTGTCTTGCCAAATTTGTTACTTAAAAATCTGATTTGTATTGAATATTATTAATGTTTTAGCTTGGTAACTGACAAGTAGTAGTAATTAAGGCATGCCATGCGCATCTTTATAAAATCTATATATTTATGATGACATATTAATTTTTATTAATAAAATCGTCATCGCTATCGCTGAATTAGTATATAATATATCAAAATTTTTAGTTGTCTGTCTAATAAACATTAAACCTCGTACAGATTTGTTTCAAATCTAAATGGAAATCTACATTTGGAACATGCACGCTAGAAAAAAAACCACCTTTAAAATAGACGTTATTGAACGAACAAACGGACGAACGAATGAATGAATGAATCGATCGATCAAACAAATGGAAATTACATGTAAATTTGCAACCATACTCGTTTATGTGCCAACCACTACCATCAATTAAGTTAATGTATCTAAATAATATTTGAGCTCTATGTCAGTCGTGAGTTAACCTATCACTAGATGCATTATTTGTCAAAAATAAGAGAATGGCGCAAATTTATGAATCACCCTTCGTACATTGACACGTTAAGTTAGCATGAAAATATTCAATCATTATAGAAACGTTATATTAGCGTAGAAACGTTCATTTAACGTAGTCTAGATAGTTGACGTATCTCTGCAAACGTTCAATTAGCTAGAATAATAATATCTGTCATATGTTGCGGTTCGGACCGGAATATCCGTCCCGAGGGGACCCGCCCATTGGGCGGTAACGAGGCTTGCCGAGTTATCGCCCATGGGCGGGTTCCCGAGGGACGGATATTCCGATCCGAACCGCAAACACATGTTAGATATTTTTTCTTGCATATTCTGCCATATTATTTCATAGTTAAAATGGTTAACCTCAATATGATATATGTTCATGGAAATTAAAGTCATTTCATCCGTAACTATTTTCTTACAGTAATGTATGCATTTACAACTTAAATAACAACGGCAGAGCCTCGTTACCGCCGTAAACAGTCACCCTCGAGCTAGATATTCCGGTCTGTACCGGCAGCCGGTGTTTGATTCTTTTTCTTGCATATTACATATCAATTATTTTCAGAACAGAAATTACGAAGACTGATCTTTTCATTACGCACTTTTTTCTTATAGTAGCGTATGAACATACAGCTCCATTCATAATGGTTAAGTGACGTCATCATAAGAACGAAATTCATTCATAAAAGGCGCGCAGCAATGACGTCATTTAAAGCACGCGACTTGTCTTACATGGGGGTGTAAGACAGGGTTTTCTACCACCGTCGAAACGGTAGATAATCCTGTCTGATATGCAAGAATACCCGTGCCAGCTTTTGCGGCGTCTTGCACTGCCTAGCATATATTTTGACGCGACGTTATCTGCGTTATGCAAACATAGCAGGGGCGCACGTCAATGTCAAATTTATTTACTTCTACTGATATTAAAAACTCTTGTAAGTTCATACCTAAATTTATCAAGCTCGAGGCTTGCATAATATACTTTTGTTCAACTCGTTAAATAAATTCAGTATTTAACTTAATTCAGTATTTAATATTCAATATCCTCCAAGTGTTGAGCAGCCGAAAAATGATAAAATTCATTTATAAAAAAAAGAATAGATATGCATGATGATTTTCTTTTAAACACAAATATTTGTATATATAATCATTTTCTAAAAGGTCATATTTTCAAAACAAAATTTGTGAAATTTCAAATATGTTAAGTTACAAATATTATATGTTTCAATAACAGATGTCAAATTCAAAATTATGTAACTGGAAGATTAAAATGCGGTTTTTCCTCTTTGTCCAATCAACTGTGCTAAACGTTTTATAATATATAGGTGATAAGGTGATAAGGTCAATTAAGCTGTCTGTACTTATCATGTTGTTAAACCTTATGACTGATAAAATATCCAGGTGATGATCGTTGTTATAAATTCTATGTTGCTATGTTACATTATTTTGTATTGAAACCTGATTGGTTATTTTGTTATTTAAGACACAAAAATGTTAAAATTCTATTGGTCAGTTAAAACGAAATCAATTTTAAAATTATTGTAAAGATACATATGTAGAAAATTTAGGGTCAGTTAGATTTTGGATTTCCAAGTGATAACATTGTATTGTGGCTTTCCACTAGAAAATATTGTTACTGTTTTTAATATCAATTTGTTAACATCAGGATAACCTGTGTATAATTATGATATATATTATTTGTGGTAATCCACTAAGAAAGAAACATTAAAATATAAAACGGAACATTGTGTTGTGATTCAATCTACCTAAAAGAGAACTACAATTTAGCGCATAACACATTTCGCAACGCCGCCCCCCCCCCCCCCCCTTATAATTCGGGAATGAATAATAATGAATAATACTGCATGTGTCATATTTTATTAGTTTATGTATATGCTGTTTTTAGGTTATCGATGGTTTTGTGCTCCTGGCCTCTACGGATGGAACCATTATGTTTGTCACAGACAATATTTCAAAGTTTACAGGATTTTGCCAGGTATGATCATGAACTACATACTTTATTACCTATAAATATCTGCCTTATCATCATCATCATCATCATTATTATGTATTATTATGTATTATTATGTATTATTATGTATTATTATTATTATTATTATTTAATTTATACTTTTTTCACATGAAAAGTTTCTTGATTGCAGCAAATTATGTAAAAATGAAAAAAACTTATCGTATCCCATTATCTCAATTTCTCACTATCACTCAAACAAACAAACTTTTATTTTATCTACCAAGTCATGAACGGGGAGGTCGCGGATCACGCTGCGTGTCACCATTTGTCAACGCGGTGAGAAATAATTCCATGTCTATTTGATCTTTCCGCGTTTCAACAAGCCATTTCGCGTATAAATAAAGGATTCCATCCTAATCCTAAATATTTTAATTCCACTTCAGATGGTAAAACTGCGATTTATCTCTAATGTTTCCACCTCTTGAGGAAACCAATAAACGCTAATTTGTCATATTTAATGTTTCCGAAGGTTGTTGTCAAACTTTAAGCTACTCAAAACAATGATTAAGTATTTTTTACCTTTTTTTCATCGAAGTGAACTTTTTACGAAGGAAACTTATACTCTTGAAACAAGCCATGGGAAAGGTCAAACGTCAGTTTTACATGTTAATTAATAAAGATTCGAAATGATACTTAATTTGGCAATTTTTGCTATCCTACATTAAATTATATAATTTAATCCTGTGAGTCATTATTTCATGTCACTGAGCAGTACAGTTCAACCTCAGTTACAGTGTTTAACTAATTTATGAAATACTGTACCAAGGAAATGCAAAAAGTTTGTTACATCTTTTTATATCGTCAGTGATGAATATATAATTGCATACAGTAAAACTAAGCGGTTTTACCATGGCAAGGGGACGTAACTATAGTACAATACTTTTCAATCTTTATATTAATGAGTTATCTCGTTGCCTACGAACATCAAATCCATGATGTATTTTGCAGATAACGTTGCAAATTGCGCCGAAACAGCAATTAAAATGCAATTACAATTAGGTACCATCGCAGAATTTTGCAGTAATACGGGAATGACTATAGATCAGTCGATAACCGAAATAATCGTGTTTAGAAATGACCGTTCATTACGGTCATACGAACGGTGGTCATATAATGGTGTATCTGTAAATATAATGTCTTGTTATAAGAATATGGGATTATAATTTACACCTTTCTACTTACAACTTTCATGGTCTAAGCAAAAGCAAACCTTGCCACACAAGCAAAAAAATCTATTTTTGCTATTAAATCATACCAGATAACTTTTGGATATTTTTTTACACATTTTTTTTTAATTATTTGATTCAATTCTCAAGCCTATTCTCACTGTCTTTTTTTTATGGAGCGGAAGTATATGGTAGTGAATATCCGGATATTTTAGAGCAAGTTCAGATTCAATATTGTAAGGTTTCTTTGTCAATTGATTAGGTAGCGTTTGGGGAATGAGATAGACTTCTATTGTGTATTGACCATCATATGTATGCCTGATAATAGATATCCAAGAATTCGCGAAATTGTTATTCAGTGTTTAAATAAAAGGATAGTGTAGGAAGAATTAATTGGACATCTTCTATTAGAAATTTGTTATATAGATATGGCTTTGGGTTTGTTTGGTTAAATAACACTATTAATGATATCAAAGTTTTTCTGTCTTGCTTTAAGCAAGAAGACTTGTTGATTGTAAATTGCAAAATTTTTATATATCAACAGATAAATGATTCGTCTCGTTGTGATACATATCAACAATTCAAAACTATGTGAAATCCTGAAAGATATTTATGTATTAATCTACCATTTTATATAAGGAAAGCATTTGCAAAATTCCGTTGTTCAAGTCATAGCTATAGGTTTTAAATTGAAACTGGACGTCAAACTAGTAATGGTCTTCCAAGAGAAGATCTTTATTGTCAATATTGCTATGTTAATTTAGATACACGATGTCTTGAAGATGAATTTCATGTATTCTTTAAATGTTACAAATATAGACATGAAACGACAACAATTTTTACCAAGCTGGTATATATAATGGTAGATTTGAATATGCAGATTTTTGTAATTTAATGCCGTGTTCAGTGTACTGATGATGATAAAATAAGATCTTTTGTTTTTTTTGCACTTGCAATTATGAAACGTGAAATGTATAATACCATGTTACAACCTTAAACATATGATGTTATATCGTATAAGTTATATTTTGGAGGCATTTATTTACAAATAAAATTTGAATTTGAATTTGAACATCAGTTATGCTAATAAAGTATAAACGTCGTTGAGGACAAACAAGCACTCTCGACTAACTGTTAGAGCGGACCATTTTCTTACTCATAAAACGTAACTGCTTGATTCCGATGCATTAAAGTTTAGTATATAAAAGTTAGGAATTTAGTAAAATGTCTGTAGCCAACCAAAACTTAAGAAGCTAACAGATGAACAAAGAAATTTTTATCAATAAATAACTATTTTTATACAATGGCAGATTTATATTTTTTCACAGGTTGATTTGATGCATCGATGTTTGTACAGTATAGTTCATCCAGAGGATTTTCAGGCGGTAAAGAACGCCCTCGAGGTAAAACTTAACATTATACAGTATATTCTACAATCTGCTATAAAAAAATCACACTCATTAATTACATGAATGGACTTGCCTAACTTCCATTTTAGCAGTCCATGTGTATTGATTGGTCTTTGAACAACAGGGAACAACTGGCTTGGTTCGTGGCCCGTGTATTGCTGGCAAAAGCGTTTAAGATTTGATCCAAGAATTTCAAGAGTTACGGTCTTCTAGTATCTCTGACGGGTAGAAATAGGAATATAGAAGCACAAAAAATCTATGTGCAATATGCAAGAAATGAGTGGTAGAAAACGAATTCCCTTTTATTATCGAAAGCGTGAGGATTTCCTAATTAGAAATAGTCCAATTCGTTTTGGGTAGAAACAATGAGCATGCCGAAAAGTGATACTTATGTAGAAACCATTTCTTTATGAATTGTGTGTGAATCTTTAACTCTTTAAAGCACCTCAATTTTCTCTGAATACTTTGTGATGTAATACTTTTGAATGTGTGAAAGAATAACACAATCATGATTATTATTTAACAACTATGTTTGATAAACTAAGTAAAATTCCAATTCAGTAACCTTGTAGCGGAACATTGTTGTAGTCATAAAATACCATTTTGTTTAAAGGCCCATTAAGCCCTCGAAATGCTATTATTTTCCAAAACGTTAATTGTGAGTCATTAGTCATATAGATGAAATACCTTTTGCTTATTTTGCTTTTTGGCAATTGGTTTATAATTACATTGTATAGTGATTAAGTATTGTGTATGGAAGTCAAAATACTACTTTGTTGACACTTCGTTACCTTAACGACACATTACTGCACATGAAGTTATTGATATTTTCTTCACTTACTTAACATCTTATAAATATGCTCTAAGTCACTATAAAATATGAAACGCATGTTTCACATTTCTAAAGCATTAAAAAAAGTTATGACTTCTGAGGCATAATGTGCCTTTAAACGCACTGGCTAAAGAAGTTTGTATAAAAATTTACAAACTTAATGCTTACCGTTGAATATGAACTGTTTGTGCTAGCATATCAAATATTATATTGATACATACATGTACACATTTTCTATTATACATGTAGGTTCGTTCTACAAGCGAAGCAGACGACAGAATGCCTCCCGCTAGTTCCGACTGTCCATCTAGAGACAAAATAGAAAACTTCTTCTGTAAAATAAGATGTTACCATGGTAACACTCCAGGTTACATAGTAAGTTGGTATAGTTATGACTTTTGAAGTTGAATTTATTTCAAGTACAAAGATTCAGAGTTTTGCATGCCGAATCGAGTTTTATTTGTTTGTTGGTTTGGTTTGGTTTGGTTTTATGACGCACTAACACACAATTCTGATACCTCAACCCTTTAAGGCAACCCGTCAAGAGCGAATCGAGTTCAAAAGAGAAACTATTTTACTTGTTTTCCCGTTCAGTCTTCAGAGTTGAAAAATGTGTTGTATATATACACTTTTAAAAACGTTATCACTTAACGTTTCCACATTCTAACGACGTTACGCCATTGGATATGTTTATTATTGTTGATTTAAAGTATTCGGCTGTGGGTATGCATATATGCAAATCCTCGAAAACTTTCTTATTAAACAGTATAAAAGAATCTAAAATTTCATTTCAGAAACTTCACTGCAGCGGGGTTAAGTATTATTTGTCAGAAATGCCACATACTACACGCACATCTAAGAGCGTGTTGATGCTTTATTGTCAGCCATTCATTAAGACAGGAAATGACGTCATTAACGATGAAAGAAATGACGTTTTCTGGAGCAAACATGACCTCGATTTAAAGTTTAAGGAAATAGAGGACTCGTAAGTGATTACATTGGCAATCTTAATAAAAAAATTTCTCGGCAATCTTAATAGAAAATTTCTCCGCTGCAAATTCTGGTAGATTCTAATACCATAAAATTCTTAAAACATATCATTCAGTTTCATTTACATTTGTTGTTGATAAATTAGAAGCTGTACAAAGGCAACTTGTTGAAATCGAATAGTTTGTAAGTGAATCATTAACCATTTGTATCCTAATTATGTTTTATGTCTGCGATTTCTTTATTTTTTTTTTTTAATTTGAAAATTTTAGATCACCTCTTGGGTATTCCACGGCGGATTTGTGCGGGAAATCTTTATACCAGTTCGTTCATCCTGAGGATTTATGTATCCTTAGCAATGTACATAAAGAAGGTATGAAATTATTTTATTTTTTAAAGTGATATGTAAAAAAACTTGAGAAAGCGTTCTTAAAAAATCTTTAAGGGTCCACCCCTTAAAAAAATTTTTTTGTAAAATTTCCCTTTTTTCCTACACAAAAGGGAATTTTAAACAGAAAATTTAAACCCATGATACCACAAAAACCCGGGGGTGACATTTCCCCGTTCACCAAAATTAATTTCAAGATTTAAAATATTTTATTGTTTTTGGGGGTGAAATATTGAATTTTAATGGAATTTGTTGGGAAATTTATAATTTACGATTTTTCTTAAAAAAACCCGAAAAAAATGAAAATATGAAAACGTGAAATCAAAGAATTTTGTGAACGGGAAAATGTCACCACCGGTCTTTCGTAGTATCCTGCTAATTAATTCGTGTGGTCCTTTAAAAGCGTATACCTGTTTTACAATGAATTTCGTTTGTAACATGTCTAGTGCCACGCTGTTTGTATCTACTGACTGATTAGCCCCGCTTGCAGACGTGTTAACACAGTCACTAAGATGTGACAGCAGACGATAACACTATCATGAAGTTTTTTTAGAATACAAAACTATTAAAAAAAATTAAGTGAAGACATTGTTATACATAATATTCATAGTACTATTTTTATACTAGAACAGAGTTTACAATCTCAGAATGATATTCAGATTTATGTAGTATGTTAAGAAAGGAAATGTACGATATTTTAAATTATAAATCTGTTTAAGTCCTCAAATAAAAAACGGCAACTTGGTAAACCATGGTGGAACGACAACCTATCCCGTCTATGGAATTCTGTGTGAGAAAGAAAATAACTGGTTAAAATGTAAACAGGTTTCTGTTAAAAATGTTTTTAAAAAACAGCCTTTATTTTAGCACGTAAAAAATTTTATCGTGAGGTAAAGGTAAACTGTTTTAAATCGGGTTGATTTGTCCAAATAAATTTTGTGTCCATTGTAATAAAACTAACAAGAAAATTTTTGGAAAACTATAGGTAGGGTAGGCGTTGCTCAGTCCCAAGAAAAGGTTTATCCCTATGGAGGGTTGTTTCTGAAAATTGGTGATGTTTTAATGTTAATATTTCATTTAAAAAGTCGGGAGGGGGGGGGGCGGGGGGGGGAGCGTATTGGCAATATGTCAGACAAAACTTGGTAAAGCTAAGGATTTGATATATTCCGTTGATATTTTTAGAAACAATTGTTCAGTTTCATTTTTACAATATTCTAATATAATAAATTGTCTCACAAAAGAAAATTGTGCCTTCAGATTGGGGAAAAGTGAATAATTACTCCCCCAAATCTAGGGCACGAATGACCCTCGAGACCCGTTTATCATTAGAGGAAAATAGCACTTTTCTTGCTCCATGTAAAATTTATTGTTCAGTTTTGAATAACAGGCTCTCATCCTGGTCGGAATCTAATAATGTTTTAGCAGATGAGCAAAATGGTGGTTCGAAACTAACTCTGGTCTTCGTCAAGGTTGTTCATTATCAACTATTCTTTTTAACAAGTTCATCAACGATGTAGTTCTAAAAATGAAAAACACTGGTAAAGGCGTTACTATAGATAACGAATTAGTTTGTATTTTATTATATGCTGACGATATTGTGCTCATTGCTGCAAATGAAGCAGACCTTCAATATATGTTAAATGTTTTAGCAGATTGGTGTTCTACCAATACAATGATTGTTAACCCAGAAAAAAAGTAATATTGTACATTTTCTTCCACGGTCGGTTGGCAGATCGGATTGTTGCTTTAAATGCGGAGATCACTTTCTAAAGATGGTTGGTCACAATACATACCTTGGTTTAATGCTCAATGAATTTCTTGACTTTGATTTGACTGCTAAATATGTTGTTCAAAGTGCCGGCAGAGCCTTAGGACTGGGTATTGCTAAAGCAAAAAAATTGGGGGTAGCCTTAAATTTTTTAAAAATTTATGACAGCCACCTTAAATTTTAAGGGGGCAAATTTTTTAAAACTTTCACCGTTAAAAGCCCTACAAATCGTGCAAAAAGGTTCTTTCCTTTGGGTTTGGGGGAAAATAACTCCCAAAAGAGCTTTATATGGTGAAACTTTCATGGGTCCCCCGAAAGGGAAAACAAAAGGGGAAAACTTTTCTCCCAAAATGGATAGATTAGCAGTTGGAATTTCAAAACGGCTGAAACTATAAGATTTTTTTGGGCATGTAGAAATAAAAAAATTCTAGGGTGTAAAAACTGGGAAATTCCCAAAGTATAAAGTTTTAATGTCTAGTTTAGATTTGATGATTTTAATGAATTGTAGTAATTTTGTCATCTAAAGGTTTTGGGAGCAAATTTTGGGGAAAAAAAAAATAGAACATTAAAATATGCAGTTAAAAAAGAAAAAACCCCCAAAAATTTTAAAAACAAACAAAACAAAAAAGATTTTAAAAAAGAAAAACCAAAATTTCCCCTAAAAACAATCAGCTCAGTAAATTTAGATGTGGGTTTTTGTGCCCATACGTTTTGGGAAAAAAGGGGGGGATGAAAAAATGCCTGTTTAAAGCTAGACTTTTGTCCTAAATTTTAAAAAAAGAGTTGAAACGGAAAAACCAAAGTCTTATTAGAAATTTTATAAAAATAAAAACCATAAAAAAGTAGTTTACTAGTATATGAAGAATTTTTGTTAAAAAAAAAATAATTTGGGTTTTTTACATTTGGGGAAAGAAAATCAAAAATTTTAATTTTTTCTATTAATAAATAATTTTTAAAAAAAAAAGGGCCCAAAAACCCGGGTTTTCCCAAAATTTAAAATGAAATCGAACCTTTTAACAGCTTTTAATTAAAAATTTTTTAAACAAAATTCTTTTTAAAACACATTTTTTTAAAACATTTTTTTTTTTAAAACCAAAACCCAAAAACATAAACCAAAAAACCCCCAAACATTCATGTTATTTTATTAAACCAAAATTTCCCATACATTTATTTTTTTAAAATAATCACATTTCTTTGTTATTTTGTTTTCATGTCTTTTTGATCTATTTTTTAAATTTTTATATCCTTTACTTTTTTGTTCTTAATGGCCCCAAACCCCTACAAACAGTGTTTGGGTTTGTCCTTTTTACCTTTTTATGTTCTTTTTTAAAATTTTTATGTTTTTTAAAAATTCCCCGTCCTTTTCAAAAAACCATCACCCAAATTAACAACAAACCCGGAAAAAACAATTTTTATAACCCCTCATGAATTTTCAATTTAAATTTAAAACATATTTTTTAAAGATTATGTCCCCTTTCAAACAGTACTTTTTATCATATCATATAAAATTTTTGTTCCCTTGAAAAATTCCCGTTTTTCCATGTTCCTATTTTGGGCCCCCCTTTTAAACATTACTGTACTTAATCATGTTTCCCGTATATCCCTGTTCCCAAATTTTTAAAAATTCATTCCCATATTCCAAAGTTTTATTAAAATTATCCAGAACATGACTGGGCAAAACTATTTTAAAAACATGAAGTCCATACCGATGGGAAATTTTTATATATGAAAAAAATGGGTTTTAACCCATTTTGTTTTTAAAAATTTTTTTAAAAAACAAACAACCAAACCTTTAAAGGAAAAACCAAAATTTTTAAAAAAACTGGGCCCCATTTAAAGAGAAATAAAATAAAGAATAAAATAATAAAAAAAATTTCAAAATATCCCCGCTGTTAAAAATATTTTTTCTTAAAATTTTGTTTAGTTTACCCGGGTCACTGAAGTTCAAACATTTTTCTTTCGCCTGGAGACAAAGGGAGGCAACTGGTTGTGGGTATATTGTAAAGGAAAAGTCGTCTGCAAGAATTCTAAGAAATTTTCGATTGTCTTTTCACATTGTCCTATGGGGTAATGCTATTTTTTGGTATAAACATTTTTTCATGGCAGTGGAATTTAATAATTTATAATAGAGTGGTTTCGTAGTTCTGTTTTCATCAATTCAAAATAACTTATTTAAAATTGATAAAATTTAATGACCCATCACACTTTACTTAATGGAATGTATGATATATAATTTCATAAGTCAAAACAAGTTGATATACATGTATTTTTGTATCAACATTTTTTCAATGTTCTAGCATCTCTGACAATTTTTCATTTTATTTCCGTTAAAATTACCATCTTAATAGAAATGCAACAAATTGAATTAGTTTTTGGGAAACACTGGTTTTTCAACTAAAATTCAGCCATTAAACCGCAATGCGGGCTTGTGTTCATTTATCATTTTTAAAATTTAATTGGGCCCTTTTTATTTTAGAGTAAAAGACAATGTGTTCGTTAAAAAAGAAAAATTATTTAAGTCCAGATTTCTAGTGTTTTCGAGCCCCCAAAAAAAATCAAAAACCAAAAACAAACGGAAAATTTCCCGAAAAATACAACCGAAACAACGGCAGACCAACCCCCCAAAAGAAAAACCATCCCAAGGGATTCTGGGCAAATTTTTAGCATTATTCCCCCTGGGCCCCTGGAGCGACCGGGCATTTTGCCCGTATTTTAAACAATCAATGCGGCAACCCGAAAAAATTTCAAAGAGAAAAAGGGAACTTTTTAAATTTCTGGTTGCGGGGAAAAAAAAGTGGGCTGGAAAAATAAAGGGATCGGGGGCGGCAACGGCCCCAAAACCAAAAAACCACCCAAAAAAAAAACCAAAAAAAAACCAAACCCCCCCACAAAACAAAATTTTAAACTTTACTGGCTTTTTCCCTTTTTGAATATAAGGGGAAAATATATTTGGGTGCAGTTTGTCAAAAAATGAATAAAAATGGGCGTAAGAAAATTTCCCTCCGGGATACATCGGTTTTCCCCAAAAGCACCACCCTCGCAAATAAAATTTTTTTTCAGGGAAAGTTTTTAAAAAAGGGGAAAATTTTGAGCAATTGTAAAGGGGTAAACCCCCTTGGGCCCAAAACCCCCAAAAATGACATTCAAGATTCCCGGGTATAATGTGTTTAAGGAAAAAATTTTTTAGTTTTTCCCAAAAGTTCCAAAATTTTTTTCCAGTGCTAAACTTTTTCTTGGTTTTTAATTTCCGGGAAATTTTTACGGTAAACTTTTTTCAAGTAGCCCAAAATCAAACCCAAAAAAGCACAAAAACCAAAAACACCAAAACCAAACAAAAACAAACAAAACCCACAAACAAACCAAAACCCCGGGAAAAAACGTAAAACTTAGGTTTAAACGAATTTTTGAGGCCCAAAAAATGGGGGAATAACTTTTCACTTAAATTTCCCCCCAAAGTAATAATATAGAGAAACGAAACGTAAAAATTTTTCAGAAGTAAAAGACTTTAGTCCCCTTGGGGAAAACATTTTCCAAGGGAAGACTAAATTTTAAAAAGATTTTTACATCTTTGATTTGGGGGGTGGGATGTATTTAACTATTACCATCTGGGCCCGGAAGTTAAAATAAAATATATAGCAAATAAAAAAGTGTTTAAAAAAATATTGTCAGTCACCCAAGAACAAAAAGAAACCTTTTAAAACAAAAAAAAAATAAAAAAAACAAAAAACAACAAAAACCCCAAACCCAACACAAAAAAAAAAAAAAAAGGGTTTTTTTAAAAAACATTTAAATATTTAACCCAAAGACTTTTTGGGGTTTGTAAAAACGTTTCGTTTTCCAAAGAAATAATTATTGGATCAAATTAATAATTTCGGGAAGTTTACATTTTCAGAAATCCCAAAATTTTAAAAACCAAATACATATACATGGGAGTTTCCCCAAAAGCCTTATTTAGTACAGAAGGGGCTTATAATATTTTGAAGGCTGGGAAACTTTTTTTAAAAGGAAAATGGGGAAAACTATTTTTAATTAACTTAAATAACCTTCAAAAAAGGGAAAATCAAAAAAACCCCAAACAAAAAATTTTCAAAAAAAAAAAACCCTTTTAAAACCAAACAAAAAAAAAATTTAAAACCAACTTTTCCCCACTTCCTTTTTTGTTAAAACCAAAGAAAGCAAAAGCATCAACTATTATTTTTCAGCAAATAACCCAAACCAAAAGGGTTCTATTAAAAATTTTTTTGACTTTTTACTTTCTAAACCCCTTTTAAAAAACCCCTACGGGGAAAAAAATATGGGGGAAAGAAAATCGAAAGAAGAACAAGTTTTTTTTAAATTTTTTAAAATTTTTAAAGAACAAAAAAAAAAAAACAAACCAAAACAAAAACCAAAAAATTTTAAAAAAAATCAAGACAAAAACAAAACCAAATTTTTAAAATTTTTAAACTAAAGTTAAAAAAATTAAAAACATCAATTTAAATTTTTAAAACAAAAAGGAAAACCCATTTTTGGGAAAACCCCGGTAAAAATCCGGGTTTTTTAAAAATACATAAAAATTGGGTCAAAATTAAATTTATCAGTTTAGGGAAAAACTGGGTTTTTCGCGCTAGTAAAAATAAACAAAGGGCAAATGTTTAAATCCTTTGAAGATACTATGCATTTTTGGGGCATTATGGGGTCCCTTTTTGCAAAGTTTAATTTAGAATATTTTTAATGCAAATTTTTGGGTTGTTAAAATGCTTCAAGAAAAAAAACCGGGGAGAAAAAACTAGGCTTTTGAAATTTTTTAAACCCACCAACAACCCACACCCAAAACTTTTAAACCCCCCAAAAAAACAAACAAAACATAAAAAAACACAAAACCCAAAAAATCAAAGGGCCCCCCGAACAAAAGCATTTTTGGGCTTTTTTTTAAAATTTTATGAAAAATTTGTTTTCACTGTCATTTCCCCCGGTTTTTCTACTATTTTCTATATACATGTTTTAGTTTTGTTTTTCCAGAAAATAAAGGGTAAGTGGGTTTTTTCCCCAAACTAATTGAGGTAAAATGTAAAAAATAATTTTTACCGTTTAGCCAGGGAAGTCGAGGTCGGGAGTGCACCTGGCAAGCATGTCATCGCATTTAATGCTAAGGAAGACCTTATTGGAGCTTCTGTGCCCCAGGTTGGGTTGGGTTGAGTCCAGGTCCACGATAGAGTAGGCGGAGACCCCCAGTTTCCTCCAATCTGAAGACTTTTCTATAAAATGCATTTTAAATTCCAATTGACTTACATAATTAAACGCCTTTTAATTAAAGGGAAGTAAATAGCAACTATATATGTCAAGTAAGGCAATTTTTTGTTATCTCCCCTCATCTGTCAGAGCACGACCACTAGACTTCTCCATTTACAAGCATGCTTACTGAAATAGTATATTCATCAGTACAATACTTTCATGCACCATGATGTTATATCTTTAAAAATGCTGATATAACTTTTGGAATGTCAATTTAATACTATGAATGTATTTTTATTTTAATTATTTTCCTTTTTTCTTCTATTTTAGTTTTTCGTTTTTTCTTTAACACTAAACATACCAATCTTAATTACATTTTTGACTGTAAATTTCTATGTCCATCCAGTGACAACTTTTATTTCAATCGAATCACATAGGTAAAAATTAAAAATATATATTTATATATAAAACCACCATTCATTCAAAGAATAGAAATTGAAACACTATTTTTGACTAGAATTAGTCATAACAATACCGATAAGCAATATCTATTGTATTATTACTTTGTTTGTATGTTCTTTTCCCAGTTATGTACTGACCATTCCCACGGCTTATAATCTTGTTTATAAATTTGCACAAAGTTAATATCTTCCAAATAGAGAGTATGTCCTGACAAAGGTTAGGCTATTCGATGAGTAAAAAAAATATATATTACATTTTGTTTGCTTTATTTTACGTGTTATATCATGTTATGTGGACCTTTCTGTTGAAAGTATCGTATACATATACATGCATCTTTGTTATCTTGTAAATATGCTGTATTATGTCATCATGGGCTTATAAGCCTTTTTGATTGAAATAAAATGTCTGTCTGTCTGTCTGTCATGCAGAGTCCTTTAACTGGAGTGCATATTCAGATGCTCGTTTACTGGTCACTTTTTTCTAGGGTTTCATATTGTGACAACAGAGAACGTGTTACAATTTTTGCCTATGATACAAAAGAGAAAGAACACCAAAACACTCAATTTGATTTATACTCGGGGGCAACGCCCCCTCGTACAAATCAGATAGCCTCGTGCTCTTACTATTATTTTTTTCTATATGCATTTAATATATATTTTTCTTCATTTGCCAATATTTTACAAGCGTATTATTACAAAGGGATAACCAATCAGCTTGATTTAAACATATTTGAGCCGCGTCACGACAAAACCAACATAATGGGTTTGCGACCAGCATGGATCCAGACCAGCCGGGGCATCCGCGCAGTCTGATCAGGATCCATGCTGTTCGCTTACCAACTCTATTTCAAATAGAGAAACTGATAGCGAACAGCATGGATCCTGATCAGACTGCGCGGAAGCGCAGGCTGGTCTGGAACCATGCTGGTCGCAAACGCACTATGTTGGTTTTGTCGTGGCGCGGCTCATTTATTTATTTGTTTGTGATGCAGCTTATATATGAACCACTGAGTCTACTTCCCGGAACTACCCGGTGTATACTAGTTTTCCAACCAAGATTTCCATAATTCTTATGGTCTGTTATTTAGAGATCCAATGATATTATTTCCATTCCATAAAACGTTCGTCTACATAAAGCATTCGTTTGAATGTAAATAAAAGAACTATGACTTATAGAGTGAAGGTGCTATTGCCAATATTAAAACTGTCCGAAAAGCAGTCACGTGTCAAACTCATAAGTCAGGGGAATTGGTGTTAAGTTAATAAACGGACCCTCCTGCTTATAAACGACTGTTTGCTCGGTAGGTTAGTTCAATGCTAAATTGAAGGGACGAATTGACCTTAATTATATTCCAGCCAGACAGGAAAAATAAAAAGCAGGACAAAATGACCACACAATTACAATATGTTTTGTGTAAATATAAACAGATTGAAAGTGGCGAGAACAATGAACTTGAAAAATCATGCAGCAATCTGTTGCCTCAGACAGTCATTATAACCCATCTGTTTTGTATGTAAACAACTTATATTACATTTTTATATATTTTCTTATCTGATCGAAATACTTCTTTATGAATATTCTGTGTTAGGTGTATATCGTGCTAGATTGGATATAAAACGTTGATTGTATTGTTACTTTATTTGAGTAGAAAGAAATATTTAACAACTTTCTTGTAAACAACTTTAATATAACATTTTTTTCTATGATAAAAACAAAAACTTTAAACTTTTATTTCTGTGATAAAACTCAAGACAAGCTACATCGAAGATGAACCAGTCCGTACTCGTCAATTGTAAGTGTTTTTACATATACATATAAAACAAATTCAATGTCTCTATCTTGCGTATTGTTGTTTGTTTGTTGCTGCTCTAAATAAGCATGACTATCACTAGATATCTTATTGAAAAGTTAAAGGTTCAATATGTGTGTTCCTTAACAAGATTCTGTAACCATATATGTTTAATGTTGTTTTTTCTTCATTTTTTCCCTCTAGAAGATTTATACCGTTGCCTTTTCTCCATAAAACAACTTCATACATTTATCACAATTCTTTTCTGCTGTCTGCAATTCCTCTGCTATTCGCGGATCAAATAATGTAGCTAGGTCAGCATCAAGTAAATGTGCGCGGACTGAAATATAAAAACATGCACGGATCTTAAGAATTTCCTAGATACATGTAATTCGCTATTCCTTGAATGACAACGTATTAAGGTGGGATTTAACTCACTGCAGTGTTGGAGCAGTACCTTTAGACGCTTCACAAAGTAGAAATAAAATCACTTTTTTCGCTGATTCTTACATTTTTCCATTCATTATTGTATATAAATATGTGTGAAGAGTAAATTTCACGTTTTAAAGTTCATTTCGTCGGATGAAAAGGCGAGATTTTAGCATTTAATCATTCGAGCGCCTTGTCCGATATAATTATACCCTTATACGTACAAATGTATTTAGTATGGTTGGTGGTCCAGCGCCTTTTTTCAGTCTCACTCTTTATGGCTAGGCCTGGGTAAATTCTCGCAGATAAAAACGCTTTCATCCATGGCGTTACAAAAGACTGGCTTATTAAAAGAGTAGTAGACGCTGCCCTTCATACTAACTTGTTTGGGTTTTTCTCATTTAACTGGGAAGAGGTCTTAGCCTCTTTATTTTAGGAAAAAGTACCGCTTAAATTGCTAATTTGAGAAGTAAAAGCGTCTGTGTAAATTCAACTTTTTTTGGCGAAAACTGCATGATTTTAAAGAAAACTGCTATTGGGAGATAATCGCTGACGTCATTCTACCTTTGAAGCGCAAACATTACAAGTAAACAGTTCCAAATTCACCTGTATGGATAAAGGTAAGCCAAACGAAATGAACGGATGATCGGCAAATTGTACTTATTGCAAAACATGTAACAGTTTTATAATTCATAAGTGATATTGTAAAATTGGACTAATCTGCAGACTTGCACACAACAATTGCTATGATTTTTTTATTGCTGATATTTCAGTGTAAATTAATAACATTTTTCTTTGGGTAGATCTACTGGATGCAACTAAATAAATCACTTGAAATCATTAATGCATTCATATAATCTTATTCAAGTTATTGGCTTGCAAGCCTTTTTCTTATTTTTACCTGATTGAAAAAACACTACAGAATCTCACCGCTTGTATTAAGAATGGTTTCTTTCATCTCCTCGAGTTGTCTGTTCAGTCTATCCAGTTCATCTCGGACCTCCTCGTGACTGTAGCTTCGGGAAATTTCAGATGATTTCTCGGACAATGACATTCTAAAAGTTTCTGAAAAGAGTAAAAAATAAATGTCATAAAAGGTGCCGTAAAAAGCACCATCCTTTCATTTTTTTATTTTTTTTTTTTAGATTTTTTTTTGGTCCCAGTGATAACTTAATTACAGAGCTCTTATGAAAACAGCTTAATTAGGCCTACGCCTCAAATGAAGTGGAGAGATCTTCAATTCATGTACTGGCTAAGTACTGCGCGCTTTGAAAATCAGTAAATCAATAAGAGAGTTGTCCAGTTATTTAAAGACATTCTATGCTAACCTTTGGTATAAAAAAACCAACCTTTATTGCAAAAATATTGAAATCTAGATAAATCTGACTTTGTTTAATTTGAATTAGAGAATGCACAACTGACTGTATATAGAGTTTCAAACGTAAATATCTTCTCTGTGCTTAGTACCTACTACAATACGTCTTATTTACATCTGACGGTCAGACTGTAGCGTAGAACAATTATCAGTATGTTCAAATATCAATTTTGAACAAGAATTTTTTGACTTATTTTATAGCCGTTATTGTGTCATATTCCAAATTGAAAATAGTATATAAGTTACTAACTTATATACTATTTTCAATTTGGAATATGACCCAATAACGGCTATAAGCCAAACTTACCAATCCACAGGAAAAAATCCCCAATTGAAAGTTACTAAATAAAAATATTTATATTTTCTAAAATCATCGCAAATAAGGGCTTCTTCACTTTAATACAGTAGTGCTTAAGTGTTTGAAGTTCTTATCATAGACAGTGATTCTTTGCATCCATTTGCAAAATTCCCGTGATGCATTTTTCCCCAATTTTTTACAAAACACTGCTAAAATTCCCAAATCCATGGGTATGGGTCATGTTCCCAAAATCCTTGAAAAAAATCCCTGTTGAACATACTATAAACTGCCCGTAACCACGGATTATATAAATCCGTGCCGTAACGGGGAAAATATTTTAAGATTATCGATATTTCTAGATCTACAGTAGTTCAGAGGTCTGGATATAAATAAGGTGAAAATTAAACAAAATTCAATTTATCTACGAGACCCCTGGAAAAGTAGCAGCTACAAAGATACAATGCCAAAACCCCGTCTGGAATTTGAATGCATTTCCCTTGTTGAACATCAAAAAATGACCGTTTTATTATCAGGGTTAACTATGTGAGCAAGTCTTAATAAAATAACATAGTTTAAGCTTTACTTATAACTTACATAGTAAAGGCACCACCTGATAAAGTTTGATTCAAAATATCTCTAAGTGTTTTACTGGATGCAGAACAAAAATATATCTTCAAAAAATCGCGCACATTAATCTCTAAAATAATCTTTACGCTGTTACGTGTTCAAAAAGTGATTTTAATATGAATTGCAAAATATCGAGTAGATTATTGTTTAAATTATTTTTTTAAAATATTTTAATAATTATAAAGGGATACTGATTGTGAAAATTGCCTGTGCTTTTATTTTGAATGATGTTTCCACTTTGATTTCGGAGCTAGAATCTACATAATTTAGCGGGAATCAATGCGTCATCATGATGCAGATCGGACGAGTTTATTTACTAGAAGGGAGACTTAAAATCGTTTAGGCTAATTGTGGAGAAATTTTGTATAATTTTTCATTTCAGTTCTACTTTAAATATACTTTAAACAAGTATGTACAATCTGCTCACATTTAGATAATTGTATTGGGACGTATTTCTTCACATCTATTTTGTCTTTTGATTGTCACACCCTCGTGCCATTTACAAAACATGTTCTCGAAAATCAAAACACAAGTCAAGTCTTCAAAACATGGACTATAAAGGTAGAATCTAGATTGTCTAAGTAAATATTTTGCATGAACTAGTTTTTCAGATATACATCTGTGTAACAATAAAATATAACTTTTAAAATACACTCAATTTGTGTCATTTTGCACGATAAATTATTGTCAACTCGGCCCTAAACAAACTCGGTCCGGCCGTATTTTTATGAATGTTGTCAAATTATGATCCAGTGTTTTTGTTTGTAATTTTGTGACTATATGTTTTTCATTGAAATTATCCAGTGTTTTTGTTTGTAATTTTGTGACTATATGTTTTTTATTGAAATTATATAGAAAATTTTTCTCCTTCAGTGATATTTTGTACAAAAATTAGGGACATAGATTTAATTAGAGGTGCAACGATATGTTACGATATATGTTACGATGCATTGAACAGGCTGGTGAAAATGCCCGTCAGGCCAACTTTAAAAAAATGTTCGTTTGCAGTAACCCGACCGACTCGCAAAATTTGCCCCTACTCAAAAAATTTTTTTTGAATCAGAAAATTATGCCTTGTGCTTTGTTTTCGTTCTTTTAAAGGTTAATGGAAGCACGGAGTTATATTACAAGGATCGGACACTTAAAGTCTCGTCGCGCGCATGCGCGGAATCGCACATCGGATAATAATTCTAAGAAAATAAAAGATAACCAAAATATTTTGATTTGTATAATATATCAATGCTTAATAAACATAACAAGTGAGAAAGAAACATATTAATTACTTATATAGAAATATGATGTTTTTATGTCTAAGCCCCATCAGGCATTTTCACCAGCCTGTTGAAAGTGCCCATTTCGATTCCGAAATTAAATATAACTTATAAGAATTTTGATTCAGTTCACAACCAAAATTAAATACGGAAACAATGTGAGTTATTGTCCCACAGTTACCGAATTTAGCACTGGCCTGGTGGCCCATGGCCAGTGAAAATTAGTTCGGGCCAGTGAAACTTTTAAGAAAATTTAGTTAAATATATTGTAGAATAAATTCGAAATTGGAATTCAGGCCAGTAAATTTTAATGATTGGTCCCAGTCTAACTAGCATGCCGCTAATTTACATGAAATACAATTGGTTAATTTAACTCGGACATCCAATCAGCGAGCAAGTAATGTATTTTCTCAAAGCAAATCATAATGGATTCAAACGTCAATGTAGAAAAAATAAATCTAAAAATCCTCCAATGTATCTTAAATAAATGTTGTGGAAAATGACCGAAATGCTTTGGGTTTGGGGAGGATAAAGAATTAAACAAGCCACACGTAAGATATGCTTTGCCGACGTGTCATGTCGGAAGTCGATAAGTACAACTAACTTGATGCAACCATGGCTTCAGTTAGTCCTACAAGCCATGGTGCAATACATGAAAAGAAAGAAGCCTAGTTTTAGTTTGAGAAAAGTCAGATTTATAAGATTACTAGTCACATTGGGGCGTCCGTGGCCGAGTGGTTAAGGTCGTTGACTTCAAACCACTTGCCCCTCACTGCTGTGGGTTCGAATCCCGACAGGGACTTTGGATTCTTTCATGTGAGGAAGCTATCCAGCTAGCTTACGGAAAGCGGTGGTTCTGCTCAGGTGCCAATTCGTGCCTGACATAATGCACGGAAGGGCACCTGAGGTCTTCCTCCACCAGTAAAAATGGAACGTCGCGATATGACCTATACTGTGTTGATGTGACGTAAAACCCAAAACAAACAAACAAAACTAGTCACATTATTGTGATAGTTTGTTAACCCATTACTTCATGAGCATTTTGTGAAAAATGGCTGTTTTCATTGAAAAGTCTCCTGTTACAAGTTCAAATTGCTATAAAACTATAAAAACTGCTTTAATATGAATCAAACTTGACACTAATGTTGACTGGACTATTGACTTTGTAACAACGTGCTCAGTCTTAAATTTTCTGTTACCATGGCAGCGAGGGGACATCTCAAAATTGCCAAAAATCACTAGTTTAAGTTGATTTTTTTCCATCAAAATTGATTTCAAAGTGCTGCAACTTCTCAATGGATTGATATAGAGTGAAAGGCTTTTCAGCCTTGGTTACACGTTACCTTATGATCGATAGCGTCTCGCAAGTCCAAAATTTTCTTGGCAATTAGGGGGACTGCTGCCCCCCCCTTCAGACCCCCCAAACAGAAGGGGGCACATCCCCCTTCTTGCAACCCCCTGATGTATCTTTTGGATAGGGGGGCGCGCCGAAAAAGTGGTCACTTTTTTAAGGCCATCCTTAAAAAAATGTTTGTTTGCAGTAACCCGACCCAGAATTTTCAAGGTGGGTAGGTAGGTCGATTTTTTTTTTTTTTTTTTTTTATTGAACTGTACTCCCCAAAAAACATGGACTTTCAAAATGCTGGATAATATATGCTTTGATAATCTGGTAACAATAAATAAATTGATAACTGAATTCTAATTTAATAAGAACTACATTTTATTTCTTCTATTAACCTTTAAAAGAACGAAAACAAAGCACAAGGCATAATTTTGACTCAAAAAAAAAATTTTTTATCCAGACCATGAAAAAAAAATTTGAGTAGGGGCAAATTTTGTGAGTTGGTCGTGTTACTGCAAACAAACATTTTTTTAAGGATGGCCCAAACAACATTTCTCAAACAAAAACAAGTGTTCAATGGGGGCCTAAATAAGGCATTTTTTCATCATTTTGAGACAACAAAAAGGGGGGGGGGGTTGAAAAAGGTGATAAAAGGCGTGTATATCGTGTAATGGGTTAATCCCCTTCTGTGTAGCTGGAAAGGGATTATAGGAATGGCCTTCTTCTGTCAGTCTGTCTGTCCGTTACACTTTCGTGTCCGCTCCATAACATTAAAACCACTAAAAAAAAATTAAATAATTTGTCACCAATGATCCCTTTTGTGAGACGATGTGCAGAGCGCAATAATTGGGTTGTTAATCCTGAGGTCATGGTCACACTTAAAGGTCAAATGTTAAAAAGTCTACATTTAATGGCCTCTCCATAACTTTTAAAACGCTGTAATGTTTTTAAAATGACCTTGCAGAAATCATCAGCATTTTGACACGATGTGCAGAACCCAACATCCCGGTTTCTACCCCAAAGGTCAATGTTAAATATTCTCCATAACTTTTTGACTTTATAGAAGATTTTAAATAGCTTGGCACAAATAATTCAAATTACTATCAAGGTCATGGTTTGTTAAAGGTCAATAAGTACACATTCATGTCCACTGGGGAAGAGGATTTAGCTGTCCTTCAGACTGCCTTGTTTGATAAGAATTGTTTTCTAAATAAATTTAAATAAACCACTTTTTAGTTTCATCAGCACTACTACTAATAATAAGTTAGGGATAAAATAAGTTAAGACAACTAAAAAAATAAAAATAATGGAACATAATTGTTCAGGGCCACTGACTTTTACAGCAAATAAGCAAAATTGTAAACTGAAGACTAAATAGTAATCACACATGACATAACACCTAGACATAACAGAAGCACAGACACTTGGTCGTCAGACCCTACCCCCTGGCTTGAATAGCCCCTGTAAAAATTTAATGGTCTGTAAAAATCTTTCAATGTGTTTGCACGAAAGGACATCTGACTTATTCATTAAAATTGTTTTTAAACCACTTGTACAAGAACTAAAAGAAAAATCCTTGTTCCATAAAGTCTCAAGTAAGTAGCACGGGACTCTGTATTACCTGCATACTTGACTTGTCCTATATGTGTGCATTGAAGTTCATTGATGAATTCAATAATATTTTGTGTGTAGCAGAACAAATTCAACTTATCATTACATTTTTAGCTCACCTGTCACAAAGTGACAGGGTGAGCTTTTGTGATCGCTTTTCGTCCGGCGTCCGGCTGTCCGTCCGTCGTCCGTCCGTAAACTTTTGCTTTAAATGACATCTCCTCATAAACCACTGAGCCAATTTCATCCAAACTTCACAGGAATGTTCCTTTGGTGGTCACCTTTAAAAATTGTTCAAAAAATTTAATTCCATGCAGAACTCTGGTTGCCATGGCAACCGAAAGAAAAATCTTTAAATATCTTCTTTTAAACAACCCCAAGAGCTAGAGCTTAGATATTTGGCATGAAACATCTTCTAGTGAGTGTCTACCAAGTTTGTTCAAATAAAAGCCCTGGGGTCAAAATTGGTCCGGCCCCAGGGGGTCATTGATTTTCCCTATATGCATATAGTAAAAACTTAAAAAATCTTCTTTTAAAGAACCCAAAGAGCTAGAGCTAAGATATTTGGCATGAAACATCTTCTAGTGAGTGTCTACCAAGTTTGTTCAAATAAAAGCCCTGGGGTCAAAATTGACCCCACCCCAGGGGGTCATTGATTTTCCCTATATGCATATAGTAAAAACTTAAAAAATCTTCTTTTAAAGAACCCAAAGAGCTAGAGCTAAGATATTAAGCATGAAACATCTTCTAGTGAGTGTCTACCAAGTTTGTTCAAATTAAAGCCCTGTGGTCAAAATTGGCCCCGCCCCGGGGGTCATTGATTTTCCCTATATGCATATAGTAAAAACTTAAATATCTTCTTTTAAAGAACCATAAGAGCTAGAGCTTAGATATTTGGCATGAAACATCTTCTAGTGAATGTCTACCAAGTTTGTTCAAATAAAAGCCCTGGGGTCAAAATTGACCCCGCCTCAGGGGGTCATAGATTTTCCCTATATGCATATAGAAAAAACTTAAAAAATCTTCTTTTAAAGAACCCAAAGAGCTAGAGCTAAGATATTTAGCATGAAACATCTTCTAATGAGTGTCTACCAAGTTTGTTCAAATAAAAGCCCTGGGGTCAAAATTGGCCCCGCCCCAGGGGGTCTATGATTTTCCCTATATGCATATAGTAAAAACTTAAAAAATCTTCTTTTAAAGAACTCAAAGAGCTAGAGCTAAGATATTTAGCATGAAACATGTTCTAATGGGTGTCTACCAAGTATGTTCAAATAAAAGCCCTGGGGTCAAAACTGGCCCCGCCCGGGGGGGGGGGGTCATTGATTTTCCTTATATGTGTATAGCAAAAACTTAAAAATCTTCTTTGAAAAAACCCAAATAGCTAGAGTTTAGATATTAAGCATGAAACATCTTTAAGTAAATATCTACAAAGTTTGTTCAAATAAAAGCCCGGGGGTCAAAACTGGCCCTGCCCCAGGGGTGTCATTGTTTTTAACTATATGTGTATGGTAAAAACTTTAAAAATCTTCTTTTAAAAAACCCAATGAGCTAGAACTTAGATGTTTAGCATGAAACATCTTCTTATGGGTGTCTACCAAGTCTGTTCAAATAAACAAATAAAAGCTCTTGGGTAAAAATTGGCCCGGGGTTGGGGGGGCCTATATACAGGTGAGCGACCTCAGTGCCATCATGGCCCTCTTGTATTTTGTTCTGAAGCATTTTGTTCTGTTTAAAACTAGAGAATGAATAAGTTACCACTTATTATTTATCTATTTTCAGATTTCTATGTAGAAAAGCCTGAATACATTGCAGGAATGGAGCTACAAGAGGAAGTGAATCAAATGCTTCGTCATGGCCAAAGAGAATGTCTTCATCTCAAAGGTTTGATTCGCAAAGTGAAGTCTGCACAGGCTTTGTTAAAGATGAGAAAAGATGAAGCAAAGAAAGATTTGGAAGGCTACGTTAACAAATTGTCTGAATCACTGATAGATTTCAGGTAATAAAGAAAGTGGGAGGTTTTCCATTACTAGTGTTTCCCCTCAACCCTCAAGTTATGAGGTAAGGTAAATAATATGGACCAAGTTAGTTACCATAACAGTGAAATTGTTAATTTTGGACACAGTTTTGCAAAAAGTAGGAATTTTCAGCATTTAGAAAGTTTAACTGTTAGCTTAATATCTCAAATTGACTTGTCTATCATTGGATCTTGACAAACCCTTTGAACACTTAGGGCAAATTTAAAAATATGAACTGAATTAAAACAGAATAATGCAGACCATGCACAGACATGATTGCTGATCTTGAGTGGTGGTATGCATAAAATCTTACTGCCAGCCAAAGATTAAAAAAAATGAAAGAAATTTTTCAAACTTGAAATATTAGTTGACTATCAAAGGCAGGTAGATTTACCATGCATGTTTGTAGAATTATGCCCCCTATTCTCTATTGCTTTATTTAAACTATACAGCACTGAGAAAAGTGGATCACGGACAGGTCTTATATATTGTCTGTAATGGAGGGTTGATGATCTTTATCAGATGTTTATTAGTGCCTAATATCTTGCCTGAAGCAGCATTTTAAGCTCTCCCTCTGCAAGGAAAACAGGAGAGATATCATACATCTTTGAAAGTTTTTATTTTATTTTCAGTCCAAAATTGTCAAGTTATTTGTATTTGCAGGGCAGAAATGCATGTCTCCATACGTGCAGAGGTAGAGCTTAAAAACAGCAAACTAATGAAGCTTTGTGAGAAATATGAAGCAAATATAAAATCCTACACCGAGTTATGTGATGCAGGTGAAAAATTAATGTATTTTGGGAAAAGTCTTAACAGTCCGGAGGAAAGGAGTAAAGCTAAGCAGCTTCTGCAAGAGTTCAAGTAAGTATAAAGATTTATTATAATTGCTTGCAATATGAAATCATTAAAAAGTATATTTAACCTTTGCAACGCTAAATGACTGAAACATGAACAGTGCAGACCATGATGATTGATCAGACAAGAAGAATGTACTGGCTGATCTTACTTTGCACTGGTCACATTGGTAGAATCAGTTTCTACCAGCAGACAATGGGTTACTTATCGTCCCATTTTAGACTGTTTCAGAAAATATAAAAATATAGTGGTGGCTGGTCTTGGTCTGCACTGGACACATGACAGGTATATTCAGCTGCAGCCATCAAGCAGGATGGCCACCTGTTTATTTCAATCAGTAATCTTGTTCCCTTAGAACAAGAAACATATTTTAGATATGATAGTTATGATAAAGTGGTTTTCATGTTGCTGACTTTTTATCCCTCGTCGAAAGGCGGCGGGGGATATAGAAATAGTCTCCGTCCGTCCTTCCGTCCAACATTTTTGTCCGGAGCATATCTCAAAAAGTATTTGAGGTATCAACTTGAAACTTCATAGGTGGATAGATCTCATTGAGGAGGAATGCAGTGCACAAGAATGATAACTCTACCCTGCATAATTTTTGAGTTATTGCCCTTTGTTATTTTTCAAACTTAATTTTTGTCCAGAGCATAACTCAAAAAGCTTATGAGATATCAACATGAAACTTCATAGGTGGATAGATCTCACTCAGGAGGTGTGCAGTGCACAAGAATGATAACTCTACCTTTCATAATTTTTGAGTTATTGCCCTTTGTTATTTTTCATACTTAATTTTTCACCTGAGTGACGCATAACTCAAAAAGTCTTTGAGATGTCAACATGAAACTTCATAGGTGGATAGATCTTATTGAGGAGGAATGCTGAGCACAAGAAAGATAACTCTTCCCATTATAATTTTTGAGTTATTGCCCTTTGTTATTTTTCATACTTTTTGTCCGGAGCATATCTCAAAAAGTGTTTGAGTTATCAACTTGAAACTTCATAGGTGAATAGATCATATTGAGGAGGAGTGCAGTGCACAAGAATGATAACTTTACCCTGCATAATTTTTGAGTTATTGCCCTTTGTTATTTTTCAAGTTTAATTTTTGTCCTGAGCATTACTAAAAGCCTTTGAGATATCAACATGAAACTTCATAGGTGGATAGGTGTCATTGAGGAGGAGTGCAGCACACAAGAATGACAACTCTACCCTGCATGATTTTTCAGTTATTGCCCTTTGTTATTTTTCATGCTTAATTTTTGTCCAGAGCATAACTATAAAAGCCTTTGAGATATCAACTTGAAACTAAATAGGTGGATAGATCTCATTGAGGAGGAGTGCAGCACACAAGAATGATAACTTACCCTGCATTATTTTTCAGTTATTGCCCTTTGTTATTTTTAGCCATCAGTATTCACATAGGTTTCAAATCTGTAATCACTTCAGCCATCAGTTGTCATTACCAAAAGACCTCTTTAAATTGAATTATTCTGCACTACTACATATATATTCTTCCAATGAGCAAACACATTTGGCGAGGGATGGCCATGTTGACATGGCTCTTGTTCCTCTTTGCTGTAGGGTTGAAGCACGCTAGAGATGCTGACACCTCCATCTTCTTGGCAGGCATACTCAGCTATATTACCCTAGCAGCCTGCTTTTTGCCTGAAATAATGTACCAAGGTGCAGACTCCTTAACCACGAGGCCTTTGCTGCCATTTGCCATAATATAGAAGGTCATCGTAATTTTGCCTTCTCTATCAGTAGAAAGATGATAGCTGTTTGTGACCAGAGTTGGAGGTTATATAGATGTTCGTATTTGTAAATCCAGATCTCTGGTATTTGATTGTTTAAGATACATTCTGTACTGGTTTCTGACCAATCAATTACCTTAAATCTGAGTTTGAGCTTAGACGTATTCTTTGTTACCTGTGACACAGACATTGACATTGACACTTATCCATGATTACCATATTGTAAATGGTAAAAAGGATATTACTGTTCTTGCATGCTTGTGTCTCTAAGTGCCTAAAAAGGATTTTGCTGTTCTTGCGTGCTTGTGTCTTTAAGTGCCTTTGGTTATGGTTTTTTTTGCATAATGTCAATAATTATAATACGAAACAAAATGGAGAATGTTTATATAAGTAAAAATGTAACTTATAATAACTGATATTTCAAAAAGAAAGAGTGAAAAGTTGGTGATAAGGTATTATCTGACTTTTATTCTAAAGCTCTTTTTATTTCAGCCAGTTGTTAGAGTTGACATCGGGCAAAGATGAGATTTGTGCTCTGGTAAAACTGGAATTTTACCCTGCCCTACATACTGACAGCATTGTTCCTAATATGTTTGGTGACCTCATCATAGGAAGTAATACAAAACCTGCAGAAACTTCCATGTCTGTTCTAGCAGCAAGAAAAAGTAACTTTAGTAATGATCAAAGTTCTGAAACAAAAATAGGTGAAAAACCCACAAAACGTGCTGTAGTTGTTGAGAAACGAGACCAGTATACCCAGACAGATAAGGTTGTTGAGAAAGCAAACATTACTGATAAAACAGAGAAGCAGGTTAGTAACCAGGATTCTGCAGGATATCATAATATGCAATGTGATCAACAATATGTATCATATCCCCAAAATTCACCACCAGGTTTTGGACATGTTGCAATGCCTTATTGCTCTCATGAGTCATACCCCAACCTCAACCCACCACCGGGATTTTCTGTCTACCAGCGACCTCACGCCCCTCAGCCGTACCAAGTAGCTGGAATTCAACAGCCAAGTGTGAATCCATACATATTGACCAATACTCCAATTTATCAGGGTTCTGGTTGTAACGAGTGGTATGCTGCCATGACTACCTCAGCCAACAGTTATCAAGGCCAGAATACATATCCATGTCCTTACAGTAAATCAGTGCCACAAGACCCACCATGTTTTTATACATCAGAACAGCATTATACAGGTATTCCTCTTGTAAGTAAATCTAATAAATATGGCAAAAGTTCTTCCTGTCCAGATACTAATGTTAGAAAAGTTAGCAACAATTCCAATAAAACTGTTGAAAATAGCGAAGTTTCAAATATTCCTCTTCCAATGGGCCCTATGCCCAGACAGAATTTAATACATTGCAACAAAAAGATGGACATTGATTTTGAACAAACTTCTGAAGCTGTTGAAAAGACTTGTGGTGATAAAAGCTTGTATTTGGTATCAAGCGACAAAGAAAACTCTGGTAAAAACAGAAATGACAATTGTGCAGTTGAAATGGAGACAGATGAATTGGTAAACGAGGGAAAAAATGGCTTGTCAGAAATGAACAAACCTCAAAGTGATATTCACAGATTTGAAAAGCTTCTTGAAAGAACAAATGAATTGTTGGAATCGAGTCACATTAATGATGTTGATAAAACAAAAAGAACTGATGAAGCAGAGGAAGTGTTCATTAAAAAGTTGGATGCAGAGAAAACTACAAATATACAAAAAATACAAGATGAAAATAAGCAGAAAGATATTACTCCAAACAAAAATAGTAACATAAACAAAGGAACTCTAGGGACTGTAGACAGTTTATTATCAAGTATTGGTAAAGATTTGAAAGTGAAAATAGAGAGAGGCGAAGAAAATGTTACAACAATGAAACCATTAAGAAGACCCCTAAGACTTCCAAAGAAATGCCTGTCCCAGTCAAAGACAAGACCAGAATCTAACAATGATTCTTTGTCAAGTGTGGACAGTGGAGTTATTGCAACAGAAAACACAAATGACAACACCACTAAAACTACATTTGCTACCCAACTTGATAAGAAACTTTCTGTACCAGATCAAACAACTGAAAACATGTCTCCCTTAAGTCTTGATCAGGTAATCAAGCAAGAGAACACAGACAGTGTTAAAGTAGAGAATGTTGAAGAACCAACTGTAACAAATGGAACAGATATCAGTAACATTAAAGTGGAAGAAGTGCCAGACACTGAAGATTCCGAGTTACTCGATTTAAGTGTTTCATCTGGTACCAACTTAAGAGATGTAGTCAAGAGTAAAGGTCCATCAAAGTCAGAGGTTAAAGAATTGAATAAAATAACTCTGCAGTCTCAGACTCAGTGGCTAAAGGGTTATCTACAGCAAATGTTACCAGAAAACAAAGAGAAGGATACGAAACCTAAAATAACTGATGAAAATAACAATAGCTCGGAAAGTAACTTGACTGATAGGTCAAAATCAGAGAGTGTCAATATGGATGATGAAACTTCTACCGTGGTAAAAGAAGAAAATGTGCAAACTGTTGATTCAGGTTCAGATGTAATTGAAGCTGAACTGAAGAAAAAATCGGAATTGGAAGTGAATACCTCAAAGACAAAACAGACAAATAAGGAGTATTTCGAGCCAAACAAAGACAGTGTAACTGAAAGAAAAACAGATATGAGAAATCTGAAGAGTGCAGTAAAAGGATTTTTAGGTATCAGCTTTTTACTTTAAACAAAAACTTAAATTTCATTTAATGTAAATAAAATAATCATAAAGAAAAGTTTTTGTCAGGTCTAAAAATGTTTAAGCATTAAAGATTCATGCTAAAGGAAACAAATTTGTACGTAAATAGATAACCTTATAATTTGTTTTGTATTAAATTTAATCAACAGCATATTAAATAAAAAAAAAATCTTTAAGAAGTCTGTTGAGTAATTTGTATTTAACTCTGTTGTCCATGACTGTATTTCCTTTAGATATTGAAAGACACCAACAAATAATTGAAATAGTTACTGACGATCACTAGAGACAGGGATGATCTTTGTGGTAATGTAAATCATGTTTCTGGTCTGCTTTTGTTTTTAAGGTGGACAAAGAGAGGCTAATCAAAGGTGCACATCAACATATTCAAGACTTGGTGCCTTACAAGCTCATTGGTTGAAAAATTCACCAGGCACAGGTGAGTTGTTGATGAATAACAACGTTCTACATCGTTTCTAGTTATACTGAAGGTTGTTAAGATTTTACTCACATTGTCTCTTGTTGCCGAGGCACACAGAAGGGCAACTAAGGTCTTCTTCAGGTTAAAAGCTGGAAAGTTGCATGTGGTCACATTAATGTATACATGCTTGCTAATGTATACATGCTTGCTCAGAATTATTTTGCAATTTTAAGTGTTTTATATCATCTATATGTTTTATATCATCTATATATTTCTATATAAGTTTCTATAAATTCTAGTAATGAAGTTTTATACTTAGTTTAGTGAGAACTTGTATGAGATTTTGTAAATTTCAGCTATAAAAGCTAAGTTCCTGTTCAGTTGTTCAGAAGACATGCATTTTCCTATAGGAGTCACAACAAACAGTCTTCAACAGATTATCGTAGCTGATACAGGCAATCATTGTATCAAAATGTTTGATCAGAATGGAAAATTAATCAGAGCTTGTAAAGGGCATGTATGTATTGTGTTACATGTGTCTTGAGAAAATTGTATTTGTTTGATATTTTATATATACATGTTTATGTTAATAAATTTTGCATGTTTTTTGGTTCATTTCATGGGCCTCTATTCTAAGGGTTTTAATGTCAGTTGGATATTGGCTTCTTGGGCTAAAAATTGATGTTCTTACTCATCTTTGTATTCACCAAAACATGCTTAAACCAAGAAGTAACTTTTGCCAAAACAAGGTTGCACTTTCTGATACGTTCTTAGAATGACTTAATTTTGCTTTTATGAATGAAGTTGTAAATTCATACACAGGCTTTCTACTGGTCCCTACTTTTCCTACTTTTCCCACTTTTCCCTACTTTTTTCTTTTGATCCCTACTTTGCCCTACTTTTTTCTGAAATAGCCCTATTATCCCTACTTTTTCAATTTGAAATGAAATGAAAAAAGAAGATATTTAAAATGGTATTTCAGTTGTATTTTCAGTTGCAATTGATTAATAGTTCAGGTGTGTGTGTGTCTCCTTGTGATGTCCATCCTTGAAAGACTCATGGTCAGAGCTGCATTACTGGTACTGGTACTGCAGTATGTACTGCAGCGATTTTGCAAGTACTGGTACTGATACTAAATTACTCTTACAAAATTTTGCTACTACTGGTACTGCATTACTGTCTTTAAAAAGTAGTACTGCTATTGCATTACATGGATTTTTGGTTTTGATAAAAATGTCATTATTTTTACTCATATAGTAAAGCTGTAAATTCCATGTATTATTTTATTGTTGTGAAAAAGTAAGTTATCAAATCTATAAATAATTTGCTGCAATATTCCTTCAAATGTTAACATAGTATTCATCATAAAAAAGCACCAAAGACTTAAAGTAAAATTAAATTGAGATAAACAGAGTCAATAACTCTTTACTGGTAAAAAATCCTTATTGCAATCTTATTACAATGTATTTACTAGTAAAAAAAAGAGCAAAATAAACACTAATTAATTACTTCTATTCTAAATAATCCTATTTCAAGTGATATTGTTAGCACCATAAAAAGTTTTACATTGGTATAACTTGAACAGAGGTGTAAAGGTGTGAAAGGCAACAAAAAGACTGGTGGGTTTAAAATGTAAAATTATTGCATTGTATTACAGTTGAATCGGTTACTCAACAATAACATATGACATGAATATATGTTGTAATTATTGTTTGTAAAAAGTATGTTCGTTCATTTAAGTTGTAAAAATGCAATGTCAACTTTAAAGTAAATGATTTTATTTCTTTGTGGAATAATGTTTGCAATTATTTTGAATGACACTGTGTATTTATTCAAACTTTGATGAATATATAAAAGTATTAGTACTGGTACTTATTTACTTCCCCCAAAAAAGTACTGGAACTGCAGTACCAAGCTAAAATCAAGTACTGGTACTGGTAATGGTACTGCAAAACTTGGCAAGTACTGGTACTGGTACTTAAGTACTACACCCTTAGTACTGATGCAGCTCTGCTCATGGTGCCTTGGCAAAACATTCAGCAACATTCTGGCTTTGAGGTGCCTCACAGTCTTTCAAGCATGGACTGAGCTGAAGATACATACAGCCGGATTTGGTCTTGGTGATGGTATGTTTTGCTAATTCTTAAATAAAACGGTAAGAAATTCCTACTTTTTCCCTACTTTTTAACATCAGAAATCCCTACTTTGCCCTACTTTTTGGTAAAAAAATGCCCTACTTTTTCCCTAGTTTTTTTGGTAGAGGCAGTAGAAAGCCTGCATACACTACACAAGAAAAAAGTGCTAAATGAAAATATTAGTTTTCTTACCGAAATATGATTTATATGCAGTATGCAAAAAAAAGAATCAAACAATGACTGCTGTAACATACTGGATTATATAGCTCTCAGGTAACTGTTTAGGGGAAATTCGACATTACCACCATAAAAAGTTACCCTCAAGTTAGATATTCCAGTCTGTACGGGTTTCTGGTGTAAGATCCTTAAAGCATGTACTGATATAATTATGCAGTCTCACCAGGCATTGTACTGGTTACTGTTAGTAGCTAAATTTTTGTATTTTAATATTGATATCCCAGAATTTTCAAATTGGACTGTTCCATTTTAAAGCTTGGCAAATCAATTACTCAAATTCAGTGGGTTAATGGTTAATGACTTGCTTTTAGCTTCGTCAAAGCCAGGTCAAGAAGCAACTATATGGTGTCACTGATAGGCTTGTTATTTATTACTTCAGAATATGCGTCGACCTTCAGCAGTAGTAGTGAATGAGTTTGATCATATATTTGTGAAGGATGACCTGTCTATCAAAGTGTTTGATAATCTTGGTGACTACATGATGAATATAGATACAGAATTTACCAGGCCATTTGGTAAGCTAACTATATTTAATAAATCATTTAACCCTTAATTTAGCTTAATTTTCAAGCTAGTACTTAAACCAAATCATGCTAAATATCTTATGGACTTATTCGCCTTTCAATCTGGACAAAACCATTTATTTTGTAGGGAAAATTTCAAACAGTGCAGACCACTTACATGCCAACTGATCTTGGTCTGCACTTCTTGCATGGGTATTTTCAGCTGCAGCAAGGTGGCTACAGATTAAAAAATATGTCATGATTTTAAGAATATCATCCTAAGTTTATTCACACTAACATAAGCGATTTATATTTTCTCTTTTAATGCAGGTCTTGTGCTTACCCCGGCTAAATGTCTGCTTGTGTTGGAGACGGACAGACGCCATCCAGCACTTGTGCACGTTTCTCAAGATGGCGGACATATCTGGAGGTTTCCCTATTTACCACTGATAAATGCCCCGCCAGGAAGCAAATGCCGGTTTATGGCAGTTTCTGAGAATCATGTACTAGTTAGTGATTTAGGTTTGTATACTTAACTGAGTTTGCAATTTATTATTGTGAGCTTTTTCTGAATAAACATAAAAAATGAGAATAAAAGAAATGGGATATTTGCATTTCTGTGTTAGTATGTATTAAAACAAAATTATTCAAACTTGATTATGAAGCTTATAGCTTCTTTTAAACACTCCCCAGTTTGCTTCCTTCAACTAAACACTGCTTTTGATGTGATATTACGAAACTGTTTTTGTTTCCCCAAGTACTGCTCTAAAAAATTATTCCCTATGTTGAGGCAACATAACAACAAGTGCCTTTCACTATTGTACTGAGATATTGAGATTTTAATATCATATTTAATAGAAAGTTGGAAAATAGCATCTCTTTATGCTGATTTTGCTCAGTTATGGTCTTGAAACTTGAAACTTTTTATTTAATTAAACGCCTGTTTCTATTTACCAATATTCAACGGCGTTGTACAGTACATATAAATAATAAGAACAAAATTGTGAATGCATAAGAATATGTGGATCAACATCAAATGAAATAAAAGCTTTTACATACAATTCCAATTAACATATTTTTAAAAAATTGCAGAGACCATAAAATGGTCTGAACTTTTAATGTCAGTGAGTGTATGTTTTCATGATTACAGGATTAAGCCAGATTTATATAACAGACCTTGAAGGGTTATCTTTCAAAGTGATTGGCATGCCAGGGCATGAACCACAGCAGTTTTATGAACCCTCGGGAATCTCAGTTGATAACTATGGCAACATTGTCATAGGAGACAGTAGAAACAATAGGGTGCAGGTATGTTTGAATAAGTCGTGTTTAACCTGCTACAACCAAGAAATAAGCCTCTGGCACCAGTAAAAAGCACAGCCAGCTTGACATCCATGCAGTCTGAACTGGTTTTCTACTGATGATAGTTCAAGTTTTGTATTTTGATTATGATATTGAAATCCCTCAAGGTTTGAATGGAATGATCTAGATTCAAGGCAGGGCAAATCAATTACGCAAAATCAGGAGGTAAATGGTCAAAATCAATAAAAACATAACATAATCTTATTTTTTCCACACATTACAAATGGACCAGGATTTTGGTCACTTCCATATGTTCATTCGAATCAGCCTTTGAATTTTTAAAGGGGAAGCTTGGGATCAACATCATTTGCAAAGTATGTCATTCCATTGCTAAGTATATGTAAACAAAAGTCATTTCAAGCAAACTTAAATGATTTGTTTTTCATGGTGGAATAAAGGGCATCATTTGCTGAGTGGTTGAGGTTGTTTACATCAAACCACTTGCCTTTACCTCAGTGGGTTCAAATCCCAACAGAGACTTCAGATTCTCCCATTTGAGGAAATTATCTTACGGTTCTACTAAGGTGTCCGTTTATGCCTGAAATATTGGTTTTCCTCCACCAATAAACCTAGAAAGTTGCTGTTTAACCTATACCATGTTGGTGAGATGTAAAGTCCAACAAAAAGAGAAAAAAAGAACCACAATGTATTAAAGTTACATCTAGAAAATAATTCATTTAGCAAGTCATGTATAGGAAACATTTTCTTATGATTAGTATCAGCATTGTCTGTTTAGTTATTAAAGTTTCTGATTCAGATACCTCACACCAATGTGGGTTAATTGTACCCAAGGGAGGGTGTAAATCCACCGCGAGACTTTGGATTCTTTCAAATAAGGAAGCCATAAAGCAAGCTTGCATACACAACAGTTATTTTACTGAGATTCACTGTTACATCTGAAAGAATTCTAGTATGCTACTGAAATCTTGCTCCTTATGACATGTGCGACTTACAATTAAAAAAGAAAACCCTATATAAATGATTAGAAAACCCTATAAAGTGATTAACAATGACAATCTATAAATATGTTTTACTTGCAGGTGTTCAGACATGATGGTTCATTCACAGGGTTGATCGACTTTGATGAAAAAATTGTCCGCCCATCTGATATCCATCTCACGTCAGATAATAAACTGATCGTTGTCAATTTTATCCATCACATCATCAAAGTATATCAGTTGCTAGGATAACGTAACTGAGAAATCAACAAGCTAAGTAGCAGTTACAAAAAATCACAATAAGGCTTCAAGAATAAGATTAAATTTGTGCAGGATATAAACAATTTTTACATTAAAACTGATATTTTTCAAGTGCCAAAATAAAAACGTTTGCAAATGAAATGTTCAATGAAACTTTTCAGATTTCCAATTTCACAAAAATAACAAGCACAATAAGCACTCCAAATGAAGGTGTTCTCTGAACAATCAGTAAGTGATGGCAGCATATAGCCAAATGTTTTTTTGCTTTTTGAAGTTAAAGCTTTGGTGTTGGGGGGAAAAAAATCTTGTGATTGAAAAATTCAAATGTCATTGTAGAATACAATGATGAAAATGAAAGCAGCTTTCATAATCTCATTTTAGAGAGGAATAAGTAAGATTAACTTCTAGTGTAATATAGATGATGTTATTTGGGAATAAGAGAAATTACTGATATGAGCCTTGTCATGACAAAACCGACATAATCGGTTTGCGACCAGCATGGATCCAGACCAGCCTGCGCATCCGCGCAGTCTGATCAGGATCCATGCTGGTCGCAAACCCACTATGTTGGTTTTGTCGTGACGTTGCTCATATGTTTTATAATATCACATGATGTACTAATTTACAAGTGTTTTACAAGGTAATTGAGTCTGCTGGTTATGATATACGATTTGTGTGTTCTCCAAGACTTAAAATTGCTGATGCATAAATAGTAAACAAAAAGTAAACAACAAAAATAACACAAACTATTGATATATTGTACTCCAGTTTATATTTTTCTTTGTTCTTTAACCCTTTCGCTGCCAGAGGGTTATTGTTTTATCGTTCACTTATTTGCCAGAGGATTTTCTAAGAAATTACTATATTATTAATATAATTATTATTATTTGTTATTAGTATTATAATAATTATATATGTTTCCAAAATTGTTAGTATAATAATAATTATTGTAGATGGTATAATTTTCTTTATATTTCTTATTATTTCTTTATTATTATTATTGATTTATTATTATTACTATTATTATTATAGAAACGGCTAAAGCCGTCCATATGGCAAATACGCCAAAAATAACAGGGACGGCTTAAGCCGTCCCTATGGCAGTGAAAGGGTTAACTGCAACTGTGATTTTGTTGTTACTATTGGTTTGATTATGTTGAGCAGGTAGGAAATCTGCGCTGGATCTAGACAATTTGAATTTTTTTTATTTTTTTTTTATTTACGGGTTTTGTCATATAATATTGTTAACATTTAAATAGATTTATATTTTCAAATAGAAGATATTATACTGTAGTTATTAGCTCACCAGAGCCGAAGGCTCAGGGTGAGCTATTATTATCAAAGGGGGATGCTCCGGCGTCCGTCGTCATGCGTCAACAATCGTCTTCTTCTCTGAAACTACTAAGCAGATTTACTTCAAATTTAGTCTGTAGCATCCTTTTGACAGTCACACTTGAATTTGCTCATGTCATTCCAATTGGCCCCTTTTAGGGGTCAGCAGAGCTAAAAATAGAAAAACCTTTAAACATCTTCTTCTACAGAACTAATGGATAGATGATCACCAAACTTTGTCTGTAGCATTCTTGGGTAGTCTTTTATCAAGTTTGCTCAAATTAATTTGATTGGCCCCTTTTAGGGGCTGCTAAAGCTAAAAATAGAAAAACCTTTAAACGTCTATTTCTACAGAACTAATTGATGGATGATCACCAACCTTTGTCTGTAGCATTCTTAGGTAGTCTTTTATCAAGTTTGCTAATATTATTTTGATTGGCCCCTTTTAGGGGTCTCTAGGGCTAAAAATAGAAAAAACCTTTAGACATCTTCTTCTACAGAACTAATGGATAGATGATCACCAAACTTTGTCTGTATCATTCTTGGGTAGTCTTTTATCAAGTTTGCTCATATTAATTTGATTGGCCCCTTTTAGGGGTCTCTAGGGCTAAAAATAGAAAAACCTTTAAACATATTCTTCTACAGAACTAATGGATAGATGATCACCAAACTTTGTCTGTAGCATTCTTGGGTAGTCTTTTATCAAGTTTGCTCAAATTAATTTGATTGGCCCCTTTTAGGGGCCGCTAAAGCTAAAATAGAAAAACCTTTAAACGTCTATTTCTACAAAACTAATTGATTGATGATCACCAACCTTTGTCTGTAGCATTCTTAGGTAGTCTTTTATCAAGTTTGCTAATATTATTTTGATTGGTCCCTTTTAGGGGTCTCTAGGGCTAAAAATAGAAAAAACTTTTAGACATCTTCTTCTACAGAATTAATGGATAGATGATCACCAAACTTTGTCTGTATCATTCTTGGGTAGTCTTTTATCAAGTTTGCTCATATTAATTTGATTGGCCCCTTTTAGGGGTCTCTAGGGCTAAAAATAGAAAAAACCTTTAAACATATTCTTCTACAGAACTGATGGATAGATGATCACCAAACTTTGTAGCATTCTTGGGTAGTCTTTTATCAAGTTTGCTCAAATTAATTTGATTGGCCCCTTTAAGGGGCCGCTAAAGCTAAAAATAGAAATACTGTTAATTGTCTATTTCTAGAAAACTAATTGATGGATGATCACCAAATTTTGTCTGTAGCATTCTTGGGAAGTCTTTTATCAAGTTTGCTAATATTATTTTGATTGGCCCCTTTTAGGGATCTCTAGGGCTAAAAATAGAAAAAACCTTTAAACATCTTCTCCTACAGAACTAATTGATGGATGATCACCAAACTTTGTCGGTAGCATTCTCGGGTAGTGTTTTATCAAGTTTGCTCATATAAATTTGATTGGCCCCTTTTAGGGGCAGCAAAAGCTAAAAATAGAAATACCTTTAAATGTCTATTTCTAGAGAACTAATTGATGGATGATCACCAAATTTTGTCTGTAGCATTCTATGGTAGTCTTTTATCAAGTTTGCTAATATTATTTCGATTGGCCCCTTTTAGGGACTGCAAAAGCTAAAAATAGAAATAACTTTAAATGTCTATTTCTACAGAACTAATTGATGGAAGATCACCAAACTTTGTCTGTAGCATTCTTGGGTAGTGTTTTATCAAGTTTGCTCATATTAATGTGATTGGCCGCTTATGCTAAAAATAGAACTACCGTTAAATGTCTATTTCTAGAGAACTAATTGATTGATGATCACCAAACTTTGTCTGTAGCATTCCTCATTAGTCATTTATCAAGTTTGATCATATGAATTTGATTAGCCCCTTTTAGGGGCCGCTTAAGCTAAAAATAGAAATACCTTTAAATGTCTATCTCTACAGAACTAATGGATGGATGATCACCAAACTTTGTCTGAAGCATTGTTGGGTAGTGTTTTATCAAGTTTGCTCATATTATTTTGATTGGCATCTTTTAGGGCTGCTAAAATTAAAAATAGAAATACGTTTAAACATCTTCTCCTACAGAACTAATTAATGGATGATCATCAAACTTTGTCTGTAGCATTTTTGGGTAATCTTTTATCAAGTTTACTCATATATGATTGGCCTCTTGTAGGGGCCTCTAAGGCTAAAAATAGAAAAACCTTTAAACATCTTCTACTTCAGAACCAATTGATGGATGATCACCAAACTTTGTCTGTAGCATTCTTGGGTACTCTTTTATCAAGTTTGCTTATATTAATTTGATTAGCCCCTTTTAGGGGCCACTAAAGCTAAAAATAGAGAAACTTTTCGAACATCATTTCCTACTGAAATAATTGATAGATGATCACCAAACTTTGTAGCATTCTTATGTAGTCATTTATCACCTTTGCATTAGCCCCATTTAAGCCAAAGCTTAAAAACCCCAGGTCATGGCATTTCTTCAAATTATTGTTTAAACATATTCTATGCTCAAATTTAATATTAGAATATATTGACATTCCAACACTGAAAAGCAGTTGTTTCTGGTGAGCGACTCAGGGCCATCATGGCCCTCTTGTTTATTATTCACTTATTATTTCATAATTTGAGATTATTGTCAAAACAGTTATTTTTTCATTGTTTTTCTTTTATCAGGTGTGTATGACTGCCATGTCCTCTTGTTAAGAAAATAATCCCAAATGATGTACAACTTGGCGCCTATAGTTTTCTCCATCATCGTTTAAGGTGAAAAAAATGTCATATGACCTTTTTGGTATTGGTTTTAACCTTGGTTAGCATAATAACTCTCATTGGCTGTTGAACTTTAATAAGTAATTACTCATGTACTTCAATTTTGTAATAGGCTACTAAGCTTTAAGTAATAATTTTTTTATGTCTGTTTGTAAAACTAACAAAGAAAATTAATTTTTTGTAAAAAATAATATTGAGCTACATTGTAAGTTACAGAATTAAAAATAAAAACCAACAACATAAAGCAACCTTGCCTTGGTATGCAATGGCCGCTATAATCCTTAATGCAATTACAAGGGAGTATACCTGAAGTTCAGAACTTCTAGACACCCGAAAGCGGTCTCCTTCTTTTTAAAACTATTTACTATTTACAAAATAACTAAATTTGATTTTTAAAGTTTCCAACTTTCACCCATGCAGTTAGAAAAGGGATTTTCAGAAAAGAAAGTTAGTATTAAAAGTTAGGAATAAGGTTCCAAGTTGCTTATACGGACCTCAAACATGTATACTGTGTTCTGTTTGATAACCCTTTATTACCTCATGATAAGTTTGAAGTGATAAACATTTATCATTTCATCTTTTTTGATATTTTTCTTCATTTCTTTGTTAACTGCTTTATGTTGAAATGGATAAGAACTTAACAATATTTGCTTTATTTTTTGCACATTTTTCTTTCCTTATTACTGTAATTGATAACAGTCCTGTATGGTCTGTCAATACAGTACTTTTCTTAAAATAAACTATTTGATTTCTTTAATCCAAAAGTGTTTATTTTTTCTATTACCTTACCGAAGACCAGTGCGTTCAGATCCCAGCAAAGACTTGATTATTTTTCCTGTGAGAAAGTTATTATAAGGAGTCTGCTTGTGGCAAACAAAACAGAAAAAAATGGATGAAATTGTTCTTTGTCATCACTCGCATCTTGTATAACAATGTTCATAAGTCTTTAAGGGTTTATTTCAAGAGTTATCTCCTCTTTAGTTTAAGACTTCCTTTAAACATGTTATATAATATTCTGGTAACAACCAAGGATGTTTCAAGATTTACCCTCAGCGTTTGTCAGTCTGTCCCTAAAAACTGTTTCCAGAGATCACTTTTAAGGAACTTTTCCAACAAATTTACTTAAAATAGAGAAAAAATTGAAAATTAGTTATACATATTCATCCTGAGAAAATTGGATCTTTTGATTATCTGTTGTATAAACAATTTCCTTACAAAGCAGGAAAACTTGACACATTACTATCATGGAATAGACAAACTAACAACTTTAAAGGATTAAGTTCATACTTTCTTCCACAATGGCATTATTGAATGGCTGGGGTTCTAACCGGTGGGGGACTTTTGCATTGCTTGCAATGCTATGATAATTGGCTGTTTGTAATTTTTTTGTTGGTTTTTACATTTTGCCAAAACAGTAGAGGTCCACGCCAAAACAGTACAGGTCATAGGCAACTTAACGACTTTACTGGTGGAGGAAGACCTCAGTTGCCTCTCTGTGCATTATTTCAGACAAAAAAGAACTCTAAACATTTGGTAAACTACCTGGGTATCTTCTTCACTTGAAAGAACCCATAGTTCCATGCCAGATTTAAGGACCTGAATCACTCGTCAACAAATACATTGATGTGATATTTTCTATACCCAGAACTGCGTCAAATTGTATTTTGCCAAAAATCTTTATAACTTCACTGTAGTATAATAATATTGAATGAAGACCGTATGGTGAATACTTATGCTCAGAAATACAAAACAGACAGACATTTAACATCATATTTCATCAACCACTTTTTCAGGTGTTACACTAAACTTTAAAAACGTATTTAATTTAATTTTATTTTTTTAAGTATAAATTAGCATTTCAAAATGTGCAATAAATAATTAACAAAAAGAAAAGTATGCTGTTTGAATATGTATAATATTTTTTCTATAAGGATAATGCACATGAGATTTTCCAAAATCATTTTTTATTCAAAACAAACCAAGGGAGATAACTGTAACAAGAATGATGCACATTTAAGTTACAAGTTGTCTTCCTTTTAAAACAAAAAATGGCTGTGTTTTATCATGGCAAAGTTTTGAATAGGCAGAATCCACCCTTACTGCTAATTAAGAATAAATTAAACCACAACCAATAAAACAAAATTATTTAAAATGAGTAAAAATGTCTATTACATGACTGTATCATTGAATGAAAAAAGATTCAATTGTATTTAATTTTCCATTTGAAAAGTTTTATTAATTAGCACTTTCATGTCTCAAGAGTTCAATTTTCTTCAAGGGCAAGTAAATCTTGTCATTTCTTGTCAAGATCTGCGATGAAATTGTCTCCCTTTTCTCCAGCAAGTTGACAGTAATGTTTCACGGCAGAGTTGTATTCTGTTACAGTCAGTAATTTAGAAAACTCGACAAACACAGAATCTGTAAAACAAATAAATAATGAATGTGTCAGCTTGTTTATGTACTTTCAATAATATTTTTACCTTCTAGAAAATAAACTTATTTTTTTATTAGGAAATTATTTCTTTTTTGCCATCTAAATTTGTTGGATTAAACATTCATATGTATTATTTAAGCTTGATTGCGAAACAAATTCTTGCAACTTATATTTATCTATTTTGAGTCCACTTCCTGGAACCAACCAGTACTGGTGACTTATGAAGAAACATGGTCTTGACGCAATTAGGGCTTGAACCCATGACCCCTGGGTTGAGAGGCAGACACCCTAACCACTAGGCCACTGCTCCCCATCTGTTGTTGGACATGGTTATTAATGTGATGTGGAGACATTTTAAAAATAATTTTGATATGAAGTTTAACCTTAACTTTGAGTATGCCAGTTTGTTTTGTATTTTAATCAACATCCTTAAATTATGCTGACTGGTGGTTATGTTGGATTTTGCAGTTTACCCACCAGATCACAGACATAAGCCACTTTGAATTCACCAGAGCACAGTTCAGCCATTGCATTATTCCTGGGTATGCTGTAAAGCACTGTACCAGTACTAATGTGTTAATTTTCACAAGGAACTGATGACTTCTGTATATATCAGAACAGATGTACAGTACAAATAACCTTGTCATGATCAATCACAACGAAAACAACCTGCACCATCTTGGAATCGAACCTTGGTTGCTCGATTCACAGTCCAATGCTCTACCTATTGAGCTAACCAGATGGTTACAATGCTGCAAGGGGCGGTTATTGGAGTGTAGGTGTTAGTCAAAATAAGAAAATTTGAAAGTATAAGAATAATGAATTTTCAAACCTGTATATTCAGATTTCTCAAGTAGGCCTTGTTCTAAACAAGACTGGAGGAATAAAGCAGCAGTATCAAACTGTCTGTGAGAACACAACATGTGTAGAACTGTAGCAAACTGGTTGTGGGATAACATCAGTAACATAGCTTTAATCTGAAAATATAAATCAAAACTGGCATTTACAAATAGACTATTGTTAATATGTAATTATTGTTAGGAAAAATTAAGTTATTTTTTTAAGTAATATGATTGGCTGAGTGAATGGTCACCAGAAATGATTTCATATTTGGTCAAGGTCAGATCTAAAAGCGGAGCGTTATTTAGAGCTGATTTTAATCAGATTGCAGCAATACTAAACTTGTTTTCACAATTCAAAGGACTCAAATCTATTCCCACTGGAATGACAAAATTAAAGGTACTACACCGAGGTTTTTACCATGACAGGACTGAAAATATTTTTTCAGGATAAATGTTCTATTCAATGTAGGTCTACATCAGTAACTTGTGTGCAAATTTTCAGATCATTTGCTCAGTCCATTTTTCCAAATAATTACAGAAATTGTGAAAAATGACCCAAAATTGAAAAAGCATTGCAATGCTTTTCACTCAAATCAGCTACAAACTGCACAAAATATGATTTTCAATTTTTATATTCTTTTTTTGTTTTTTGCATATCTTTCTGTTTTAAGTGTCCCAGCTCCTGTACTGTATACAAGAAATACAAATTTAATGTTTTAAAGCTTTTGGACCTCAGTGGAGTTCCTTTCAAGTAAAGACATAGTTTTAACACAGACTGATTACTATGATAGGGATTTAAATTTTTTAAACCATTTTTAAAAATAGCTGAAAATGATCAATAAAAACTGTAAAGCTGTTATGCCCGTACAATAAAAATATTGATTTTGGTCAGTCAGCGTGTCCAGTTACCATTACATTCTAGGTTAATTGTAGATTGTATGTATACAACTAGATAAAGTTATACTTTTAAGGCAATTAAATAAATAAAAGCTTTGAATTTAAAATTATGCTTGTATCGGAGTATAAATTGTCATTTGGAATATTAACATGTGTTATATTTATTTCAATACTGGCTGTAAACTTTCTATCAGGTATGTTGAAGCTTTTTCCATTTTAATGTTATCTTGACAATTTTTAATGTTGCAGTTTCGAGCATTTTCTTTATGGATTCCTTATTTTTCCCTCTTTATTTTGAACTAAGGTGATGATGATATGTCCTATCCACACCAGTCATTTGAATTTATGTAACAGATTTGCTCAGTTTTGAATATTTTGGGTTGTAAAGTACATGCACATTACTTGTGCACTTCACCTTATTTTTACATATTTAACTATTATTAACTATTTTTAACTATTTCCAAATTTTATGAAATATAGCATGAATCTGGAGGCATGTCATTTGAATTTCAAAGCATAAAATTTATGATATTATTTTAAATAATTTATAATTACATCATTATAATACAATATTTATATTCAATACAAATTTATTAATACATTTTACTTAAACAAAACCAAATAAATATACAAATTGAAACCTAAAGATAAAATACACTATTTTTGTCCAAAATAAATCTCAAAATATTCAAATATGTCTGTTTTTCTGTTCATCATCTAATAATGAATGTGTTAAAAAAAAAAATTAAGAAAAATTGTACGAATTGTAGTCTGTTAATGCACCATGCAGCTCAAAATTCTTTTATGTCTTGAGGCCGAAAAAAAACGGGATTTAATTCTGGTCTACGGCCATTAACAAAAAGAGGATAAAGCAGAAAGGTATTCATATATAGATTGTTTTTTTATTTCATTTATAATGAGAAGATAATTTAAAAGATCTGAATGGCAAAAACTCTAGGATAAGTAGTTTAAAAAAACATTATAGGCAGGTAGGAAAACTCAAAATCGACCTTTTTTGCAGGCCTGAGCACGGATTATTAGTCTGTTAACAATCAACTATTGAAATGGTCAAATCTTATTGTCACTTTATTGTGTGCTTATTGAATAAAATATTTAGAAATTATTTACCTTTTGCTAAAACGCCTTAAGTCATTGTGTGCCAATCAAACAAAGATTATATAAAATGAATAGGATATGTGTAAGCAATATTTTGTTCAGAGAAAAAAAGCTTTTGTAGTTAATACTACACATCATATTAGTAGAATTATACTATATAAAAATATTGACTTTCAATACTAATACTTAAGTTATCAGTCAGCATGGTAGGTGTTACCTTCATGGGTTTATTTTTGTGTTCATTTTTAAGAAATTAACCATACAAAAAACTTTGATCAGGGCAAAATATCTAACTAAAAAAAGGAGGAATATAGCTTAGCACAATATAACTTCATATGATTATGATAATGATAATAAAAATAATAATAATAATAACAAGAGGGCCATGATGGCCCTGAGTCGCTCACCAGAAACAACTGCTTTCCAGTGTTGGAATGTCAATATATTCTAATATTAAATTTGAGAATAGAATATGTTTAAACAATAATTTGAAGAAATGCCATGACCTGGGGTATTTAAGCTTAAGCTTAAACAGGGCTAATCAAATTAATATGAGCGAACTTTATAAAAGACTACTTAAGAATGCTACAAAGTTTGGTGATACCTATCAATTATTTCAGTAGGAAATGATGTTCAAAGGTTTTTTCTATTTTTCTATTTTTAGCTTTAGTGGCCCCTAAAAGGGGCTAATCAAATTAATATGAGCAAACTTGATAAAAAGACTACCCAAGAATGCTACAGACAAAGTTTGGTGATCATCCATCAATTAGTTCTGTAGCTATAGCATTTAAATGAATATCAATTTTTAATTTTAGCGGCCCCTAAAAGGGGCCAATCAAAATAATATGAGCAGACTACCCAAGAAAGCTTCAGACAAAGTTTGGTGATCATCCATCCATTAGTTCTGTAGAAATAGACATTTAAAGGTATTTCTATTTTTAGCTTTACCGGCCCCTAAAAGGGGCTAATCAAATGAATATGAGCAAATTAGATAAAAGACTATCCAAGAATGCTACAGACAAAGTTTGGTGATCTTCCATCAATTAGTTCTGTAGAAATAGACATTTAAAGGTATTTCTATTTTTATATTTGCGGCCCCTAAAAGGGGCCCATCAAAATAATATAAGCAAACTTGATAAAACACTACCTAAGAATGCTACAGACAAAGTTTGGTGATCATCCATCAATTAGTTCTGTAGAAATAGACATTTAAAGGCATTTCTATTTTTAGCTTTTGCGGCCCCTAAAAGGGGCCAATCAAAATAATATGAGCAAACTTGATAAAACACTACCCGAGAATGCTACTTACAAAGTTTGGAGATCATCTATCAATTAGTTCTGTAGGAGAACATGTTTAAAGGTTTTTCTATTTTTAGCACTAGAGACCCCTAAAAGGGGCCTATCAAAATAATATTAGCAAACTTGATAAAACACTACCCGAGAATGCTACAGACAAGGTTTGGAGATCATCTATCAATTAGTTCTGTAGGAGAACATGTTTAAAGGTTTTTCTATTTTTAGCCCTAGAGACCCCTAAAAGGGGCCTATCATAATAATATTAGCAAACTTGATAAAAGACTACCCAAGAATGCTACAGACAAAGTTTGGTGATCATCCATCCATTAGTTCTCTAGAAATAGACATTTAACAGTATTTCTATTTTTAGCTTTTGCAGCCCCTAAAAGGGGCCAATCAAATTATTATGAGCAAACTTGATAAAACACTACCCAAGAATGCTACAGACAAAGTTTGGTGATCATCCATCAATTAGTTCTGTAGGAGAAGATGTTTAAAGGTTTTTCTATTTTTAGCCCTAGAGACCCCTAAAAGGGGCCAATCAAAATAATATTAGCAAACTTGATAAAAGACTACCTAAGAATGCTACAGACAAAGTTTGGTGATCATCCATCAATTAGTTCTGTAGAAATAGACGTTTAAAGGTTTTTCTATTTTTAGCTTTAGCGGCCCCTAAAAGGGGCCAATCAAATTCATATGAGCAAACTTGATAAAAGACTACCCAAGAATGCTACAGACAAAGTTTGGTGATCATCCATCCATTAGTTCTGTAGAAGAAGATGTTTAAAGGTTTTTCTATTTTTAGCCCTAGAGACCCCTAAAAGGGGCCAATCAAATTAATATGAGCAAACTTGATAAAAGACTACCCAAGAATGCTACAGACAAAGTTTGGTGATCATCCAATCATTAGTTCTGTAGAAGAAGATGTTTAAAGGTTTTTCTATTTTTAGCTCTGCTGACCCCTAAAAGGGGCCAATGGGAATGACATGAGCAAATTCAAGTGTGACTGTCGCAAGGATGCTGCAGACCAAATTTGAAGTAAATCTGTCCAGTAGTTTCAGAGAAGAAGACCATTGTTGACGCATGACGACGGACGATGGACGCCGGAGCATCCCCCTTTGATACTAATAGCTCACCCTGAGCCTTCGGCTCTGGTGAGCTAATAAACTTAATAATAACAACAATAAAGTCTTTATTTAAAAAGGCAACACAAGTAGGCATACCCAGTTTAGTTTCTTTAGAATGAGCCTCTATTAGATATACAATGTACATAAAACAAAAGGTAAGATAAACAATAAAAATTACAAATAATTAAGAAACATTTAAAATGAATAGCTACAGAATAAAAAAAACATAAAACAAAAATATAAACATTGTAAGTAAGATATACATTCATCATTTAATAATACAACTTGAAGACTGTTTGATTTCTACCACTGCTGAGAACCACCATTTCAGATAATTATTTTTGAATGACTGTAAATTTGTAGAATTTCTTATATCTTAGGGAAGAGAATTCTAAAGTTTGAGCCTGGATATGAAAACGATTTTCTGCAAAACTGAAGTCTAGATTTTGGAATTCAAAGTAATTCTGCCCTTTTATTAACCCATTACTTCATATACACGCCTTTTAACGCCTTTTTCACCCCCCCCCCCCTTTTTGTTGTCTCAAATGGTGAAAAATGCATTATTTAGGCCCTTAACACTTGTTTTTGTTTGAGAAATGTTGTTAAAAAAAGTGACCACTTTTTCGGCGCGGCCCCCCAACCAAAAGATACATCAGGGGGTTGCCAGAAGGGGGATGTGCCCCCTTCTGTTTGGGGGGTTTGAAGGGGGGCGGAGTCCCCCTCATCGCCAAGAAAATTTTGGACTTGTGAGAGGCTATAAATGACCCCAGATTGATCATAAGGTAACGTGTAACCAACGCTGAAAAGCATTTGACTCTATCTCAATCCATTGAGAAGTTGCAGCACTTTGAAATCAATTATAATGGAAAAAATCAACGCAAAATAGTGATTTTTGGCAATTTTGAGATGTCCCCTTGTTGCCATGGTAACAGAAAATTTAAGTCTGAGCATGTTGTTGCAAGGGCAATGGTCCAGTCAACATTTGTGCCAAGTTTGATTAGTGTTGAAGCAGTTTTTATAGTATTATAGCAATTTGAACTTGTAACGGGAGACTTTTCAATGAAAACAGCCATTTTTCACAAAATGCTCATGAAGTAATGGGTTAATATTGCATCGCATGATGATAATGTGCAAGAAAAACAAGTTAAAAAGGAATTGCTCAGGTAGATTCAGAGAAAATTGACATTAACGTGTTACTATGATAGATCCCTGAAAGGAAACATTTACAAGATAAAACTTATTGTGTCCATTTAATGCCCTCCCCCCCTTCTAATGAGTACCCCCTATCACATTTTGTAGAAGTTATAGATTTATAATCAATAATGAAAGAGCAATAAAAAAAAAATCCATTTTTTTTTTTTTTTTTTTTTTTTTTTTGTAAAGATCAATTTACATTAAAGAAATAATCCTGTATTATATATAAGATCATGATAATGAAATAATGATTTCTATTATTGAATCGTATCATATTTCGTAACATATTTCATATATATATATATAACACATATATATATATATATATATAACACATTTTAATAGTTCTATTTAGCCCCTCCCCCATCCCTTTTGAAAAAAACAAGCCCTTGTGGGTGTTAAATGGTAATATGGAAACAATACGGTATGCCAGTGTATAAGAGAGGAAAAAAGGTCTATAAAAATTTTGATTGAATAAACAAACTGAACTTTTCTAATCATGTTATATTTTACACACAATAATAGGACCTGTAATATTAAGTCTCAAGTTCACTTTCACTGGGATTTCGGAATTAACTGACAGAACTTAGTAACCAATTTAAGCCCCTTATACCCCGGTCACATATTCACGGAAGACGACCACGGATTAATTCCGGCATCGTCCGTAGCTAACCGTACTGGTCAGTAGTTCTCCGTATTGTAACCGTAATCAATCGTAGTAGTCCTTGTATATCCGTAGTGATCCTTGACAATTTTTGAACATGCACAAAAATTTGCTACGGAAAAATCAACCGTAGCGTATCCCTACTAGTCCGTATTAAACCATACTAATACGTACTGGTCCGTACTAAAAAACCGTACTAGTCCATACTGATCCGTACGCTCCAACTTGTCAAGGATTTCCACAGTTTGATACAGACAACTACGTATTTGTACGGTTACCCTACGTATAAGCTACGGTTTTAATACGGATTAAGATGGCATTGTCACGGAAAGCCACAATCATAATACTTTGTACTACGGAGAGGCAGGGATTAGCACGGTCTTATACGGTTTATTGCCTTGTAACACGAAACGGTACGGAATGGTACAGTCCACCACTGTTTAGTACGGATAAATTGAGTAACATGTAATTTTTCAAGGGTATGAATACCACCTTCTTGTTAAAAACAGACATATTTGCGTTTTCATATTGCGAACATGAACATTCAATAAAAGATATTTGTTAATGGCCCTGCCATTAACTGGCTGCAACTGTATATTGAAAATGCTCAGAATTCGGAGGCAGTGGTCAAGCTGCTTGATGACATGCATAGAGATCAAAAATATATAAATATCGTAGTACAATGCACTAATGATAGAATAACATTTAAGGTTACAAATTTTACAAAACATTGGATCGTGAAATTGGAGTAAATATGTACATAAAACGAAGTGATTCATAAGCTTCGGTCGCTGGCCCTTGAGTGATGATAAGATTAGTTAACAAGCTTTTTTACATATCAGTGTTTTTTTCCAATTTTTAAAACAACCTGTGGCTTTCTGAAGGGGAAAATATAGCGGGATAAATCAGAAAAGGGGAAACCTGAAATCAAAGTCCAACAACTGAAAATGGAATTTTCCCACACATTTTATGGATAAAATAATTTCAATTCAATTTAACATGCATGGTACATAGCAGAGGCTATCTATAGGGACAGATTTCTGTCTTCTAGGTGATATGTCAGATTCTGTTAAGTTATCATTCTTGTAACGAAGAGCACAAGGCATTTTAGGGGAAAATAGTAGCATTTTTAGGGGAAAATATATCTATTTTGGGCTAGGGGAAATAGCCTTTTTTCGGCTGCAAAATACAGTGAAAATAATCAATGCATGATATTTTTAAAACATAAACATCTACGATAATTAATGTAATTGTAAAATGAACAGCCAATTTCAAGCAGCAGTATTGATCAACATTTTTCATTAATGATTACATAAGCAGACACATATTTAAGTTGGTGGACTAGAGATTAGCTTTTACGAAGACCGCTTCATGGCAAGTTGCTTGTTGCTGAGGATCCTGCCAGAAATTCACTAGAATTGGACCCGATATATATAACTCGGGGGTCGGACGCGGTGAGGCTGAATCCTCTCTGCCAAAATCATTGAACTCTGTATGTTCTTTTCTTGTGAGGCATTTTAAAAATGAGCACAGATATAATAGGTCCGTATAGACCCGTGGCGATTCGTTCTTCTCCGTATCAGATCGTACTTATTCGTACTAACACGTGCGTATACCGTAGCAGACCATAGGGAATCCGTAGTTCGTCCGTCACGATTTGTGTTGCTCCGTATCAAACCGTGTCGATCCGCATCACTCCGTGTCTCTTCCGGGGCTTTTACCTACATTTTGGTGGTAAATCCGTCGAACTCCGTACTCATACCGTTGTGTTTCCGTACTGGAACCGTAGCGGACTATGGATTTTCACTTTTCCATAGTAATCCATGAACGTTTAGACCGTAGCTCTTCCGTGACGTTACCCTTGAATATGTGACCGGGGCATTACATGATAAAATTTCACATGGTGACAGAGTCTTGAACCTGGCACCTTTAGAATGGCATTCAATGGTTTTACTGCAGGCTTCTTCATGTTCACTTTTTGTACTTATAAATATAGCCTGATGCATGTATTTCACAGAAGTTAATAAAATTAGTTGCTATATTGTAATAATTAACTTCTCAACACAATTCATTACCATTTCAACAAGATAAAAGGCTTTGTGTTATCTATTATATAAATGCGATTAGGCATTTGACAAAATACCTGCTTATATTTCAAGGTAATATGTAAAATTGCCAAAAATTTTAGTCATTTTATAAAATGAGTAAAACACCTGGCCCCGTGTTCACAAAGAAAAGATCAGGATCAGGATCAACTGATTCTTATTTTATTTTTATTGTTTTATGTTACTGAAATTAATCGTATTTGCTAGAATTAAATGATAAAAATTAAAAATGTTAAAAATTGCTGATTTGCAAAGAAACCGAACTATTTTGGGATAAAATCAACAAATAACAGAACAAATACAAAAATATTCGGATCAAAATAAGAATCAATTTTAGGATCAGGATCAATATTTGGATCAACTGAAAAATGCCTGTATCATGCAAAAATAACAATAAATTTATCCTAAAATTTCATAAACTTGCTATTGCATGTCCAGTTTTATCAAATTAATATTAGATATATAATCTATGAGGATAAAAAATGAAGAATATAAGAGTTTTTAAATTTGATCCTGATCTTGATCCTGATCCTTAAATCTTTGTGAACACGGGGCCTGGATATTTTACAAAATGCCTAATTTCAGAAAATGCCTGTAACATATCTATATTGTGAAATACATTGTTTATAATGAGATAGCATTATAAGTTTATATTTCTACTTCAATATATTAATTAAAGCATTTGTTAGCTCAATACTTAACTACAGGTAATTGTCTTTACTTAATGAAACGGTACACCTATATCTGTTGTGATGATTGAATAGTTGGATCAATTTCAAAGAGCATAAATATAATAAGCAGATTATTTTCAGATAACTCAAATACAAACCCTATTCAAACTGATATTAGTATTCCTATTATATATAAGAAAAACAATGTTAAACTTAATTCTTTTTTTAAAAACAAACATATTTTGTTAAAACAGACTATCATAACATGCAATGGCATTGTGATCATTTTGATACTACAGTGTAACCTCGGCAAAGCAACACCCTTTGCAGACATTAAAGAAGATTTTTGTTGTTGCTAAGACATGTTGCTGTAAAAATTTGAATATATTGTGAAGTACATTAATGAGCTTGCCATGACAAAACCAACATAGTGTGTTTGCGACCAGCATTGATCCAGACCAGCCTGCGCATCCGCGCAGTCTGATCAGGATCCATGCTGTTCACTACTAGATTCTCTACTTGTAATATGGTTTAAATGTTTCTTTTTTTCACGTTCATTTAAATGGGAAAAAATGATTACATGTACTCTCTATAAAGTAATCGCTTCAATCTTTTTGTGTTTAGCACAGTCTTTTCTGTCTAGTCACAAAGCTGGCTACTTAACACAAGTTTAACTGTACATTTGATTCTAGTGTTATTGTGTTACAATTTCAGGATTTGCTACCATTGAATTACATTGGAAATCAGGCAGTTTGCTGTCACAAAACAATTCTAGAAATACACTTGTTCAAAGGATGAACTCTCAAAAAGTAAGACATTCATTGCATATACAAATGTATACCAAAATGACCTTTAATTAACCAAACCTAACTTGTATGACTTTAAGACAAAAAACCTATTAGCTTTAGGTAGAACAATATGACAAGTGTCACAATCATATTACTTTTTCAAATCACAACCGTATGACAACACAACTACATTGCATATGAATTTTATGCTCACACAACCATATTACAGTTATGAAACTCAAGTCATTAGACATTTAGGCAACACACCCAAAAAACTTAACTAACTCAACCATATGACTTTTAAGTAATACAGATATATGACTTCTAAGTAACACAACCATATGACTATTACCGGTAAATAGCACATCTATATGACTTTTAAGTAACACAACCATAAATATGACTTAAGAAACTGACCATATGACTTTTAATCATGACTTAAGTAACTCAACCATATGACTTTTAAGTAACACAACCATATGACTTTTAAGTATAGCACAGCTATATGACATTTTAGTAACACAACCATAATTATGACTTAAGTAACTCAACCATATGACTTTTAAGTACACAGCTATATGAATCTTCAGTAACACAACCATATGACCTTTAAGTATAGCACAACTTTAAGTAACACAACCATAAATATGACTTTAGTAACTCAACTATCTGACTTTTAAGTGATACAGCTATATGACATCTAGGTAACACTTGTATATGACTTTTAACAATACAACAATTATGACTTAAGTAACTCAACCATATGACTTTTATGTAACAAAGCTACATGATGTTTAAAATAGGCAACCATATGACTCTTAAGTAACGCTACCATAATTGTGACTGCAATTATTCTACCATATGACCTTTAAGTACCACAGCTATATGACTTTTAAAAACACAACAATAATTATGACTGCAATTATTCAACCATATTACTTAAGTAACACAACAATAAGACTTTAAATAGCACATCTACATGACTTTAAAGTAACACAACCATAAATATAACATAAGTAGCTCAACCATATGATTTTTAAGTTGCACAGCCAGCTATATGACTTTTAAGTAGCACAGCTATGTGACTTTTAAGTTACACAACCATAATTATGACTTCAGTAACTAAACCATATGACTTTTAAGTAACACAGCTAGACTATAAAGTAACACAACCATAATTTTCACTATATAGTAACTCAACCATATGACTTTTAAGTAACACAGCTATAATTATGACTCTGAAGTAACACAACCATATAACCTATAAGTAGCATAGCTACATGACTTTTAAACAACACAACCATAACAAGCAAATTCGTTGAATTTATATCCCCCGCCGAGTACTGGTTATTATTAACACAACAACTGAAGACATAAGGCTTTATTTATATATTAATCATGGCATAAACAGTAATATTCTTTGAACTTGATAAATATTCAGGGCAATAACAGAGCCATAACTTTGTGTTAAATAGTAAAATCTGGAAATGCCAATGAGATGTATGCAAACTACATAACTAATCAAGGGCCATAAATCTGAGTTATAAGTATCTGACTGGAACAAGGCGACTATATGCACATCTCTTAGTATCCCATAAAGTTTCATTGAATTCCAGCCAGTAGTAGCAGAGAAGTAGTGAGGAAACAAATATTTTTCTATATGGATACTGCATAAGTAATCAAGGGCCATAACTCTGAGTTAAAGTGTCTGACCCGGACAAGCTGATGATATGCGCATCTCCTCTTGGTATTGAAGGTTCCCATAAAGTTTCGTTGAATTCCAGCCAGTAGTTGCAGAGAAGTAGTGCGGAAACGATTTTTACTCTATATGCATACTACATAACTAATCAAGGGCCATAACTCTGAGTTAAAGGGTCTGACCGGAACAAGCCGACGATATGCGCATCTCCTCTTGATATTGATGATTCCCATAAAGTTTCGTTGAATTCCAGCCAGTAGTTGCAGAGAACTACTCCGGAAACGATTTTTACTCCATATGCATATTTCATAACTAATCAAGGGCCATAACTCTGAGTTAAAGTGTCTGACCCGAACAAGCCGACGATATGCGCATCTCCTCTTGGTATTGAAGGTTCCCATAAAGTTTCGTTGAATTCCAGCCAGTAGTTGCAGAGAAGTAGTGCGGAAATGATTTTTACTCTATATGCATACTACGTAACTAATAAAGGGCCATAACTCTGAGTTAAAGGGTCTGACCAGAACAAGCAGACGATATGCGCATCTCCTCTTGATATTGATGATTCCAATAAAGTTTGGTTGAATTCCAGCCAGTAGTTGTAGAGAACTACTCCGGAAACGAAATTCGGACGGACGGATGGACGGACAACGCCAAAACTATATCCCCCTCCCGATTCCATCGGTGGGGGATAGCTACAACTTCAGTAACTCAACCATATGATTTAAGTAACACAGCTATATGACTTTTAAGTAGCAAAACCATAATTATGACTTTAGTAACTCAACCATATGACTTTTAAGTAACACAGCTATATGACTCTTAAGTAACACAACCATATGACTTTTAAGTAACACAGCTATATGACTTTTAAGTAACACAGCCATAATTTTGACTTTGTAACTCAACCATATGACTTAAAAGTAACACAGCTATATGACTCTTAAGTAACACAACCATATGATCTTTAAGTAGCACACCATTATGACTTTTAAGTAACACAACCATAATTATGAAATCAATAACTCAACCATATTACTTAAGTAACACAGCTATATGACTTTTAAGTAGCACAGCTATATGACTTTAAAGTAACTCAACCATATGATTTTTAAGTAACACAACCATATGACTTGCAGCTTATTTATATCAAATTGACTTTTAGAGAACAGAGAAAGCAAATGTAGTTTGAAGTTCACCTGCTTCAAATCATCAAATCCACAGAAATATTTCTCAATGATTCCAATATTTCTTAATTTGGTCAAAACAAAACATAGTAATAAAAAATTTACCTCAGTTTGAAAAATTTAATGCCATGCCTGGCTTACTGTTTTGTTTCATAAATAGTAAAAATTAGAGATTTTAGTCCCATCATTTTGGGTGTAATCTTTTCATTCCAAGCACGTAAACTCTTCAACTACATGTATATCAGTTTGTTTTCTACCTGTGTGGAACAGAATCTATCTCCATTATACATGATATCATTGTGATAGAAAATATCTTGAAACATTTGACTGAAAAAGTAAGATTTGATGGCAAATCTGTCAACTATAGATCATGCCCTTTATGAACCATCAGCACAGATAATTTTTATTAAATTTAACATGCAGAACATATCAAGAAATATCTGATTCTATTTCATTTCTGAAGTTTACAATGCTTTACTAATATAATATAATAAAGAAGTTTTCTTTTTTCACAGGAACCCAAAGTCTACAGAAGTAATGGAAACAGACATTGGTGTGACAAAATGTACGACAATTACACATGGTTTCAAACTGACCATGGTCGTCTGCTGCTTAACGAAACAATATATTACTGTGGGATTCCAAAATGTGGTTCAACATTCATGGGAACATTCCTGCACAAATTATTTTCAAGCAAAATCGGAAATAATTCTTCTTCCTTTATGCTTCGAATAAAGAAGAATGTGACAATATCTAACGTCTACTCCTTTATGTTTGTGAGAGATCCATACAGCCGACTATTTTCAGCATATGAGAATAAATTGTTCAATCCAAATTCATTTTTTTCAAAACTGGGAACTGATATCATCAAGGAGGTCAGACAAAATGCATCGGCCCTAAGTTTACAATTTGGTCATGATGTTACCTTTACTGAACTTATTCAATACATCATAAAGTTTTACGAACAAGGTAGAAACCTTAATCCACATATTGCAGCCATGCATACGATTTGCCACCCATGTCGACAGAAATATAATTTCATAGGTAAACTGGAAACAATGACCACTGATCTTGTTCAGTTAGTAAAGGAATGGAACACACGTGGAATAATTTCAAAAAAGATGAATACAACAGATGTCGAATCTGACGTTAAGGACGGCAGAATATATGGCACGATCGGACACATGTTCAGATTCCAACACAAGGCTAAAAATTTGATTTCACAATACAAACTATTCCATAGGACGTGGGCAAGCTATCAAATACGAGGAATTATCCTCAAAGATTATGAAATGCCTTTTAACGAATCAAGTGCAAGAACAGCGCGTTTTGGGACTTACACTAAAGCAATACAGACTGCAGTTAGTGTCAGTAAAATGCATAAAAGTGAATTAAAAGCTCAAAGAAAAGAGGCCCTTTATCAGGCCTACAGAAATGTTCCTGTAGATCTTTTAGAAAAACTTGGACAGTTTTTAAAAACAGACTGTGAACTTTTTGGATATGAAAATAGACCTGGGTGGATTTTTAACCAATCTGAGTGGAAACCATTAAGTGGGCATAATTATTTTGAGTGGTTATGAATGAATTATGTGTATGAATTATTTGTGTAATTAGCTTCTAGTTTTATATAGAATATAGCAACTGAGAAAGCATTTAAATATAAATATAATTATGTTTTAAGTTTAAATACATATTTTATTTCAATATATACTTATTAATGAAATATTGAGAACTATTGATGAAATAAAATGCATATTTTCATTTTCTGTATTTTCACTGATAACTTGCCAGACTACTTTCTTCTTAATTCGCCCAGTACACAAAATTTAAGGGAAAGTCTTTCTAATTGTAATGTCAAAAAAGAGAAAAATGTATATAATAAGCAGAAAATTCAAGTTTTTTCTATGAATACATGTTTTATTTTCATCTTGTGGCATGAAAATTATATCGTAGCTGGAAGCAAAGGTTAATAACTTTTAGTTCTCACATTGTAAGTCTTAAATTCCATGTAACTGTACATGAAAAAAAAAAAACATTTAATACTTGCCCTCTGACTTTTGTTCCACAAGTGATCTGCCCATTTATATATAATATCAAGACATTCCTTCTCATTTAAATTTGTCTGAAATAGGAAAAATAAGTTACAGCGGAGGCAGGCAATAGATAAGTTCCCAACTAAAACCTTCACCTCGGTGACAGTAATAATTAATTACACTCGATGCCTTTCCTTGTTTTTCATAACAAAATTCTAAAATTTCTATTGTTTTTCATAATGGCTGCCAGTCAATGCTGAATTACTAAATTTCTAAAACGGACTTGCACAGCTTCCATTTTTGGTACTGTCTTTAATCTGTTTTGGAGATATAATGTTATCAAGGGTATTAAATGAGTTTAGATTCAATATTAGATTTATTAAACTTGTTGAATAAAACAATATTCCTCAACTACTAAACATATCAAACAAGTTAAATCAAATCATATTATGCAAGCCTCAGGCAGGCATAATATTGTTTTATTCAACAAGTTCAATAAATTTAGTATTGAATCTACATAAATATAATATTTTATTTATCATATATCCAAAATTAGAATGGTTTGCAGTTAAAAAAGAGTATTTTTATTATTGACAAGGCTATAAGTGTAATGCTTAGATAAGTGTGCTTTAAAGCTATTTTTTATGCATTCTTAACACAAATGCTATATTCTATACATGTATAACACAAATGCTATATTCTATACATGTATAACACAAATGCTATATTCTATACATGTATAACACAAATGCTAAATTCTATACATGTATAACACAAATGCTATATTCTATACATGTATAACACAAATGCTATATTCTATACATGTATAACACAAATGCTATGTTTTATACATGTATAACACAAATGCTATGTTTTATACATGTATAACACAAATGTGGTTACCTCAAATTGTTTTTACACTAGTTTAATATCATTTTTATTAAACAGCTTTATAACACTCCTGCATCGTGGTTCATGTGATAAGTAAACTTATAAGTACAGAGTGTGGTCAGATAACACACCTTAGGTTACTATGACAACATACTGGTCACTGGCACCATAGTCCTTAAATAATCGTAAAATGATCCGAATACATAAATAAGGCAAACTACCCAAAAAATTATCAAAAATTATTTTTCAGTCACAACTCATATACAATATCATATATAATTTCACTTTTTACAATTCCTTAAGGACACTGTTACCTTTGACTAGGGTAATGGATTTAATAATTTGAATATACATGTCATTTAGTAACCTCATACTGTAAGACTTAATAAATTCATACAGACAGCACCTTGGAAAAAGAATTCACTTAAATTTAAATTTCAACAGTCGTCCAAACTTCTAACTTACCTTTGCTAACCAAACTGCCTCCTGCCATTTGCCATAAGAAATCAAATATTTACAAGCATCTAGGTGCTTCCCAATCAAACATAGTAAGTCCACACCATCTGAAAAATGAAATATATTTATGAACTGTTATAAAATTAAACAGTAGCAAGGCATACAGAGTTAACGTTTGTCTGTTAAGGGTGACAACTGTCATTAACCAATTTTACTTAAAGTGTATAAAGTTATACATCTGATGCAAAAATTATTGTTTGGATTTTAAAAAAGAATACTTCCAAAATGCTTATGAAACAAAAATGGTAATAAATTGCCTTAAAGCGAGTGGCACATGAACAAAGTCATTGCTTATTGGATAAACCCTACTTAAAATAGCAAAATAATATTTTGTTCTGGAACATTTTATTCTGTTTACATACATTATTCATGTGTGTTAAATAACAGAGACATTCTATGTTAACTTTTTCGGGAATCAACCATATAATAATGGAACAAATATAATTTTACTGTTGATAAATTTTATAAAAATATTTCATCAGATATAGATTTATATCCTTTAAAAAGGGGCATAACTCAAAAAATATAGCTATCAGAATTATGCCCCATTGACTAATAACTGTACCTTGTCATGATAAGCAAATATTCGAAGTTTCATGTTAATTACTTTTAAGATGTTTAAGTTAAATGGGCTACATTACAGTTTATGCACAACAACGACCACAACACAGCTTAACTTTTTTTTCGAAACAGACTAGCTAAAACAGAGTCACAGTTCTGTTTAATAGGCCAGAAAAACACAAAATATTTCAGAAAAACAGCATGCCTAACTATAATCTCAGAGCCTTACAGTTAAAGCTGCATGCCTCCAGATAAGTAAAAATATTTCAATAAAATCAAACTTGAGAAATATGTACTACAGTTTTAAGAAAAGTAAAATTATTCAAGATTCAAGTTATATTATACATGTTATGTGCCATTAATGACTGATTTTTCAGTAATTACAATTACATTTCTACTGCATTACTAATGCAGTAAGGGCTATTTATGCATATTTCGACCATTTTTTGGTAATTTACGTGGGTTGTAAGTGCCATTGATAATGTGTAAATTGCTTCCTTTGGGTTATTTCACAATATTATACTTTCAAATATATTTTCAAAATTTTCATGTAAATTGGCATGAATCTGGAGGCATGATGCTTTAAAGTAAGACTCTGAGTTAATGATATAGTATAACACAGAGGCGAGACACTTTAGTGATTAAGTTAGATTTCCTGTAAATAAAGAATTTACCTGAGAGTTGTCCAGCAACTATCAAATGGGTTGCGGCCAATTTCACTGTACTTAGTGATGTCCCTGTATGCTGAGTTGTACAGGATGATAAACATGCCCTATTATAACATATAAACATATAATTTTTTTAATTTTTCATTTGCAAAACAAAAAACAATGACTTTTATTCCAGTATCTTGATGAATATTATACTGACCAAAATATAAATTCTACAATTTTGTCAGCATCTTAGTACATGTAGCTATAAAATATACCTGTTTTAACAATAAAGCATGCTACAACAGTACAGAAAATGTTTTACCCACAGTATTTGGGAAAATAATCTTATCTTGACACACAGTGAATAAGTAATTGCTTTCCAAGAATTTTATGATTAAAATACAGCACAAAATGTGTAAGAAATAGTATAGTCTTGTCATTATGCAACAGAATTTAGGGCTGTCTTGGTAAAGGTACTATATGTCTTGGCAAGTTGGTATATGTCTTGGCAAATATCATGTCTAGTTTAAATAGTGCATGTATCGATTTCATATTTTTGTTATAACCCTTAACCTGCTGAATTCCTTATATAATAGACTTGTCAAGATTCCATTGGAACCATTCATCATTTATTTGGGACTATTAGGATAATAAATAAAGTAAGTCTGTTAACAGTATTGAACTTGGTCAGACTGTACGGATGTGCAGACTGGTCTAGCTCTTTACTAGTGAAAAAGTTAATCATTTTCTGTTTTAGAAGTGTAAAAGAGTTAATACATGTTAGTGGCAGCATGGCAAAGTTATTAACACACATGGCCAAGTGGTTAACACGGCAGACTCATAATCTATAGTAATTGTGGCAGTGTGGGTTCAAACCCCATCAAGCCATTGTTTCTTTCAGCAAGAGACTTTGGTTTATGTAGAATTTATTTAAGTTTGATTGTATAGGAAGCTTTGTGCTTATTAAATCTGTTCCTGAATCCAGCCAGTAATGAGCAATGAGTACTGAGCAACGAGTGTAAATTTTCTTGCCCAAGGGAACAACGGCTCATCCCTGACGGGATTTGAACCCACATGGATAGCAATCCTTGGATTACTAGCCTGATGCATTTACCACTCTCCCAGGCTTCCACGTCACAAGACTTTATACTTATTGCTATGTACTGGTCAGTTCCAGAAACAGATTCAAGAGTCTATAATCGTCTAAGCTTTCTACACAATCTAACTAAAACAAATTCTGTGTACACTAGCATTATTTTTAATTGCACATATAGTTCTTACATAAGATAATCTGCCTTGAATTCTGTGTTATCAGTATCTGTCTCCATCAGAACCTGTACAGCCATATCTACCCTCCCTGTCATTATATAACGACTACTACACACACGTTTTACCCTATAGTCACAACGTCTCTTATTATGTAGGTCAAGTTTGGCAGTTTCGTACACCTATAAAATATTCAAATTTTCATATTATCAACAAAAAAAATCATGGAGATTTACTGAAGTTCAGTAAAAGATAAAAACTTTTGTTCCTGTTAACCGACAAGCACTCTAATCTGTAAACGAAGATCTGAAGTCTCCACAAAGTTATACAAGGAACATCGCAATGCGATGCAACCAGGTTTTCAGCAAAATATTTCACAGAAGCTTTGTCATGAAGGGGCATTTGTTTTTAATTGAACTTTTAGGAGGAATTATGGCTTTTTTAATATTCCTCAAACAAAAATGATTGAGAAATTTTATGTTGTCTATTCGCCTTTTTTTCCCAAATGTTTTAGAAAGGTAAACAGTACTTTATTTTTGCTTAATTTTTGCATTTTTGCGTCTCTTGTCATTTTCTTTTGTCAACAATATTGGCGTGTGGTGTTTTGTGCGATATCAAGAAAAGTATGTTCACAATTTTAAAAAAATACTTGAATGATGTCTTGGAAGAAACATGGGAATTTAGTGAGCGCCAGGGCACTTGATGACAAAGCTTCTGTGAAAGTTTGGTCAAAATCCATTGAGAAATGTAGGAGAAGTTTCGCACTGTAGAAATTGTTCACTATATATTCTGTATAAGGAAAAAATATACAAAGGGCCATAATTCGGTCAAATATTATCCAATCACAAAACCCCGACAATATGTGCCAGGCACTTGAAAACAAAGCTTCTAAGAAAGTTTGGTCAAAATCCGTTGAGAAATGTAGGAGGAGTTGAGCACAGAAGAAATTGTTCTCTATATATTCTGTATAAGGAAAAAATATACAAAGGGCCATAATTCGGTCAAATATTATCCAATCACAAAACCCCGACAATATGTGCCAGGCACTTGATAACAAAGCTTCTAAGAAAGTTTGGTCAAAATCCGTTGAGAAATGTAGGAGGATTTGCGCACAGAAGAAATTGTTCACTATATATTCTATATAAGGAAAAAAAACAAAGGGCCATAATTAGGTCAAATATATACCAATTGCAAAACCCTGGCAATATGTGTCAGGGCACTTGATGACAAAGCTTCTGTGAAAGTTTGGTCAAAATCCGTTGAGAAATGTAGGAGGAGTTGCGCACAGAAGAAATTGTTCACTATATATTCTATATAAGGAAAAAAAACAAAGGGCCATAATTAGGTCAAATATTATCTAATCGCAAAACCCCGACAATATGCGCCAGGGCACTTGATGACGAAGCTTCTGTGAAAGTTTGGTCAAAATCCGTTGAGAAATGTAGGAGGAGTTGCGCACAGAAGAAATTGTTTACGCCCGCCCGCCCGCCCATCCGCCCGCCCGCCGACATACCTCAATCTAATAACCAGTTTTTTCCTTCGGAAAACCTGGTTAAAAACTTTTAGCTGAAATCCATCGTGAATCTCTGGATTTTCATTGGTCAGTGTACATTCTGTGCCAGTTAATCTGACCAATCAAATGTCTGATATCTAAGTTTGAGCTTAAAATTTCTTTATTACCACATTTTTTTTTCAAATTTCAGACAAAGTTTTTTGGAAACATAAATTTGTTTTGTGTTTGTTTAGTTCTTTTTTAAAAATTCAAATAAAAAACTTTCTTAGTTTACTAGTTGTTCTAATGAAACTTTATAATAAATATCAAGTATGATGATATAATGAATGTCAAATTTTAAATAAGAAAGGGGAGATAGTATGTCATACATAACATATAAATGTTGAATAACTTACAATTAAACAATACATGAATTAAGAATACAACAAGCCTTATGTGCCTTTGATTTGTAAACTAATTAAACAATATTAAAGGAATGATCAGAAAATGAGAACATATAATGAATGGAAAATTACTAATTTAATGTTGATAAGTACAATGCATAAGAAAATAAGTTTACTTTATAGTGACTACACTTCATCATTTCTCCTAAACCTGTCACCAGCCCTACATTTGAATGATCTCTCTCCATACTGTTTAACCAACTAATATCCATGTCACCATCTGACCTCTGGTTGTCACTGCAACTACTAATGTCAAGGTCACTAGAAAGGTCAAGGTTGATAAGGTCATTGGTCTCTGGTACTGGCATTAGAAGATTTGAACATATTTCCATCAAATCTAGAGGTTTTCTTATGTCTTTCTGAAATATACATTGAAACAGAATATTGTTACAAAACAAGATACAATGGCATAATTCTTAAGTACAGTACTACTTTCTAATGCTTGGAAAGTATCATATACAAGGGGTTATCCAAAAATTCGTGGACTTTCTTTGTTGCGTAAAATATATCTGAGATATTAATTTGAAATTCTTACACTGCTTAGAAGAATTAATAACAAATAAACACAGAAAATTTCATGTGAGTAGCTTCTAACATTACAACAATATTTAATTTGACATAAACACATGTCGGCGACAGAAAAAGTTATTGATGTCAACGTACAACTTGTGCTTCAACGTTACGCAGTCAATGATGGTTATGGTTCTCAAAGAAATGTCCATCACTAAATTTTTTATGCCACTTTAACACTAATGATCGTGAAATTTTCTTTTCTCTGTTCGTCTGCTGATTTTTATTAAATGTTTTTGTAGGTGTCATTTCCAAATTACAACAAAAATTTATGATTGTTTATGATCGTGCAATTTTCTAATTACCGCGTGTCCTCCATTTTCCCGTTGTAAACAATAAAGGCGTCTGGCGTTTCTAGCCATATCAACAAAAATAAACGGAAATCGGACGTCCATTATTTTAAAGAATTACTTAAATGACATCATAGAAGAAACATGCGATGTTTAGCGGGCTTTTTACGTTAATGTTTTAGTTTTTTAGCAAGAAATATGCGTTGACTTACTGCGCTTTTCTACAGTGCGCCAGGTGCCGTGTATGTGCTTATTTAAAAACAATATTAAATCATTATTTATTGACACACTCAATGATTAACTGTTCCTTTCAAAATGTGTTGATAATATTCTACAATGTATGCTGATAAATTTTCATTACAATACACGTTGACGTTCAAGAGATATTTAAAAAGTCCAGGAATTTTTGGATAACCCCTCGTATTTAAAGCAATAATTATCATTTCGCTCAATAGGTAGAGTGTTGGGCAGTGAATGGGGCGACCCAGTTCTATTCCCGGAGGGTGCTGGTCACTTTCATGGTAAATAATCATGAAATCAATTCTATGGTCATTCGCACTGTAAATTGCTTGACAGCCTGCCCAGGAATAATGCTGTGGCTCAGCTGTGTTCTGATGAATTCAAACTGTCTTACTGCCATGACCCTGATAGTAAACTACCACCACCACTACCACTACCATTTTCTTTTTCAAGTTGTTATTATAACTTAAATTTAATACTTACTACCTCAAAACAAATACCTAATTATCTTACATTTGAAAAATTGTCATCATCAAAAGAATGAAGAATAGGAGCAAAGTCGGCAAAAAATCACCAGAAAAAAATTGTAAGTGATACAACATTCTTAAAATCAGTTTAATTGGAGAAAAATCTTAATGCAGAATCATGTTTATAATAATGTTAATAATTTGAAATGGTACAAGTGGGCTTAGTATAAGAGAAAATATTATAAAGTTTTAAAAGTGGAAATTTTTATGAATTCACTGGAAACTTACGAATGAGAAATGACAGGTTTACTTTAATTTGATTTATTCTATTACAATGGCAATTGAATGATATATTTGTATTATGTGATGTTAACATATAGACAAAAGAAGCTTATTCAAAAGTGGATTTGGGGTTTGATGTCAACAGGTAGAACATACTGAACTTATTTAAAAGTGGATATTGGATTTGATGTTACACAGTAAAGATACAAATGTATAAAGTGACCCATGGAGACTTGATAAAGGATATCTTGTAAACTGGTATGTAGTTGCAAAGGGGTAATCAGAAACTTGGTATGAAAACTGATATAATCAGGTAAATATAGATGTAAGGGATCATTGAGAACTGGTAATGGGACTATATTAATTTAGCATGTAACTGGTGATGGAACTTTATTAATTTAACATGTGAATGGCTGGTTGAAGTTTGGATATGGGATTTGAGGTTAATGGTTAGATACAAAGGGCTATATCTATACCAGTTTTATTTTATCTGCTTTAGCACCCTGACTGGCATATTGTACCATTGTCCAGAATTCCATGTCAAATTTATCTCCAAATAATCTAGTTAAATATTTATACATGTATACATTTCTAAAATATAAACTTTACAAGTTTATAATATCATACTCCATATTCATGTTCCTATATAAAAAGCAGCAAAAAGTGCATCTTTAAAATACAGTTTCAATCCTTATCTACCTATATTCATAAAATGGACTTGTTCCATTTTAAATCTGGAATAATCAATGATTGTTAATATGAGGGGTTATTGTATCAAAATATTCAAAATAAGCAGATATGCGTAGTTTACTGGCCCATTTATAAAAGTTGGAAACTGCAAGGAATTGTCCCTGTTTCAGCTTTCAAAGAACCAAGTTCCATACTATCCTAGGATATTGGATCAATAAAATTTTTTTAGAAAAGATAATAATTCAAATTTTGCAAATATTGTAAAAGTGACTGTTATTGAAAACAAGAACCGGTTGAACCGGGTGATGCTCCCCAAGAAGGTTCTGGACACAGGAAAGTATAAAAAAAATTAACAAAGGGCAAAAACTCCAAAATTAGGCAAGGCGGAGTCATGTTTTTTTTGCACTGCACTTCTATTCAATGAGATCTATCTATCTATAAAGTTTCCTGATGATATCAGAGTTATGTCCCGGGTAAAATTCAAAGTGTAAAAATGAACAAAGGGCAATAACTCCAAAATTAGACCAGGCTTTGTTTAGGTTCTTTAAGCATTGCAGTTCTGTCCAGTTATATCTAGCTACCTACAAAGTTTCATGTTGATATCTCTAATAGTTTTAAAGTTATGTCCCGGACAAAAGTCAAAAAGTAAAAATAAACAAAGGGCACTAACTTCAAAATAAGGCAAGGCAGAGTAATGATTCTTAAGCACTGCGCTTTCACCCAATGAGACCTATCTATCTACAAAGTTTCATGTTGATATCTCTTATAATTTTAGAGTAATCTCCCGGACAAAGTTCAAAGTGTCAAAATGAACAAAGGGCAATAACTCCAAAAGTAGGCAAGACAGTGTTACAGTTCTTGTGCACTGCAAACCTACTTAATAAGATCTATCTACCTACAAAGTTTCATGTTGATACCACTTATAGTTTTAGAGTTATGTCCCAGACAAAGTTCAAAGTGTAAAATAAACAAAGGGGACTTATTCAAAAATTAGGCAAGGCAGAGTTACGTTTCTTGTGCACTGCACACCTACTCAATGAGATCTATCTACCTACAAAGTTTCATGTTGATACCTCTTATACATTAAGAGTTATGTCCCGGACAAAGTTCAAAGTGTAAAATAAACAAAGGGGAATAATTAAAAAAAATAGGCAAGGCAGAGTTACGGTTCTTGTTCACTGCATACCTACTCAATGAGATCTATCTACCTACAAAGTTTCATGTTGATACCTATTATAGTTTCAGAGTTATGTCCCAGGCAAAGTTCAAAGTGTAAAATAAACAAAGGTGGATAATTCAAAAATTAGGCAAGGCAGAGTTACGGTTCTTGTGCACTGCACACCTACTCAATGAGATCTATCTACCTACAAAGTTTCATGTTGTTACCTCTTGTTGTTTCAAAGTTATGTCCCGGACAAGAAAAGGGGACGGACGGACGGAAAGACGGCCGGACAAGGCGGCGACTATATGCTCCCCCGAAATTTTTCGGGGAGCATAAAAATGTACAAAAAAAAGTTCCAAACTCAAATAGCTTGCAGAAACATTCAAAGTAAGTATTTTCGTACAAGTTGTGTTTATTAGCAAGGACATATTCACCTAGCAACCTGGTAACATCTTTCTGCTGTAGAAGTACTTCCATCTTGTATATACTTCAATGTTGCTCTGAAAACATACATATCTCTATTCAAGAAATTTAAAACATCCAACTGCAAACAATAAACGGCTATATATTTTACATGGTCAACTTTGTTTTCTTTTTCCCCTTCAAAGGGGACATATTAATTATTCTATTATGTAAAATGAAGTGTTTCAACACTTTTAATTCAAATCTGGTTAAGAGTTGCACTAAATATTGATTTTGAATTTACACATATCAGTTATTCCAAGCATATTTCTTTTATTTTTATTTTTTTTCATATTTATTCCTTTGGAGTGCCTCAGTTGATCTAAGTAAGATTTTCAAATTTTATCTATTTTAGAATTTTGGACCACAATGTAGCTCCTTTATTATTAACAGATTTACCTGTCAATTTGGCTTAAATGGTGTTCTATAGCATCATTGGTTGGCTGTATGTTACACTGAAGACTGTATTTGAATAAAAATGCTTGTTTAGGCTCCATCAAAGCGGCACTAAATATCCCTGCAGAAAGATGAATATATTTCATAAAACAGGGCTCGAGCTAGTGGGCGATTCGGGCGAAATAGTCGCCGAATTCCGCCTGACTTCGGCGACATCCTACATGAAAGCGAAGATGAAGTCGCCCGATTTTATTGATCCATTATTGAAAATTACCAACAATAACTGTGAATAACATAATGTGTGTGTTTGCTTTGTTTACCCTCGCCGCCGGAAAAAGGGACTGTCATGCATCTCAATCAACGCGAAATGTCATTAATCCGTTTGTTTACCAACATGTCATAAAAGTCTAATTAACAGACACTCGAGGAACAATTAGACTCCGCCCACGGCAAGATTACCGATACGTGTGAGAAACCAATCGTAATTCACGTTTTAATCGAGGCGACATTATTAAACCAATCATTAAATCGCTAACATACAACTACCCGTAACAATTATTTATGATGGACGGATCAAACGTCAATTAAATGTTCACTATCGAATGATTGTCAGAATTAAGAGGACCGCTCGACATATAACTGTAACGGTAATTTTAAATGAAAGTTATGGTACCTTTTTTGTCGACGAGTTAAATTTGATAAAATTGACAGTGTATTACACTGTATTTATTACAAATGAAGTTAAATTAAAGATCGTTTCTTTCGTTATCTACTTTCATTTTCTTTACAACATAAGTAAATATGAATATAATGTCCGGCGCAAGCTTTTTAATAGTAAATCAGAAGGGAATAACTGTTAATCCACCCATGATATGATCCATGATAGGAATCAACTATGGCTTTTTTATCTTCATTTAATGCAATGGTTGCATTACATGATACTCATTCTTATTACTTGTTTCAAACTACTTTTAAATTAAAATTGAATATTCTGTTGTAACACAAATCCAATTCATTTAATAAGATATGTACAGTGAGTCAACATAATTGCGATAACATACAACAAACATGAATCTCCTGACTATCCCTAAAGTCTCCCCACTTCTCCCTAAAGTAGCTGGAGGGAGAAGTGACTTCTCCCTAAATTTTGAACCTAGCTTGAGCCCTGTAAAATATGATACAGATATGGTCAGACTCATTTAAATATGTCACAGTTAGGCAAAAACTTGATGTTTTTTATAATGTGATCATTTTTATTTAATTATCATTTCTTGGTTTTCAATACATTTTTTCTTAATTACTTTTTTGTTGCTGAAATTGTATTAAGGTAAAAGAGTGTCCACACCCACATTTCACTGTCTTAATAAAAAGAATAAGGAAAGTGAAACACACGAAACAAAGTGGGTCAGGTTTCTATAATTTTATTTAAGACCTACGTTTCGGCGGTTCAATAGCCTTCATCACTGTCTTGTCAGTCTATAATTGGACAGGGTGGCATCAAGGGCAAATCTATATGGCCCCCTAGGCTTAAAGAGTATAATCAATTTCACATTCCTTTTAATTTTTTTTTTATTATTACTCTTTTTGGTTGCTAAATTGCATTTAACTAGAAATTTGTCAATAGGGCAAGGATGGTCTGATTTGTCAGAGGAAAGAATATATTATTTGGTACAAACGTGCATTTCAGACCAAATGAAGAAGGTGATATTTTCTAAACTATATCCTTAGCTTTTGAACACTTTTGATAGTCCATTTTTCAAGGTCCTGTTTGATTTTTTTGATAAATTTGAACATGTTTGAAAGGACATCATTCTTATCAATAATTAAAGTATACTGTATTATTTGTTTATTACCTGATAATTTCCATTTAGAAATAGGAGAATTTTTGCTCTTCATAGTCACATTCTTCACATGCACAAAATCATCTGTAAATACAAAATTTTATTTTATTAACCTTCCGCCTGGTAGAGGGACTGCATCTTCCATGCAACAAGTGCAGACCAAGATCAGTCGACACATCCATGCTGTCTGATCATGATCTGAACTGTTTGCTATTCAGTTAGTAGATATTTTGAGTTAATCCCCTAAAATTGGTGAATGGTTTTGACCAGATTGAAAGATGGAAGAGTCCACATTAAGGTAATTAGTGGGGTAAACGTTAAAATTGTAGACAATGTAACTGACAAAGACAAGATTTATTGTATAAGTCAATCAAACATCAAAATTTACTTTATCAAAAAAAATCAAATAATCAAATCAGTACATATACCTTTATTATTCTCTACAGGTGACATTGGAGTTTTACGTGCAATGTCAAGGACATGTAGACAAGATTCTTCTGTTGCCATGACGATACTTTCTGGACCAGCCCAGCACACATGAATTAAATTAGATGGTAACATTGGGCTTGAAGTCAACAACTCTGGCTGAAGATAAAAAAGAAAACAACTATAAACAAACTTCCTATGGAATATCAACATAACATCACTTATTAAGTATAGATGTAGTTTGCCAGGGCCTCCATTGCCAAGTGATTTGTGTCACTTGGCCCTCATCACTGTAGACTTAAAGCCTGACATGGAATATACATTTTTTCATGTGAGGAAGCTATCTGGCTATATGACAGAGTGTCTATGGTAATTTGAAAGAAACCCACCTGATGACTCCATTCCAGGTTAAGGTGAAGGTCAAATGTTTGACATAAACAGTCAGAATGACTTATATAAAACCAAAAAAAAAAAGTCAGATGGATTGTTAGAATTATATAATTATTACCTTTTCATCATCAGCTATTTCCCAGATATCAACACTGTTGGAATATTTCACCAAAAATGTCATATTTTTTTTTCCTGGTGCAAAAAAAATGTCTTCAACTTTACTTCCATGTCTGTCTGAAAACTTCCTGTAAATTACCAACACAGTTATTATCCCAGAATGACCAACATTTCAACATAAAATAGTCAATGTTAAGAGTATTGAAATATGAACAGGTATCTTGAAAAGCAATAGCAAACATTACAAAACAACACAGAGTGCTCAACATTAGCTTCAATTACAAAAATTTTCATGGAAAGTAAACTTAATTAATTGAAACTTGTTTTGTTTCCCAAAATAATTTTCAAGCTAACAACATACAAACATTTATTTAATATTTTCAGTAACAAAGCTTATGTTAATTATGCAATCAAAGCTTTACAGAAAATGCAGATCATTCATTGATTTGCATCATTAAAATCAAAACAAAATTACCTTGCTATTCAGCGTCAATATTTTTGAAAGAGTTCTGAATTCGAAAGCATTGATTGTAATATTTGCCAGATATTCTTGCCATTGGCCAACAATCACAAAGTTTGAAACTATTTTATCATCTAATTCTAGAAAAATGATTCAAAATTTATCAAAATTATTATACTTTGCCTTAAAAAAAAGAGGTAATTAGCATTTTCTCTTAAATTGTGTATTAATCTTTATTTATGTATTTCATCACAAAGAAATATCAAATCAAGATTTATATATTTTGCATTTTATAGAGGAGATAAGTTTTCATTTTGCTATCATTGTATATTAATCTTGAAACGTATCCAATTTTTATTGAGTTTTATATACTTTGCACTTTAAAGAAGATTTACATTTACTCAAAAATAGTCTTCTTCTCTCTCTTTTTGTATTTCATCACACATATAACCTGTCAAGGCCGAAATATTCTGCATCTTAAAGATGAGGAAATGAACTTCTAACTATGGTCGCTTATGTCTTTCATTTTGTATTTTGTTACAAACCCAAAATGTTCCGTTGTAATTTTGGTCATATAACAAACAACTCTCCGCTAAACCAGATTTGATAACATTTTGTGTTTGCATATTGTTGCTATTAACTATGTTTCCTGTCTATATATATATATATATATTTTCACACATATCTTCACTTACGGGGCCTATTTATAAGACCGAGTTGAGTGGCATTATTTCATGCAGTCAGTTATTATATATGCCACTATGTAGGCATATAATGACATTTCCAAACAACAGAACTAAGGGGTACTAAGTTATATATATCAACTATATATTTAATTTTACCATAGGTGAAAACATATTGACCAATAACATAAAACCCCATTAAAAATATATACATTTGTGGGACATATATCATTTACTACTAAAACCGGCCTACGGGCACTATGTTAGAAGGGTAGCCTACGCCCCCATACATCGTTTTAAACATGCCAGAGTTGCGAGGCCTTATGTATGCCCCACATTAAATATAAACCCCACAAGTATGGTCTCAAATAGACCGATGCCCCGTAAATGGAGGAATGTGACTGTATATATATATATCGCAACTCTGGCATGTTTAAAACGATGTATGGGGGCGTAGGCTACCCTTCTAACATAGTGCCCGTAGGCCGGTTTTAGTAGTAAATGATATATGTCCCACAAATGTATATATTTTTAATGGGGTTTTATGTTATTGGTCAATATGTTTTCACCTATGGTAAAATCAAATATATAGTTTATATATATAACTTAGTACCCCTTAGTTCTGTTGCATGGAAATGTTCATTATAGGCCTATATAGTGGCGTATATAAAAACTGACTGCATGAAATAATGCCACTCAACTCGGTCTTATATATGGGCCCCGTAAGTGAAGATATGTGTGAATATATAAAAATATATATATACACATATATATATATATATATATATATATATATATATATATATTATGCAAGAAACGTTGTATAATGTTTAAAGCAATTAAACTGTAATGTATTGTATTGTATAGGTATCTGACAACTTAGGATTGTTTTCTTCAGATGCATTTTACGCCGAATGTATGATATATATATAAACATACAAACAAACAAACAAACAAATATAAAGTGTCAAGTGTTTCTTTGAAGCAGCTATGTGTTCACAGATATATGGTTGTACATTTGTTCAAATATTTATAAACAATGTAAAAACAATTTATACAAAATTATTTGTATTTACAATGTACTTAGTGCAGAAAAATCATTATTGCAGGTGGTGCCAATATGCTGTGTATACCCTTACTGATTACACAACGATTTTGTTATAAATTTTACTAATGATTGATTAGCGATTGTATAACGATGCTTTCAGATTATGCAACAAAAACAATCGATAAAATAACTAACATGTTTGTTACGCGATCGCTAACGCTTTTGTTAGCATGATTTTAACGAAAGCTTCTGGTTACTTACCCTAGGTTGGCGAGTGGTAACAACATTTAGATCTATTACAAATCACTTTTTCATTATAAATATTATTAGTCTCTCTAATTAAACAATTTTAATATATATATAAATTTCAGAATGGTGATTTTTTGTCACAGAAGTATCAATGAATTATTTTTACTATCCTCAAGAAAATAAGAACTGACTAAAGGGAGGTAATTACTTTGCTTCATTGAACTTTGTACTGCAATCTATCAGGAAGAGTTGTCCCACTTTGTCAGCCAGAATTGCAATTTTCTTCTTCCAAGAAATTTTAATAATTTCAGCTTTATGGTTCTGTTTGAATATAAAGCAAATATAAATTTACAAAACAAGAGGGTCTAATAGCCATTTGTCATTTATAAGGAAAAGTGTTATAGATGAAATGAAGAGATTTTAAGAAAGGATTGCCTTATTTTGATGACAAAGATTGAATGACTTTCAAATTTAGCTTCTGTGACCTGTAAAAGTGTTAAGAAACCAGAATTCAAATATTGAAGAAATATCAAAAAAATGAAAATTTATCTCGAAGATAATGTCCAAAAGTTGGGATTTTTTTCCTTAATATTTAGCTCTAATCATAAAATTATATGACAAAAGCAGGCTGAATGGACACTCAGCCATAATGGTTCTTAAGAAGATATATTGTTGTCATAAAAATAAAATAAAAGAATATATATATCAAATGAAAATATTGAGATAAGTCATATATACAGTAACTTTTACATTGCAGGGTTTGATCAAAATAAAATAAAATAAATGAAAAATGTACTAGTATGTATTAAACAGTGAACATCTGTATCTTTTGCTCAATTAGTAGTTACCAATTATATACCATAATACTTCATCATCTGAATACATTTAAAATTAATTTTATCTAAACCACAGATTGAGCCCCTATATATTTGCTATTTGACTTCTTAGTGTAATCTTGACCTACAGGTAAAGGTTGCACACAGAACAATTCATTGCTTGATTTCCGGAATATATACATACCTGTTCCTTAAAGATGATATCATTTTTGAAGCACGTTGCCCCAGACATTATACCATCCTCAAGTTTGAGCCTCATTAAAGGGCTGCCCTCATCAATCTGTCCGCACACAAATAGCTGTTCACTTAAAATACATCTTTCAATTTTTCTTTCCTGTCCATTGGTGTCCTTAATAATTTTTACTTTGTGATAACGACTAACATATGGGTACCATTCCTAAAGGCAGAAAGTAATAATTTTATAAACCTTTACATGTCACATAAAGCCACTCCAGATGATTGCTTCCTGGTCGACCTTACCACAGAATATCATTTTCTAGTGTAAATCAAAACTATGATCTTCCCAGTAGAAGTCTGGTGCTCATTAACCATGCTAAATACCTTATTACCTTATTGACTCCATTAACCCCCCCCCCCCCCTAATTTGTGCCTCCACCACATTTTGTAATTTTGTAGAAGAAAAAAATGTACCTTATAGATTTATAATCCATAATGATAGAGCAATCCAAAAAATCCAAATATTTTTTTTAATAACAATTAATGACACTCCAGTTATCATTAAAAGAAATCCTGTTGTATACTAAAACTTATCGCTTAATTAAATCACTGCAAACTATCGCTTGATAAAATCACTGTTTGTCGTTTGGATGCGCATCATTTTATCACTCCAAATTGGGTGATTTTATCGCTCGATAAAATCACTGTTTGAATTCCGGATGCGAGGAATTATATAGGGCCTAGCTCAAACGATATAATGATGTGCATCCGAACAACAAACAGTGATTTTATCAAGCGATAAAATCACCCAATTTGGAGTGATAAAATGATGCGCATCCAAACGACAAACAGTGATTTTATCAAGCAATAATTTGCAGTGATTTAATTAAGCGATAAAATTGCAAATTCACTATTTGCAAATAAACATGGACTATATTCAATCAAACATCTGACATATTTATCAGAACACGTTCTAAAATAGACAAGCAAACTGTTTATAATATCATTACAAAGGAAGATCTGACTTAAAATGGTGTAAAATTTCAAGCTGAAAAACTCTTTTACATCAAACAAAACCAAGGGTCTGGTAACAACCACTGACCTTAAATGGACAAATTTCAATGCCATTATCAGAATTTACTTTGATTGCGGTCATCTGAAAGAACTGAACATAAAACAAGAGCTGACGGTAGGACAGCAATGCTCGACTATTCTTAGTGCTTGATAGTAAAAGAGCCTTGACAATGTAAAATTTTCAAAGTTAGCAAAAAGGCATTTTTTCAATCATTGTTACAGTTATAGGCCTTGTAGAGAGTCCTATTATGCTCTCAAAGAATAGTATAAAATTTCAACTTGTTTCAAAGCTAGATGTCAATATAATATGAAAATGTCTCAGGTTGTATGCAACTTAAATGAAAATTCTAAGTTTAAAAAGGGCATTATTCTGCCAAATGCTTGATACAGTTACCTCCTCCTGTCTACAGGTTCGGGTCATGATGGTGAACAAGTGTGCAAAGTTTCAAAGCCATATGTCAATGGACTTTGAAAATATTTGAGGTATTACAAAAACTTTAACGTAAATTCTAAGTAAAAAAAGTGGCATAATTCTGACAAAATGCTTGACACAGGTACCTCCTCCTGTCTACAGGTTGGGGTCATGATGGTGAACAAGTGTGCACAGTTTCAAAGCCATATGTCAATGGACTTTGAAAATATTTGAGGTATTACAAAAACTTTAACGTAAATTCTAAGTCGAAAAAGGGGCATAATTCTGTCAAAATGCTTGATACAGTTACCTCCTCCTGTCTACAGGTTGGGGTCATGATGGTGAACAAGTGTGCAAAGTTTCAAAGCCATATGTCAATGGACTTTGAAAATATTTGATGTATTACAAAAACTTTAACATAAGTGATTACGCCGACGCCGACGCTCAGGTGACTGCAATAGCTCTACTTATTCTTATCGAATAGTCGAGTTAAAAAAACAAATGACTTTTAAAGACTGTATTTTCATCTACAGTGTTCATATAATCCACCATACACATTTTCTTGCATATCTGACTGGCATATATAAATATAATGGTATATGGTAGAGTATGCAAAGAAATATATCTGACATATGTTTGCGGTTCCGATCCTAATATCCTTCCGAGGGGACCCACCCATAGGATATTCCGATACAAACCGCAACTTATGACAGATATTATTAATCTTGATATGAACCACGTCATGACAAAACCAACATAGTGCGTTTGCGACCAGCATGGATCCAGACCAGCCTGCATCCGGGCAGTCTGATCAGGATCCATGCTGTTCGCTTACAAACCCTATAACAAGTAGAGAAACTGATAGTGAACAGCATGGATCCTGATCAGACTGCGCTAATGCGCAGGCTGGTCTGGATCCATGCTTGTCGCAAAGCCATTATGTTGGTTTTGTCGTGACACGGCTCATATGTTTTATTTACATACCACGTCAGATGGCCTTATCAGCTCATCAATGACCATCTCTCTGACAAGCTGTCTAGATTTAATGTTCCATAACTCCATTCGACCAAGCTTGAAAACCACAACACAATATATCCTGAAAATAGCATGACTGTATGCTTAATAAGTAACATGTTTATTCTGAAATAGTACTTCTTATTTTCTTAAGGAGGCAAGAAAAGGGATATTTTGTTGAGAAGGAAAATGTAGAATTCATCATCAACATTCCGGCAAAATATTTACATTAAAATAAAACACAAAATTCCAAATAAATTCTTACAAATTATTTTAACAAAGTCCATGTATTACCACCTTTTTTTTCTATTTCAATTACTTTAAACCAATATAAAACTGTTTAACAGTTTAAGGTGGTGATATATTAGACAGGCCATGTTATCCAGTAGTTAAAACTCCAGCCCAGCGGTTCACTTATGTTATCCTTCAACCAACCCTCCACTTCAAAAACAAGGGAAAAACTGCTAATGGTAATTATTGTAATTTGGGTAAAAATCAAAACCCGGGCCTGTACCCTTGTACAAAACCGCTTCCCAGAAAAAAACCCCTTATTTTTGGAAAGGAAATACAAAGTAAAAAATTTAAAATTAAACTTAAAAAAATTTTAAAAGGGCTAAACATTTTTCTGGAGGAAAAAGGGTTTTTATAAAACTGGGTTTGTAAAGTTTTTTTTATAAACTGATGTTTTTATATTTTTATAACGGGTCATTTTTTTTAAGAAAATCCACCAAAAAGGGAAATTTGCTGTATTAAAGAAATTTTTTTAAATATTTCAGACAGGTTTTATTTTGGCCCTTATAAAAGGTTGTTGAAATTTTTATCTGAAATTGTTTCACATTACCTGTCAAAAAATTTTTTTCCAAGTAAATATCGGGTTTTTATAGTGTTTAAAAAAAAATTTTTGTAAACCCATTTTTTAATAAAAAAAAGTACAACTTACAAACTAAATTTCCCTATTCAAGTATCTTACCTTGATGGGGACACTTTCACCATCACAATTTGGCCTTTATCATTCCCTTCAAACAAGGTGTGGACTTTACCTGGAAAAACATTTAAACTGGTTAACATGTCAACTTATCAAAGTACAGTATTTTATTGCAATCATTTTTACATTGAGGAATTCAAATAATTGTTAACAGATTTTCATAGAAAAGGAGTAAATTGGTTAAGTATCCTTCTACTTTTCACTGACTGGAATAAAAATAATTTTTCAAGTTTGATGTAGGTCCAGAGCAATATTTTAAGTTCAAAATTTCAGATCATTTCCTCAATCCATTTCCCACCCAAAAAAAATATTCTTATTGTGAAAATTGACCCATAATTAAACAGTGTTGCAATGCTTTTCATTCAAATCTGGCCAAAAATAGCACAAAATACGATTTTTAATTTGTTTCTGAATATATTTCTTTATTATATTTTGCATATCTTTCTGTTTTAAAAACCAAAGCTGATCTATGTAAGAAATACAAATTTAATTTTTTTTTGACTTTTGGGCTAAATGGATTCCTTTAAAAATTTTTTAAGGGGTTAAAAGGGTTATGTAATTTGGGTTTCTTAACGTAACATAAAAATTTCCAAAAAAAGTTTTTAAGGGAAAACTTTCATAAATTTTTATGTAACAAAAGACCAAAGGATGGCAAGGGCCCTAAAAATTTTAAATTTTTGGGTTTTTTTAAAAGGAATATAAAAATACATTTCCTTTTTTCTGTTTTTTATTTAAAATTTTTTAGTCTGTAAATTTTTGTGAAATGCTTTTTCTATAAAATTTTTAAACTTTTGTGTCAATGGGAAATATGGGCCCCCAAAATTTCACTGTTAAATCGTGTATAAAAACAAAATGACAGGAAAAATTGTGATAGCTTTAAAAAGCATACGGTGGGGCGATAGACACTGGGAAAACTAAATCCCCTTTCCCCCAAATGCCCCTAGCAGGAAAAAAATAAAATTTTTTTCAAATTTTTAAATTTTTCAGCCACTAACCATTGCTTAAAAAAATTATTTTTTGTCATTAGAAAAAAGATGTTTCTAACGAAAAACCTATCGTGAAATAGCAAAACCTGAAATAATGTTTTTAACAGATGGCTTATCACTTTTTACTGCTCTATTTCCATTAGTAGTGGGTTCAGGATAAGTTGAAAGCTATTAGACTGCGTGTGTTGATCCAAATGAAATCCTTCGAACAGGTGGGAATAAACAGCTTGAACTCGTTTCTCCACTTGAACACTGTAACATTAAAAAAGCTTTAAATGGTTCCTATACCCAGATCCTGTATGATAAATTCGTTTTTAAATACAGCCACATAGTTACGGTCACAGGCGATTTTTCCAGCTTTATCTGGTCGGGGGACCTCAGGTGGGCATTCGGGTATATTTTTTCAAGGACGAAAGGGACCATGTTTGACCCACTGACATTCAGTGAGCATACTGGAAAGCTTCCTCACAAGAAAAAAATCAAAATCCATGTCTGTATTCTAACCCACAAGTGATAAATGTTCAAAACATATACGTGACAACATAAATACCAAAAGCAGAGAAAGACAATGTCATATTAGCTGTTGTTTTTTGTGCTTTTTAAGAAATCCATTGCCACACTATATATCTGAAATGGACAAAACTATTCATAATTTTTGGAGAAAGATTCAAAATAAGTACTGACTGAATATTTAACAGTGCGGACCATGATCAGATGGCACTGAAGTGCTGCCGCTCATCTGGTTCTGTACTAGTTGCACGGGTATATTCAATTTCCAACAGTAGGGTTATGGTTAGGTACATGTTAACATATAAAAAGGCATATTTTAAAAAAAATAACAAAATACATTTTTTGTTAAGGTTCCTTGCACATGACACATTCAACTAATTTAAGTTTAAACCTTCTCCCTTGGTGGTTAGATTTTGTTTATCATTCACCCTCAAGAGGGTCTTTCACTCCTTTTACGACAACCAAAATTATGGCAACATGGAATAATACCAATTTACACCTGGCTAAATTAAAGTAATAAAGTGTGAAGTGTAAATTTCTTGCTGAAGGGAAGATTTGAGCCGTGTCACGACAAAACCAACATAATGGGTTTGCGACCAGCATGGATCCAGACCAGCCTGCGCATCCGCGCAGTCTGATCAGGATCCATGCTGTTTGCTTACCAACTCTATTACAAGTAGAGAAACTGATAGCGAACAGCATGGATCCTGATCAGACTGCGCGGATGTGCAGGCTGGTCTGGATCCATGCTGGTCGCAAACCCACTATGTTGGTTTTGTCGTGACGCGGCTCATTTATGTCTTAACATGCACCTCTCATACAGATTCAACCACAGAAACACTTGTGCTTTTATAAAAGCACTATTCTAATTTGCACACCGGTCTCCTGCATTACACCTCATGTAGAACTGGACATCTTAATACAAAAGAGCAAACCATCAGTCATATACATGTACCTTGAACTACCTGTATATACATACCTACAGCCACAAGACTTCCTACTGCCTTCGGATCTCCAACTGCTGGAGCAGTTTCTATGGCAACAACAGGGGAGATAATTCCAGAAATCAGACCTGACATCACCAGCCTAAGAGTAATTTCCCCTTGCAAATAGTTTTTCCTGCCACCAGGTGGTACAATAACGGAACTACCTATCATGTCTGATAAGCTTGATCTTGGCCTGTTGTCAGATAAGTTACCATCCTATAATATGACAAATAGAAAGTACGCGGTTAAAAAAAGACACAATATTTAATATGAATAAACCATACTTTTGCCTGGCGATGTGGCTGAGTGGTTAACAAATCGGAATAGTAATCTAAGAATTGCTAATCTACAAAATTACTTAATGCCAACATATTCATACATTATATTAAGTCATCAGCCTAAAGTTTACAGTGTTATTATAGTAGGTCCAGTTGCCCTATAACAAGTTAGTATAGGGCAAAGTTGACACTTTTTGTAGAAGATCTGAAATTATATACAATGTGCATAGACATTTTTGTTAAACAATCTATTTCTTCTAAAAAATTATCTGTTGAAAATTTACTCAAATCTATCAAAATAGCATAAAATCATCAAGTGATACATCAAAAAATGAAAAATCTTCTCAACAATAACTTACTTCTGGTTTAGAATATTCAGTGGAGAGTACATCAAGAAAGATAACTCTGCTGTCACTCAGTATCAATGCTATTTGCTTTTCACTGATAGGCTGATACACCATGGAGAATACTTTACTGTGACGCAGTAGTCGTAGAGGGTCAGACTGACATACAAGGTCATAGGTCATATCCATAGTAACATCTTTAATTTGAAACTTCTCTGAAATGAAAAGGCTCCTGAATCAAAACATTTAAATAAAAGTTAATGATTTTTTACAATATGTTAAAAAAGAAGAAGCAATTTTGAAGTAAGTGTTCATTTAATCTGTGTGGCAGCCTGGCTGAGTGGTTAATATGTCAGACTAGTTATCTAAGGATCACTTGCCAATTTGGTTCAAACTGCTATCATCTTGGTATCTTAGTTTTCTTTTTTATTGTCAAAAAAGGTGTGTTACTAAGGATTTATCTCATTAGGGTGTATATGGTAATAATCTTATTTGAACATGTTTCACAAAGATTTACCTGAATTATTAGACTGTTTTCTAACTCTCACTGAGACACTACCATTTTCATGCAGACAAAACAACATGTCAGTGTTTCTACATGGTATTACCTATAAAAACACAATCTATGAGTAAATAATCCTAATAATCTTAATAAAAAACAAACAAACATGAGTAATTTTTTTACATTTGCATTAAAGTCACATGTCAAAAGTGCACCGTGTTGCCAGCATGTTGTACATCATCAACCCATACCAAGCTAAATATCTTAAATGGATTAGTCCATCTTTCAATCTGGACTTAACCATTCATCATTTTTAGGGATAATTTCAAACTATGTTCTGACTGAAAAGGGAAAAGTGCAGACGGCACAAACGTGTCGGCTAATCTTGATCTACACTTGTTGCGTAGATTGAAACTATTGTCGTCTGCAGGTTAAGGTTTAAAATGAAATTGTTCGGATGTTAATATCTTATACCTGTGATATTATATAGATTTATTTCATGCTTTCCAGTGTTTTACTATAATATATCAGCTGATTATATTTTGATAAACCACTATAGTATAGTGAAATTTATAAAATATAATTTTCACTGTAGGCGGACTATATCTGAATGCGGAAGAAGTCAATATAATAACGAAATGAAATAACAGGCAAAAAATAATGCTGTCATACGTAAATTTTGCTTCTTTAGGAAAAGACAGTCAATGTTATCATACATCAGGTTAAAAATGTAACAAAATTAGAGACAATTAACAGAACTACATTTTAAAATTGATGATGTGACGTCATGATGTGATGACGTCGTAAAGGAGAATGCGCCACATTAAGGGGCAAACTCAGTATAAAATACTTAAAATCACTTAAAAAGCATGAAAAAAAAGAGAAAATTTATTTGTTTTACATATAAGATTGAAATATATTTCAAACGTGAACACCAGCTACTCTATTTTAAAATATTGCATCTGGTGTCCACTCAGTGAAATATATTTCAATCTTACATGCAAACAAACAAATATCCTCTATGTCATATGTCAGGCAGGTTATAACATTGACATTTTCATGTCTGTTTGTATGGCTTTTAGGCTAATTCTAACATGTGTATTGGCATTTTCTTTGCCTTTGGTCCAGCTCACTGACTTTCCTAAATAATTAACCAATATTAACTAATTTCTCAACCATTAAACAACTGAATTCTGAATCAGTGGTGCTTAAATTTAATGTCCAATATCAATTGTCACAGAAAAATATCAACTCACCTTAGAATGAAACCTGCGACCACTGGGCGCTCTATTGAGCTAAGCAGAACGACAAGTGGATGTCTAAAACATCTCTGCCGTTTGAGACAATTGTGCTGGTTTAATTCAAAATATGAACAATGAGGAATAACTTGATAATATTAAGAGGTGATATGCTTGCAATTAGCTTATAAATGCAAAGTTTTGATGTAATGAACAACCTTGGCAAAGTTTGGTGAAGATCTGTCCAGCCTCATTGTACTGACAGTGAGGTCAACATCTAGGTCAATCACATGTATTTCTGTAGCAAACACACAGAGCACTATATGTCTGTGTGCCGGGTTAAACACAACTTGTTTACAGCTTGTTAATAAATCTTGATCATCTTCATTTATGCTGCTTTGTCTTGAACTAAAATACAAAACAAATTGCGTAACAATATTCATGTTGATGATGCAAAAATCTTGAAATGAATTTTCTGACTTAAATCATTACTTATCTGCCAAATATATCTAGATCTTCTGTACTTTTAAGTAATCATTGCATATCAGGAAAAAAAACCTGACTCATAGAAAGTATTTCAAAGATTATAGAAATATTATTATCCATATCTTTGTATTTCTTACATTTTAAATCATTGTTATCTGTGCTCCATACTTATCACTTAGCCAATGGACAGAAAGCATGCAGGATGAACATGGACAAACTATATGCCCCCATACAAGAGGTAGGGGCATAAAAACCAATATCAAACATAAAAGCACTTGCTTGAAGTGCATGAGTGCATTAAGGGTATAACCTAACCAATTTTCTTCAACTGACACTACAAAGGCTGAAGTATGCCCAAATTTTTCATCTTTTTCTCCTGTCTTTTTGGATTTTAAGTCATACATACACTGTGCCAGTCAAACGTAGACTTTTATGTTTTACAACTGGTGAAAGACCTCAGGTGTCTGTTTATGTATTATTTCAGTAGTACCACTGGCCTTCCATAACATTACCAGTCAGATTCCTGACATGATAAAATCCAAAAACCTTGGCAGGATTCAAACCCACTGCAGTGCGGGGAAAATAATTCAAAGTCAGGGATCTAAACCACACAACCAAAGAGCACCCTTTCCATCCTAGCCAAATAAACATACTTTAATAGCACTAACAAACAGCTGTAGGTTATTTTAAATGGAACAACGTTCATGCAGTTACCTTTTCTTCATTTGTTCTGGTCCAGTGAGCATATTAGTTGCTAGGGAAGCCATCTTAGTTAAAGAACTTGAAGAGTTCCTCGTTAGGCTCCCAGTAGAATATTTTCTTTGGCTGCCTGAAGCTGAAAGCATAGGGTACATACAGTATATGAAGTTACATTGGCAATGCCAAAATATTGGCAAATTTCGAGAATTGACAAAAATCACTAAAATTTCTTCTAGTGTAAATATCAACCAATCTGTCATTTAATTCCACCCTTCTACAATTCGCTACTAATTCCTCACAAGAAATGTTTGAAATTTTAATTTCGCTAACTTTGTGTCACGCGGAAATATCCACTTATACATATTATTCATAGATCTCCTTGCTTAACATAATAATCAAAAACCTCACTATACCCGAGACTGTAGGCTGTGGATCAAGGACACGGACGCATCTGTACCCATCTGTCGGTTCTCTAGTTACATTTATGTCATTCAACACCATTAGGTAAGGACTTTCACACAATACTGGAATACATGTTAATAAATAAATGATGGAACACATGTATATAAATTCATACTGTAGCACATGTATATAAATTCATACTGGAGCACATGTGTATCAATTCATACTGTAGCACATTTGTATAAATTCATGCTGGAGCACATGTATATAAATTCATACTGGAGCACATGTATATAAATTTATACTGGAGCACATGTATATAAATTCATACTGGAGCACATGTTTATAAATTTATACTGGAGCACATGTTTATAAATTTATACTGGAGCACATGTATATAAATTCATACTGGAACACATGTTTATAAATTTATACTGGAGCACATGTTTATAAATTTATACTGGAGCACATGTTTATAAATTTATACTGGAGCACATGTATATAAATTCATACTGGAACACATGTTTATAAATTTATACTGGAGCACATGTATATAAATTCATACTGGAGCATATGTATATAAATTAATACTGGAACACATGTATATAAATTCATACTGTAGCACATGTATATAAATTCATATTGGAGCACATGAATATAAATTCATACTGGAGCACATGTATATAAACTCATACTGGAACACATGTTTATAAATTTATACTGGAGCACATGTTTATAAATTGATACTGGAGCACATGTTTATAAATTTATACTGTAGCACATGTTTATAAATTTATACTGCAGCACATGTTTATAAATTCATACTGTAGCACATGTATATAAATTCATACTGGAGCACATGTATATAAATTCATACTGGAGCACAGATATATAAATTTATACTGGAACACATGTATATAAATTAATACTGGAGCACATGTTTATAAATTGATACTGGAACACATGTATATCAATTTATACTGCAGCACATGTTTATAAATTTATACTGGAGCACATGTATATAAATTTATACTGGAGCACATGTTTATAAATTTATACTGGAGCACATGTATATAAATTCATACTGTAGCATTTGTATATAAATTCATACTGGAGCACATGAATATAAATTCATACTGTAGCATTTGTATATAAATTCATACTGGAGCACATGAATATAAATTCATACTGTAGCACATGTATATAAATTCATACTGGAGCACAGATATATAAATTCATACTGGAGCACAGATATATAAATTCATACTGGAGCACATGTATATAAATTCATACTGGAGCACATGTATATAAATTCATACTGGAGCACATGTATATATAAATTCATACTGGAGCACAGATATATAAATTCATACTGGAGCACAGATATATAAATTCATACTGGAGCACATGTATATAAATTCATTACTGGAGCACATGTATATAAATTCATACTGGAGCACATGTATTAAATTCATACTGGAGCACATATATATATAAATTCATACTGGAGCACATGGAGTATATAAATTCATACTGGAGCACATGATATATAAATTCATACTGGAACACATGTATATAAATTTATCCTGGAGCACATGTATATAAATTTATACTGGAGCACATGTATATAAATTCATACTGGAGCACATGTATATAAATTCATACTGGAGCACATGTATATAAATTCATACTGGAGCACATGTATATAAATTCATACTGGAGCACATGTATATAAATTCATACTGGAGCACAGATATATAAATTCTGTATGATTACAGAGACAGTCTGCTTGACTTATAATTCTCAGTGTTTGTTCAATTCAAAAATTTGACAATGGTTAACAACTGAGTAATATTTCAGGTTTATGAGTTTTTGTAAAGTTAGAGATGTAGATATCTATGTCTCTAGTAAAGTTGAGCTATAAATTATTATTTAATAACTGTAAAATTATGTTTCCATAATTTTATGGTCGATTCAACAAAAAATGTCTCACTCACTTACTTACTAAAAATATGCTGCTATAAAACTTTTATGTAGGATTTATATGGTTAAGCAACAATTTCGTACATGTGCCATTCCTTGTTCAGAAAATAAATAAGCATATTTTTAAACATAGCTTAGCTAACATTTAACTTCACAATAATCTTTACTTTTCAAAATTAATTTGTGAAATTTCTTCAATTTGCAAAATTAGACAAATTAACAATTCCTCTTTACAGTAAGCTTTTAGTAATTAAAACTAAAGACTATTCTATGAACATACAAACTATTCGCTGTATGTCAAATGGATCCAGAGCAAATGTAATCAGCTGTTCCCCTAAATGTTTCTTCCAGAGCCGGACACCAGAAAATGAATCCCATAATTCCAAACAGTCTGGATTTCGTAACACCATCAGAAGGTCATGTGACTCATCATTTCCTGTGTACCATTCTAATCCTGAAATATAATTATAAAATCTGAAAATAGATCTGGCAATGAAACAATTTATCGAGAAAGTATAGAATTTCTTATAAATTTAGAATAAATAGTTATTTCATTATTAACAGCTTTTTTTTTTACACCTCTGCATTGTGGTTTATGTGATAAGTTGATCTATTTGGAGTTATACCATTACAACCATGTATTACATGCAAAATGTAAAAGTGCAGTCTGACTGTTACTTTGACACTTATTAACTGAGTATAATACTGGAGCAAACCTAAAACTGGTTTAGAGGGCTGAGTATCACACAATTCCGCTCGTCGTTGACCAGAAACTACATCCCAGATAATAACATTGCCAGTGCCGTCTGCTGTTGCTAGGTAGAGATTGTAGGTACTTCCTGTTGCAAATGCATGATGGTAATTCTCACCACTCCATCGTACCTGGAACATTCAAGCAATTTGATGTAAAAATTGACATTTATTCCATATTTCTTATTATAAAACTAATTTGCAAAAACATTTGTAAGTTACTTTCTGTTAGCTATTGTTTTGTCTGCCTGACATGAAAAAGGCATTTTATTTTTCTCTATTTTCTTAGTCTGCCTAATTTGTAAAAGACATTTTTCTCTATTATTTAGTTTGCCTAATTTGAAAAAAAACAAAAAACATTTTTCTCTATTATTTAGTCTGCCTAATTTGAAAAAGACATTTTTCACTATTATTTATTATCTGCCTTATTCTCCAGAAAATTGATTAATTGTAAAATATGCGTTATGAAAAATACTTTGACCTTATAGAAAATTAAGAAAATAATCAAGTTTGAAATAAAAGTTTTAATACTGATATAATAAAGTACAGGGCACACATTAGTAATTTTGCATTGCATTTTGTGAATCTGCATAGAAACACTCAATGTCATATACAAATGAAATGTTTCTCCTAAAAAGAAATCATTTGCTTTATGAGAATAGAAGTACCATGCCCTTGCTATAGGGAGAAACAAGAAAATTAGAAACACCAATGAAAACTGTTTAATTTTGCTTTGACAAAGATAAAATACTGCATTACTATCAGAAGAAAGGTAGAAAAATCTATTTTAAGTCTAAGTGACCTTGACCCCGTATCAACCTAAAAAACACTTCCAAGGTTTAATGTCAGTAAAAGATAAACCAACCAGATATTTTGGCATGCTGATGGTAATAGATTTTACCCATGCAACCAGTGCAGACCAAGATAAGACTGAACGCATCTTTGCTGTCGGATAAATTGACCCCCACGACCAGTATGCACTGTTTGCTATTCATTAAGTGCATATCTAACTATATATACTGCAACACCCTCTTTCAGGTATTATGAGCAGGTGTGTGTCTGTGCAAGAGTTTAAAAGAAGAAATGTAAGGAGAATAAAAGTTATACTGTACATGTATTTGTGAGAGTTGAAATAAGATTTCTGTTTATAAGTGACAAAGGAAGGTGTAAACTAGAAATGTGTCCATAGGACACGGATGCCCCCACACGCCACTGTTCTGTCAATCTTATGACTCTAGGTCAAATATTTTTTGGACTACATGTGCCACAAGTTGAAAACTAAAAATCAACAAAGGGCCATAATTCTGTTAAATTTGGTTGCAGCAAAAATTCCTTCCTTTACTACCATCTACACATTAAGGTTGTTCATCCCTGGAAGTTTAAGCAAAATCTTCCATCCGGTTTAAGAGGAGTTGCGTTCACAAAATTTCTACAGAGTATATAGTGAAAAAATCAACAAAGGGCCATAATTCTGTTAAATTTGGTTACAGCAAAAATTCCTTCCTTTACTACCATCTACACATTAAGGTTGTTCATCCCTGGAAGTTTAAGCAAAATCTGCCATCCGGTTTAAGAGGAGTTGCGTTCACAAAATTTCTACATAGTATATAGTGAAAAAATCAACAAAGGGCCATAATTCTGTTAAATTTGGTCGCAGCAAAAATTCCTTCCTTTACTACCATCTACACATTAAGGTTGTTCATCCCTGGAAGTTTAAGCAAAATCTGCCATCAGGTTTAAGAGGAGTTGCGTTCACAAGATTTCGGGACGTACGGACAGACGGACGGACTTACCAAAATTTGATGTTTATGAGGCAAATGAGCTCATAAACACCACCTGGACCAACGTCCATAAGCAAAATAAGCTCATAAAAACAAAAAATAGCTCTTAATTTTAAATTTTATGAGTTTATGTTCTTTATTTAACTACGGAATGAAGCTCATAATAATCAAATGTTGGCTCGGACAGACGTGTGGACGGACAATTGCAACGCTATATGCTCCCACTTTGTGGGGGCATAAAAAGGACAAACTATTTAAACTAAACAGTACCCTACTGAAAAAAAAATTTGGAGAACATACAAATCATTCTTCATATTACTATAAAATCAATTACAATTGTTTATTTTAAAATTTATATTTCTATGAACTGATAAATGCCTCTAAATAAAAAGAAATAATCCTAAATTTTACTCACATGTGTTACATAGCCTGAATGTGGTCCTAAAGTCTGTACTACCTGAAGGGTCACAGGGTCAATCACTACAGCATAACCATAGCAACCATAAGCAACAAAACCTTGGTAACCCCTGAAATGTAAGAAATCAACAGTATTTATTTACAGTATTAATACATTAAATTAATTGGTTAACGTATTTATTATGAGTAAAGATATACAAGTTAAGATATATTGGACTATTTTATGTATAGGCAATAATTGCCCACAGCTACAATACCCCATTAACAACTGCTTGAGACTTTAACAGGCTCAAGGGCCACCTTCTATTTTTTGAACTTTTCGAGACATTAATACAAAAATTGAAAATATTCCAACATTATAGAGCCTGGTCAGACTGCGCAATTATTGGCTAAAAAAAGATACAAGAAATATGATAAAAACTTCACATACCAGTCTGATGCCGTCTTGTTCTCCAGATGTAGGGGTCCTGTTATAACTTTAGGACATGGATTCATTTTATCTTCACAAAAATCCACAGTTATTGTATACCTAACTTAACTCACAAAAACACTATCCCTAAATCTCACATCTTCACTTACAGCAACCCACGGCTATTTTGAAATTACAATTGTATCAAAACTTGCCACAAATCCAATAGAAGTAAATAATTATGTTCATCCAAGATACTTTTTAAATACTTTCTTTCTGGATCAAAATATAAAGACTAGCATCAGTTATACATTGTTAAATCAGCAATTTGTTGTCATTTATTAAGCCACAGTGTATATAACTGGTAACTCCCACTTTATTTAAGACACAAGGATCATTAATACAAGCTGGAGATAACAACTTTATTACTGATTATAATGTAAGGTTTAAACCACTTCTGATAACTACAATACACTATCCTCTCATACTTGATAATTACTTGTGCTCCAAATAAAGAGTTAATTATTAAAGCAGCATGCCTCAGGATTCATGTTAATTTTCATGAAAATTTTGTAAAATGTACATTTGTATTTAAAAGTAAAATATTGTGAAGTGAACAAAGAAAGAAATTTACACATTACAAAAGGCACTAACAATTCATGTAAATTACCAAAAATAGCATTTACATTTGAGTCAAGCAGTAGAAATATGGTGATAAAGTACTGTAAAATCAGCCAATAGTGGCACAGAACATGTAAATCATAACTTGAATATTTTAAGTCTTTAATTTTTCTTAAAATCTCATCTGAGAACACTTCTCAAGTTTGATTTTCTTAAAATGTTTTTGCTCATCGGGAGGCATGCAGCTTTTAAGTGATTTTTTTTTAACTTTTGTATTTATATTTTAATCTTAGATTTATATAAATACCTTTTTATCATGATAGTGATAATACAAACCATAGCTGTAGCCTTGACCTTCATTTTATCAACTATTTGAAATAAAAAAAAAGTCAAAATATGAATACTGCAGGGCTTCAAGTTTTTGGTATAGGGTTAACCAAAAATTACACACAAGTACTTTAATTGGTCAATGAAATATTAACTAAAACTTTATTTCTCTTGTTTCAGATTTATTTGGATTGTATATAAAAAAGAACAAGTCTACAATGTACAGAAAAATTCATATTCGGAGACATTGGACCAATGGGCGTTAAATTTCAAGGAATTACATATTGTATTTCATCATCTAGTAATGTAGATCAATTGTTGACTCAGCACTGAGTGAAAGTCAACAAATGTCTTATTCAGCCATTACAGCAAACTTTTATTGTACTTCATTCATTTTAATACAACACATGTATGTCCAAATATTGTAGTAATGTAATGCTTTAATAGAGGTTGAATAAATGGGACAGAATTTATTCAAAAAGGTCTAAAATATAAGTTAATTAGCAATGAAAATTTTGTCTAAGTTTTGTTTATCAAATTTTAGTTTCAAATAGTCAAGTTAATATTAAGAGAACATCATGGTATGATAGTTTTCAAATGTAATCATATTTGTTGTATGGTTCAATTCAAATATCTGTATTTTTTTTCTCAACACCAAAAATAATCCAACAGCACAATTTTCAAGGCAAACTGTTTCACCTATATTTAATGTGGGTATTCATTTCATAGATTGAAAATATGTCAGTGAGGCAACATATTGAATAACTAGAAATGTGTCCATAGGACACAGGTGCCCCCACAAAACAATCTTATGACTCTAGGTCAAATATTTTTTGGACTACATGTGCCACAAGTTAAAAATTAAAAATCTTTTACTAAGTAAAGGGCAAGAACTTTACAAATACTGAATAAATCCACAAGCAAACCCCAAGGTGCATAAGTACACATGCTGACCAACATTCTTGTAAATTTTCAGACCTACAAGTCAAATACTTTTTAAGCTATACATGAACAAGTTGAAAATTGCAAATTTATACTACTGAAAGTCAAGGGCAATAACTCTAACAAAACTGAAAAAAATCCTCGTGCAAAGTCCCAGGTGCATAGCTTCACAGTGATGTTGATCATTATTCCTGTAATTTAGTGATGTTGATCATTTTATTCCTGTAAAGTTGGTTGATTCTAACTCAAGCACTCAAGGAACAAATAACACAACATAATGAAACGGTTTTTACTAAGTCAAGGGAAATAACTCTACAAATACTGGATAAATCCACAAGCAAAACCCAAGTTGCACACCTACATATGCTGAGCAACCTTCCCGTAAGGTTTAATGACTCTATGCCAAAACATTTTCTAAGTCAAGGGCAATTACTCTAAAAATACTAAATAAATCCAGATGAAAATACCCAGGTGCACAACTACACATGCAGATCAACATTCCTGTAAAGTTTCATGACTGTAGGTCAAATCCTTTTTGAGTTACATGTGAAACAAGTTGAAAATTGCAAATTTTTACTAAGTCAAGGGCAATAACTCTAAAAATACTAAATAAATCCAGACGAAAATACCCAGGTGCACAACTACACATGCTGTTCAACATTCCTGTAAAGTTTCATGACTCTAGGTCAAATACTTTTTGAGTTACATGCGACACAAGTTGAAAATTGCAAATTTTTACTAAGTCAAGGGCAATAACTCTAAAAATACTGAATAAATCCAGGCAAAAATGCCCAGGTGCACAACTGCACATGCTGATCAACATTCCTGTTAAGTTTCATGACTCTAGGTCAAATACTTTTTGAGTTACGTGCAACACAAGAGAACGGACGGACGGACGTACTCACAAAATGGTACTTATGTGACTTTTCCTTTGATCTTTTTGGCCATTTTTAGTCACACAAGGCTTAAAAAAACACACAAGTAAAAACGGAATGAATAGGATCAAAGAGAATTTACTGTTACCCATTGTTCTCCAAGTCACACAAGTACCTCTGGGTTCGTACGGATGGATGGACAGACAGACGGACAAGGGTAAATCTAAATGCCCGCCACTAAAGTGGGGGCACAAAAACGATAGGATTATTTTATACATATATTTCGTATTTAAAAGGGTTTATGATAAATAAAATATTGTAATATATATAATTCGCTTTTGTTATTTATATATAAAAAACCTGTTAATAAGTTTGTTAGAAAAGGCCAAGAGAAATTTAGCTTGGAAATAATTATAGGTTATCATAATTTGAATTTTTTTTACAGGGAGCAAATTAATGAGAGAATATTTTATGCCATGACCAAGGTCTATGGTTTAATGTTCAAACGTAGTACATTTTCATGTCTTGTTCATACTTTGTATTGCACATGGTAAGAAGTGATAAAAGGGAAAGATAATGAAAAAATAAAACATACTAATTTTGCATTATAAAAATAATTTATTGCACAATTTGTATTATACATGTAGTTCACACAATAAAATCACATGTAAATGGCTTGCAATCAACATATGCAAAGGACAATGGTTACAATTGCAACAAACATTTCATTAAAAACAACCATAAATACTCCTAATTAGTAGAAGATCAAATTTTAGCTCTTTTATCAAAGAAAGCAATTGAGCAGTACAAAATGTACTGTATATAAAACAAGGGTGATCAGTGATCACATGTGTCGCCTCATGAAAATTATGAAAATTATGACATGTTACATGGCTGTGTATAAATTGCTATTTTACTATATAACTATACTTAAGCGTATAACATGTCCAAATTTTAATAACTAATAATGTATGTCTTAACATCAATAACACAATAAACTTTTGGGCAGAATACTGTGAAATTATGTATCATATTACAATAAATGCAAATCTGAAAATATTATCAAGTTCTCGGGAGAACGTTAAAATCTCTAAACATACTGACGTGTGAAATAATTTAACTTCTACAAATGATTAAATTAATTGAATGTATTCAAATACAAGAAGTTTGTAGCCTACTACACCAAAACAATGTTTTTTTTAATTCTGCAAAGTTAAATGAAATGTCCCGAATGTATTGTATGACATTGTTCCACGTATGTTTCAAACAAGACATTGAACTGAAAGAAGACTTTGGCTGGACTACCTCTAATCTTGGTGTAAACCATCAGCTTAAACCATCAATCTGTTTCTGAATAGTTTCCAACTGAAATGAAAAATAGATACCCATGTTAACACTAAAATTTATTTTGTTAAAAAGTCTTTTTTAGTTTTCCGTCACAGCAGTACTGTAAACTATATAAGGTGACAGCAGCTTCACTCGTGAAAAAGAAGGCTTCAGAAACCCCATCCATGCATTATCTCCAGCACATCAGTGGATCCACAGACCTACTAGATGCTGAGCTGTCTAGCATGACAGAATCAAAGTACCTAGTGGGATTTAAACCCACAGCAGCGAGAGGCAAGTGGTTAGAAAAGATGTTACCATAACTACTCATACAAAGGAACATACTGTCAGTTACCAAATAGATGGTTTCATGTTTTGGCACCAGCAAATAATTCTTTCTACCACACTGACAAGACTTTCAACAATTGATGGGTTTGCATCCGCGCGGTCTGATCAGGATCCATGCTGTTCGCTGTCAGTTTCTCCACTTTAATAGAGTTGGTAAGCGAACAGCATGGATCCTGATCAGACTGTGCGGATGCGCAGGCTGGTCTGGATCCATGCTGGTCGCAAACCCACTATGTTGGTTTTGTCGTGACGCAGCTCATTTTTTTTTTAAATTCTACATTGTGATGTAAATACAGACTTTACTTATTCTTTAAAATAATACCTGATTGTAAAATTGGTATAATTCATCATGAGTGAACTCCATTCGTATTTTTTCTTTATCTTCCTGCCCTTCACGATGGACACCAAGTTCAAACATAGCATTTGGTAATTTCTGCTTAGTTTCCGTTGATTGGGCCATTTGTAAATTTAATCTCCAATTTATATCTGTAAACTGTAATTGATAACAAATCTCATATTTTTAGATGAAATCAATTTAAAACCTTTAATTGAACAAAAATAAAGTCCCTTTATAAATGTCCTTTTACAAATGGATAACTTTTATCCTAAAGCACAAGTTTATTCTTCCTTTTAAATTTAATACTCCCTTGAAAATTTCTTCAGATTCTAGTATTATATTTTTGAAAAATAATTGGGTCTTCAAATGAAATACTGATTATCGATGATACCAAAGATATGTAAATATCTTTACATGTTTTCAGAGTAAAAACTTCAATTTTTTAAAAGACTTTGATATTTAATGATACCTTTATAAAATCAAACTGTTGATGGGGGACAGTAGTGGATTATCTTCCCTTGATAAAAACCGAGGTTAACCAAAATGTAAGTAGGTCCAAATATTTGGAATCCTTTGCTTTTATCGTTGAGTTTTATATAAGACAGGTTGATATGTCTTAATCAATTATTTACACATGCATCAACAAATATGTAAACCTTAAGGAAATCAAAGTGCTGCAGCACTGAATGCGACGGACATGCAACCGGAGAGACATTAATTAAGGCTTCTTTTAGAAAAAACAAAACAAAACAAAAACAAAACACAAAATATATAACTGAGAAAATTTGTTCCATACAAGTTCGATATTTGTAGAGCAATATATTTTGTGTCCTAAATTGATATAATTCAGATTTTCTACTTTCAAGCACTTAAATACAGAATGAAATTTATGCCTAAAAACTCTGGTCAAACTTGTAAATCAGTGTCCTTATCGATTTATTCTAAGAAATGATATGTAAATAGAAAAAAAAACTATCAACGAAATATTTCTAGAATAAATCCAGGCAAATAAACTTCAAACAAAATACATTATACATTTGAGAATGCTATTTAGAATTGCTTCGTGTTATATCATAGTGGGCATACAGACAATAAAATATAAGTCATTTGTATTTTTATTTCTCTTGGATATGTCTCATTAAAAAAAAATGGTTAAAATCATCAGCAATTAATAGTGTATTTCTTAGATTTTTTTTATTTACAAGGTAAAGATGTAGAGGCCAGAGCACATCGTTTTTATTTTAATTTAAATGTCACTTTTAAAAGCACTACAGTGTTTAGTTGTCCTTTTCAACTTCACACTAAATTCCATTTTCAACTTGTTTGCTTCTTACAATTGTATAGCATTTCTAAAAGTATTGCATTACAATCCGCTGGTTTATTAATTACATGTTTAATGTGTACTTCCTAATCGCCTGTCCAAAAATCAGAACAGGTGAAGCAGAATCTATTTTTAGAATAGCGAAGGTTAACTCATATCATGACCTTGTAAAATATGTAAACAAACCACAAGAATCGGAAGTAGAACTGATATTATAACTTCCTTACCATGAAAGACTACATGGCGGTAAAGTGTCTTACATGCATTTTCAAAAATAGATATTTATACTAGCCATTGTACTGTGTCTAATATATTAATAACTGCTGAATATTCAGCTAAACCCGCGGTATGAGTCACGAAAATAGTTCTTCTTTTATTAATGCGCGAGTTATCCTAGAGTCACGAAAAACTTTTGATTTGTTAATAATAATGTTTTGTATAATGTAGAAATATTTATTTCCTACTAATAATGTCTTGGAACTCAGAGGTTACACCTTTATTGAAGTATAATTTGCTGTCCTACTTTTTCGACAGCGGTAAATCGTTTCAGCAGTCATTTGCATATTGCGCAATAATACTACGGGACTACAACGTTTTTATCAATAATATACGTTCATATTTTAACTTGGATAACTTAATTTGAAATTGAAAAGGCTAAATATGGAAGACATTAAGATATCCAGATAAAGTATGGGAGTTTTGAAGGATCAAATTCATGTACTATTTCTTGGGCTGTTAATTGGTTTAGGACACATTGCGCGAGTGTAGCCAACGAAATCCCATGTGTAGATGACTTAGCTCTGAACGCGCCTGAGGGCGCGTCCGTCGCAAAAATGATTAATTTATGTCAACAGATTCTACATCTTATCGCAATATCTAATCTGAATATTACAAATGATCATAATTAGCCCTAATTAATTCAGTTTGCTACAAAGAAATAGGCGATAAAGTCCGAGTAATCCAATAGCTTAGGGCCTATCTATTTATAGGGAGTACTCAGGGGAGGTTATTCACTACTGTCCCTCATTAGTCCTACTTTATGATTTTATGACATTAATGATATCAAAACTATTAGAAAGACTTGCTTGATTTGGCATTAGAGTCCTTTGTCTTAGATTCTGTATAACTTCCCGTCCATTCGTTGTCCACGATTCAACAATGGCATCAACCTGTTTGTATAAAAAGAATGTTTGTATATTACTGCAAATGTTCTTGATTACTAATAAAAAAGGGTTCAGCTTATAACAATTAGTATACTTAGACCTTTTGGAGTTACTTCCTTTGGACTATTTGGTTATTTTTGTGGTTAACAAATAGTTATGCGGATTGAGTGACTTTTCTTGAACAGTTTAGTAATTGTATTTAAGATATCATGCCCTTGTATGGATGTTGTAAGCCACATTTATAGCCTGTCATGTGAGTCACAAGCATTGAGCCTGAAACTACTTACTGTTTGGTCAACCTAGTAAAGTCACTAGCTAAATCTAAATCTGGCTCCAAACTTTTACACTGTTTTTTTTTACATGCAAGTCATAAAGCACCATTACACAGTGGTGTATAAAGTCTCATCCATAAAGTTGGAGAACCAGGGGCTTAAACTAATGACTTGGGAATTTGTAGTCAGAGTGTTAAATAGACTAATATATTATTTGATAGTAAGTGAAAAATATCAAAAACCTTTTCTTGATCCATTCCTAGTTGAGACAATTGTTGAGAGAGTGCTGCTGGCTTGGCAATGTGGTAAGCTGACTGAAATAATATACCAAAAAAGTTACTTTTTCATTACATTGATGCATATAATAACAATTTGAGTGCAGATAGCCTAAAAATATAAAATTTGTATTTCTTATATAAATCAACTATGTAATTACAAATTAATGTATTTGATGATTTTGTATTTTATGTAATTAAACATTTAAATAATCTATGAACTATAGTAAATTTATATCAATTTATGTAGTTTATATTTATGTAATATTTAAGAATTTATGTAAATAATGTATCAGAAAACAGCTGTTAATTGACTCATTGTCCTTCTACAATCTTACAAGATAACTTCCTCACATGAGACAGAGGTGTGGTGCAATTGAGTAGAATTTGAAGTCAGAATGTGACCTACACTTTTGAGCTGTAATTTTAAAGGGTATTTTGAGGTATTTTGACATGACTGAAAATATTTTTTCCAGGTAAATGTTCCGTTTGATGTAGGTTTTCACCACTAATCATTGTGCAAAATTTCAGATCATACGCGCACTTCGTTTTTCCAGAATAATTATTCAAATTGTAAAACAAGATCAATCAGTAATCACATGTGTCGCCTCATGATGGCCAATTTCATGTTGGGACAAATTTTTATGACAGACAGACGGACAGTGCACAACTAGACTTGGTACTGATCAGTCCTGTAAAGTTTGGATAAAATTGCACCAGTAGTTTATGAGGAGTAGTCCGGACAAGCTTTTGTGTATCTGGCAACACACAGAAAAAAACACCTTTTTATCAAAGGGCCATAACTCGGCCAAAAATCATTCAACCGGAAAACCTTTGCAATATGCGCAAGGACTTGAGCTACAGATCAATCCTGTAAAGTTTCATTGAAATTGCATTAGTGGTATAAGAGAAGTAGTCCGGACAAACTTTAAAAATAACAATTTTTTAAGGGCCATAACTCTGTCAAGAATCATTGAACCGGAAAATGCTGACAATATGCACAACTAGACTTGGTACTGATCATTCCTGTAAAGTTTGGATGAAATTGCACCAGTAGTTTATGAGGAGTAGTCCGGACAAGTTTTGTGACGGACGGACAGACGGACAGACAGAAGACGGAGAAGTGATCCCTATATGTCGCCACTACTCTGTAGAGGCGACACAAAAATGACCCAAATTGAAAAGCGTTTAAACCCTTTTCACTCAAATCGGGCTAAGAATATCATTAAAATATGATTTTCAATTTATTTCATAGTAAATTTCTTAACTATCTTTGCATATATTTCTGTTTAAAGTGCCCCAGCTAATTTTTGGAAGAAATTCAAATGTTATGTTTTTAGGCTTTGAAACCTCAGTGGAGTCCCTTTAAATGAAGATGTTGTACATGACACATTGTCCTAATGTGCTACACATTTATACAAAATTATTTTAAAATCCATATATAAATGTAAAAGCTATATTGTCTGGACAAAGTTTGAACGGAAGCATGGAAATCCAGCCACAATGGAATAAGGGGACATTTCTTTTGTTATTTTCTCTTTTGTTTAATAGAGGGCCAATGGCCCCTTATTCTATAATTATCTTATGAACTCCAATCTATTGTTCTTGTTTGCTCTGTTTACAATTAGATGGCCCCCCTATCCCTATTCATTCGTGCGAACAGATGGATGCTACAAAAACTTTACTTATTCCCATTTTTAGAGGGGGCTGGTGGGCATGATAAACAGATTCACATGACATCTTGTAAATTCTGTATACAAGGATGTATTTCAAGTCTGGAAAGACTGTTGTATGAAAAACTCCAATGTCTGTAGCAGTAATTCAAGATCTGGTTCTGACATACCAAGCGTGCCTTGCAACTTCTCTTCCTCATCTTCGGAAAATGTTCTCTCATCCTAAAAATGATAAATTAACTATTTTTTTACAAGAACATAAGACTATACTGTTAAAAAAACAAGAGTAACTTCCATCATCAATTCATTATGATGGCATGAAAAAAGTATGAACACAATTTTTCAAAAATGATTGTCACTGTCTATAAAATAATTATTACTTGCATGAGGATAAACTGTGTTTGCTGTTTCATTAAACAAGTTAATTACAATCTAACAATAGTTTCAAAGTGTTCAAAACACAATCAATTTTTTTCTAGTTTTTCATCAGACATGTGAACTTTTTTAGATGATCAAGTGGGGGGGGGGGGGGGGGGTCCTCCAAAAGAGGGAGCTTTTAGAATTTGCAATGAACAAAGAAGGAAGTTCTGGCATCAAAAATAGGGAAATTCCTTTAATTTGTGAAAATACACCTTATCTTAAGAAAAATCTTTGAAAATATGGCTGTAGAAAGTGGAAATCTCCCGCTAAAAGTGAAAGTTCACATGTATGGTTTTTCATAAAGTACATATGTATATGTGTGTCCACTAATGTTTGTTTAATAAATTCTAAAAGAAGATTTTTTTAAGTTTTTGTATAACACATATAAGGAAAAGGAATGACCCCCGGGGCGGGGCCTATTTTGACCCCAGGGCTTTTATTTGAACAAACTTGGTAGACACTCACTAGAACATGTTTCATGCTTAGTATCTAAACTCTAGCTATTTGGTTTTTTTCAAAGAAGATTTTTTAAGTTTTTGCAATACACATACACATGTATAAAGAAAATCAATGACCCCCGGGACGGGGCCAATTTTGACCCCAGGGTTCTTATTTGAACAAACTTGGTAGACATCCATTAGAACATGTTTCATGCTAAATATCTTAGCTCTAGCTCTTTGGGTTCTTTAAAAGAAGATTTTTTAAAGTTTTTACTATATGCATATAGGGAAAATCAATGACCCCCTGGGGCGGGGCCAATTTTGACCCCAGGGCTTTTATTTGAACAAACTTGGTAGACATCCATTAGAACATGTTTCATGCCAAATATCTAAGCTCTAGCTCTTTGGGTTTTTTAGAAGAAGATTTTTTAAGTTTTTATTATATGCATATAGGGAAAATCAATGACCCCCTGGGGCGGGGCCAATTTTGACCCCAGGGCTTTTATTTGAACAAACTTTGTAGACACCCATTAGAAGATGTTTCATGCTAAATATCTTAGCTCTAGCTAGAGGTGTCATCGATAAGGATTTTTGTATCTATATATCGGTAATGAATTATCGACGATACAGCGATAAATTATATGACTGCCAGGCTAAATTTTAGCTTTCAAGTCTTTTTAAATGTTTCCTAAGGACACTGACAAAGCAGTTATATTTAGACAAATGCAAAAAAGATAAACTATGAAAACTGAACAATTTGTTTCTTTTTTTATCATACAGCTATAAATGAAAACTATTGAGTTTAAAGCCTTTTCCAATTTTTACTTTAGTTGTTGCTGTTGCTATTACGTAGTTACTGATAATGCTAAATCCCCTCCTTGCCGTTCCAATTAAGCCGGGTTAAATTGGAAAATTATAGTGTTTAGAACTTGAATAATTATTAAAGTTTAACATCTTGTAATCATAATTTTTACAAAGAAACACTGACAAATTTTTCTTGACATTTTCCCTTTTTAAAATCTGAAATTGAGGGGTCTTGACATCCACTTAGCAGATGTGCGAGATTACAACGAAATTAGGCAGCATTTGTTAGAGACACTGGGAGGTAACTTTGGCATTGATTTCCATTTTCATTTTAGAAAAAAATGTTTTTGCTTCCATAACTGTGTATGTCGCTTTTATTTTGACCTTTTGCGACAGTAAACAGGTCTATCAGTTCTATAAAACCTGTTTGCAGAAGTCTCTTTAGCTAGAAATATATGTGCATTCGATATCCGATATTTAAACAAGAGCTGTCGGTAGGACAGCACGCTCGACTATTCTTAGTGCTTGATAGTAAAAGAGCCTTGATAATTTTAAATTTTTTAAGTTCACAAAAGGGCTAATTTTTTTTTATAAATTCATGTTATAGGCCTTAGAGAGAGTCTAATTATACAGTATTGGCTTGACTATTCGGAAGGTAATGTCACAAGGGTGTTTTATTGAGTATAATAATACTAATTACCTATGAATACATAAATTTGACAGAAAAGGTACAAAGGCTTGTTATTAAGATGTTTTATCAAGTAAATCACTGCTTTATTATTATGAATGCATAAAATTGTCCCAAAAAAGGCACAAACCCTTCAGTAGTTATTGAGATAACAGCTTACAAGCAAAACTTTACCATGAATTTCTAAGTTGAAAAAGAGGAGAAAAATCAGCCTGAATGCAAGATAGAATTATGGATCTTTGTCAGTGACCTACAATTATGACCCTAAATGCATATGTGAAGTTTTAAATAAATATCTTTAATAGTTATTGAGATATGTAAAACTTGCATGTAAACATTAACCAAGAGACTAAGTAGAAAAGGGGATATGAATCAGCCTTAATGCAAGATAGAGTTATGGAACTTGGTCAGTGACATACAATTATGACCCTCCAATTATGACCCTAAGTGCATGTGTAAAGTTTCAAGTAAATATCTTTGAAGACCTTTAACCTTTAACCAAAATTTCTAAGTTTCAAAGGGGCAAATAATTCTGCAAATATTGCAGGCAGAGTTATGCAATTTTGCAAACTGATGTACATTGTTACTATAAAAAAGTATTTTAAATTTCAATTGAAAATCTCAAGCAATAATTGAGATATTTGACTTTAGAAAAAAACTTTAACCAAAATTTCTAAGTTCCAAAGGGGCATAATTCTGTCAATATTGTAGGCAGAGTTATCCAACTTGTCAATCTGATGAACCTTGTTACTATAAATAAGTATTGTAAGTTTCAATTGAATATCTCAAGCAATAATTGAGATATTTGACTTTACAAAAAACTTAAACCAAAATTTCTAAGTTCCAAAGGGGCATAATTCTGTCAATATTGTAGGCAGAGTTATCCAACTTGTCAATCTGATGAACCTTGTTACTATAAATAAGTATTGTAAGTTTCAATTGAATATCTCAAGCAATAATTGAGATATTTGACTTTACAAAAAACTTAAACCAAAATTTCTAAGTTAAAAAGGGGCATAATTCTGTCAATATTGTAGGCAGAGTTATCCAACTTGTCAATCTGATGTACCTTGTTACTATAAATAAGTATTGTAAGTTTCAATTGAATATCTCAAGTAATAATTGAGATATTTGACTTTACAAAAAACTTTAACCAAAATTTCTAAGTTAAAAAGGGGCATAATTCTGTCAATATTGTAGGCAGAGTTATCCAACTTGTCAATCTGATGTACCTTGTTACTATAAATAAGTATTGTAAGTTTCAATTGAATATCTCAAGTAATAATTGAGATATTTGACTTTACAAAAAACTTTAACCAACGCAGACGCCGACGCGGACGCTGACGCCGGGGCGACTACAATAGCTCTCATATTCTTCGAATAGTCGAGCTAAAAATGGAATCAATATCGAAATCGGATAACAAAGATCGTCGATACACCAATATCGATTGAATCGATGACACCCCTAGCTCTAGCTCTTTGGGTTCTTAAAAAGAAGACTTTTTTAAGTTTTTACTATATGCAAATAGGGAAAATCAATGACTCCCTGAGGTGGGGCCAATTTTGACCCCAGGGCTTTTATTTGAACAAACTTGGTAGACACTCACTAGAAGATGTTTCATGCCAAATATCTAAGCTCTAGCTCTTTGGGTTTTTTAGAAGAAGATGTTTAAAGTTTTTTCTTTTGGTTGCCATGGCAACCACAGTTCTGCTTGGAATGGAATTCTTTGAACAACTTTGTTAAGGGTTCACACAAGGAACATCCGTGTGAAGTTTCATTATGATCTGCCTTATGGTTTCAGAGGAGATGTTGTTTTAAAAGTGTGAACGGACGACAGACGACGGACGAAGAGTGATCCTAATAGCTCACCCTGAGCATATGCTCAGGTGAGCTAAAAACCAGAACATTGAGAAAAAAAACGGTGAAAAGCAAAAAACAATTGTATAACTTTTAAATACAGTACGTAGATGAATATCGAACATAAAAGCACAATCAATTAAATGTAAGCCTATCCAGGGAATAGAATTTTAGAATGCTATTTCACGGAACATGCAAACCTTCCTCAATCACAATGATAAACAAACTTCGATCTACTGTCCGTAAATGACGCAATTACCAGAGACCAACAACAATTATTTTCGTTGCTTTTTTCCATTTATAAAGGTGTTGAAAATTAAACTTACTGAAACAAAACAGGATTATTATGACAATTTTGTAAACTATTTCAATTGACGTTATTCAATTGCAACCAAAATGCTCTTTTTTTCTCACCATCTGGAGTAGCTAAAGAGACTTCAGCGAACATGTTTTATAGTACTGCTAGACCTGTTCGCTGAAGCCAATCCCGTATTGAAAGTCAACCAGAAGCATGACATATTTATGCCATGCTGTAATTCAATAAATTTTCGTGATCTACACAAAAACTATTTTTATACAGGTAGTTAGATATATTTGGGACTCTTCAGTCTATATTTTTGAACACAGAACGCAGGGTTTCTATTGACGCACATTTCCTGCGTCCTTGACGCAAAAATAGTAACCTAGGACCCTCAATTACTCGAAGTGTGCGTCCATGGGGACGCAAATTAAATTTTCCTCCGTAAATATCATTTGGAAATTCCTTCCGCTTCTTTAAAGGAAATGACGTAATTTGGTAGACGGGTTCTAATATTGAATACAGCAGAGTTATCTTTCTTTCAATTAATTACAGTTTAATACGGAATAAAACGGCGCACACTAGAATTTAGTCGACCTTAAAAAAGCGTCCCAGTCTATGCGTTTTTTGTTATAAAATAAATCGTAAAACATGTCGGCTGCTCCCCCAATTTTAATGAAAAGTGGCTAAGTTAACTTACTTAACTTAACTTACCCGTGGCTCGTCCAAAACGTGACGAATACGGATATGAAATGCAGCCATTGCGTCTCAACCAAAAAATGTAATCCATTTGCCTCGGAAAATGGATGTTTGAACTTCCAAAATAGTAGATACATTTGTCCGTCATCAAGACGTATATGCAGTTAAACAATTGATAAAATTAGTCGGACCAGATGTGAAACATCTTGACTTTATGCAAGTTGCACAAACATTCAGCCAAATGAAAGAAATGAAAAAATAAAAAGTAACAATAAATAACAAGCAATTATCATAGTATTGCAAGCAATCCATAAGTCCCCTACCGGTTAGAACCCCATCAACATTCTGAAGGGCCATTGGCCATTTACACTAATGTTTCAATTTTTCTCTATTTTAAGTAAATTTGTTGGAAAAGTTCTTTAAAAGTGATCACAGGAAACAGTTTTTTATGAACAGACAGACAGACGGACTGAAGGACAATCTAAAGTTAATATTTAAAATAGGAAGAACAGATAAGACATGCATAATCTCAAGACTGATATCTACCCATATGTCAAGTTTCATAAAAATATTTCCAGTACTTTTTGAGTTATCACTGGATTCAGTTTATGTGTAAAATTTGCCATATTTTCAGTCTATGTGTTGCCATAGCAACCAGAATTTTCAACATAGGAAGAAAAGAAAAAGACGTGCATAATCTCAAGACTGCCATCTACCCATATGTCAAGTTTCATAAAAATATTTCCAGTACTTTTTGCGTTATCACTGGATCCAGTTTATGTGTAAAATTTGCCATATTTTCAGCCTATTTGTTGCCATAGCAACCAGAATTTTCAACATAGGAAGAAAAGAAAAAGACATGCATAATCTCAAGACTACCATCTACCCATATGTCAAGTTTCATAAAAATATTTCCAGTACTTTATGCGTTATCACTGGATCCAGTTTATGTGTAAAATTTGCCATATTTTCAGCCTATTTGTTGCCATAGCAACCAGAATTTTCAACATAAGAAGAAAAGAAAAAGACGTGCATAATCTCCATACTGCCATCTATCCATATACCAAGTTTCATAAAAACATTTTCAGTACTTTTCAAGTTATCGCGGGATCCAGTTTTGTGGACTGACGGACTGACAGAAGGACGGACAGAAGGACGGACGGTAAACCTAAAGTCCCCTCCGGTAAACCGGTAGGGGACTAATAATTGTGTATAAAACTGTGTATATATAAATGAAATTAACACAGTCACTTAATCATAACCGGAAAAGTTTTGCCAAGAAATTACAATATCTACATATTTCCAGTCTGAAAATCTTTGTGATATTTTATCTTAATATATTCTAGCACATGCAGTGGTACTCAGAGCACAAACATGCATTAATTAATGCATCAAAGCACTTGACCATAATTATGCAATAATGGTATATCTTTAAATATGCATTATTCAGGGCACCATGTCAATATGTCTGACTGCCGTATGACTTAATGATTCTAGTCACTTTGTAATCAAAACAAAATTGTCAAATACAGTCGACATTGTATTAAGAGACCACTCAAGGGACTGCCAAAAAGTGGTCTCTTAATAAAGTGGTCTCTCAATAGAATTCTGGAAAATTCAAGACTTTTTTATGTTACAAGTCATAGATATAATAACATCTTTATATAAAAACAAAAACTATACAATTTTATATATTTATTACAGTTTCATAATTACATATATGCCTTTCGTTTAAAAAAGTCATCAATATGTGTTTGTTTTTTAAAAAAGAAATTTTAGGAAATTTGTGTACAAATATGATCTCGCTCATAATACTATTAACAGGTCATTTTGACCTTGAAACAAAGCATATTGTCATATATTATTAATATGTTCATACACATCTCCTGCTAAACATACTTTCAAATCATCAGCCAGACCTTTAGATAATTTTTCATTCAATATGTTGTAAACTTCTTGTTTTTGTCAGCAATTTAGTTTTCACACTACCCCGATTACAAAACATTAAAGATTTTGAGATCTTTCATTATTTTTTTTGTCAAAGGAACATATTTAATGGGGTACTACATGTATTTTATAAAGCATCAGATGAGCACCTATACACCATCAGCAATGAAAGGCTCGGTTCTGTAATGTTTAGTCCACTACGTTTCACGATTTTATTTCGACTACAAACGATGGTATTTGCTATTTACTCAGACTCAATTCCATGCGCGATTTCCTCATTCAATTTATCCGGTATAATTAGTTGTCTGTCATTTTTTCGCTCGTTTCGACGTCATTTTCGATTTGATTTTCTGGAAGGGAGGTCACTTTGTGCACATGACAAAACTGTGCCAATGCGGTGTTGTGATAAGTTATTGCTCTGACAAAATATGTCACAATAAATATTACTTTTGGAAAACTATTTCTTTCTTTCCAATTTTGAAACGATTGCAATTGTTATTCAATTCGTTTTTAAACGACAATTATTTGTGACGGTCTAATTGACGGCCGTTTAATAGATACTTTAAGACCAATGACCATGAAAAATATTTGTTTGTTCAAAACCTACTCGCTAATTACACAGGTGAGAATGTCCGTAGTGACGATTGTTTGTCACGGCCGTTTAATAGATACTTTAACACTGAATTTTGTACATGTGGGCCGACATTTAGTGGCCGCTGGCCGCGATATAAAATCGTCGTTTAATGGAATTAACTTATATAGTAAAAATCATCGGGAGGGATTTTATGCGGCCGCTTAATAAAAAAGTCGCTCAATAAAGGTGGACGCAAGTACGATGCCGACTGTAACTAATTATTTCTGTGTTAAAAACTGGTCTATCTATATGAAAAACAAACAAACAAATGACAAACATGAAATTATCAAATGAAATGTATACTTTTATGCAAGAATAGCACTTATGCACATTTTTTGTGCATTAACATCTGCAGAAACACTGAATTCCCAAGTTTTAAATACATCAACGTGCCTCTGCAGATGTTAATGCATGAAAAATGGTGCATTGACCATCTATTATACTAGTATATTAAAGAGTTATTCAACCTTTGATATAAACTGAGTCTTGTATTTAACATGAATATATGTGGCACTGATGGGTATTCTGAAACAATAAATAAAGGCACTATCATGAAAGAGTGTGACAGATGGAAAGTTTGAAGGACAATTGGGCACTAATGTGCTCTCAAAAGAATTTTTACAGGTGGCATAAAAAGGTAGAACAGACAGATTCAAACGCAATACCAACCTCTCCATTAACATTACTGGACACAGTTTTAATCACAGAAACTTTAGCAGTGTTGTTTGCTAGTTTTTTGTTGAGTGCATCTTCCACAGGTGAGGTAAATTCACAATCACACTGTATACCCACACATTCATCAGGCACTAGAGTCCAGGTAACATTGTATTTCCATATAGGACATTCACTGTAGCCTGCAAACACACAAGGCGAAGAGCAATGTGAATCAAAATGCACACAACATGATAATATGTAAAAACATTTTAATATAAGAAAATATGCCTTGTGCAATAAACTAACCTTATATGAGAATAGTTAATTTAATGCATGTTACTATTCAATTTAAATGCATAAAATTTCACTCAAAATAAATCCTTACAAAAATCAATCAGTTGAATGAATAAATCATTCACATATTATTCAAAATATTTAGGATATCTTTAATTATATCAATTTCTTTAAAAATTATCAAGTGACTTTCTTTTAAGACAACATAATCCTTTACATTAATGTTTTTCTTTCATCGTGAACTCGAAGGCTCCTCAACTGACAGTTATGGATAAAAGGGATTAAATACAAAATATGATTTACAAAGAAATGAGCAGTAGTATAAACCTATTTCATAAAGTAGACCTACAAACAGACAGCATAGAAGTGTAGACTGGTCTTGCCTATATTGGTGGAATTGGCAGTTACCAATGGTAAAAGTTAGAAATATTACTAGAAGATACATTGTGTAACAATTACCATCGAGGACACAGTCTGGTATAAAGTCTGATGGAGTCCAAGTTCCATTTCCTGTACATGTATATTGATCAACTTGTTGTTGTAAAAACACTGAGTTATCTTTACATGTTGCTACGCACATCTCCGTCAGTCCATGCTGTTTACATGCCAGTTGGACACTTGGTGGTACATGAAGCCTAGGACATCCAGTCTCCACTGATGTTAACAAACAAGAATAACAAGCGATTATCTAAGTATTGCAAGCAATACAAAAGTCCCCTACAGGTTAGAACCCCTCAAGAAGTTTGTTGGCAACATCCAGAAGGGCCACAGCCTTTCAATCATGCCATTGTAAAAGCCATGAATTAATTTTTTTGAATTCTGAGGTAAATCTTCTGGGTTTGTCTGTATTATTGTACACATAATGTGTTAAGTTTCCCTGCCTAATATGGAAATCATGTATAGAACAACAGAAAATCAAAGCATCAGAATTTTCTCCGGATCACTATTTACAGTAAACTTCACCTATAGCGAACACGGTTATAGCGAACTTCCGGTTATAAGGAACAATTTATTTGGCCCGAATTTTGCCCTTCTTTATTTAATACAAGCAATTATCATAGTATTGCAAGCAATCCATAAGTCCCCTACCGGTAGGAGCCCAAGCAACATTCTGAAGGGCCATTGGCCATTCACTTAGGTTCCTATTTTAAGTAAATTTGTTGAAAAAGTTCTTTAAAAGTGATCACAGGAAACAGTTTTTATGTACAGACAGACGGACTGAAGGACACTTTAAAGTTATTTTTTAAACATCCCTGTTATCAAAATATAACATTTTTAAAGTCCTATCATTATTGAAGAAGTTGGAGTAAAAAGTTACCAATTTCTCAAAAAAAAGTCTAAGTTCAAAAGGGGCATAATTCTGGAAATAGTCTTGCTAGAGTATTGAACACTCACAAATGTTGAGTGATAATAAGAAACATTTATATGAAGTTTGAAGTAGATACATTCAGAAAAGAAGTTATTAAAAAAAACAATGTTTTTTTCATGAAAATTTTTAAGTTCAAGGGAGGTAATTCTGATAAATTTTGTGCTAGAGTTGTAAACCTTGTCACATATGATGTGGTTGATGACAAGCAACTTATATTTAAAGTTTGAAGAAAATACCTTAAGAAATAAAGAACTTATAGTGAAAAAACTTAAAAACTAGAATCAGAAATCTTGAAATTCAGTCTATTTGTTGCCATAGCAACCAGAATTTTCAACATAGGAAGATAAAAAAGGATGTGCATAATTTCCATACTGCCATCTACCCATATGTCAAGTTTCATAAACATATTTTCAGTACTTTTTGTGTTATCACTGGATCCAGGTTATGTGTAAAATTTGCCATATTTTCGGTCTATTTGTTGCCATAGCAACCAGAATTTTCAACATAGGAAGAAAAGAAAAAAACGTGCATAATCTCCATACTGCCATCTATCCATATATCAAGTTTCATAAAAATATTTTCAGTACTTTTTGCGTTATCGCGGGATCCAGGTTATGTGTAAAATTTGCCATATTTTCAGTCTATTTGTTGCCATAGCAACCTGAATTTTCAAGATAGGAAGAAAAGAAAAAGACGTGCATAATCTCCATACTGCCATCTATCCATATATCAAGTTTCATTAAAATATTTTCAGTAGTTTTTGCGTTATTGCGGGATCCAGTTTTGTGGACGGACGGACTGACGGACGGACAGACGGACGGACTGACGGACAGACAGACGGACGGAGGGTAAACCTAAAGTCCCCTCCGGTAAACCGGTAGGGGACTAATAAATGGTTTATATTTTTTTATTTTAATTATCGATAACAAGGTCAATAAAAATGCATATGTAGTTTGACAATGTATATAAATGTAAAGAATTAAACCTAGACAATATATATAAGTGATACCTTACTTTAAAGTAATAAATGATTAGGACCCTCATATTTTTCTCTGGGACCCTCATATTTTATGAGCACGAGTCCCTGGGACTCTTAAATAAAAATTCCTAGTAGAAACCCTGAGAACGTTAGATTGATGAAATTATGCCTCAAAGTTTATCAGTGGGTTCACATTTCATAAAATTCGTTGCCATTGCTGCCCTTATTATCACGTGACTTAGCGAGAATTTAGGTTCAGATACCTTTGCATGACATTTGGTGACCCGTGACCCAAAAAGCTATTTTTAATTGAAAACATGGCTCTGCAATAATAACGGTGTATTAATTCAATAACAGACATTGTACCAAAAACATGTTATTTTTTTTGAGTAGACATATTTTTTTGAGTGATGATTCATGACTTATTTGTTTGTTTTTATTTAAAATTATAGACCCTTTCATTTAAGATCGTATTCAAGTTGTCGCCCTTGGATGACGTCATTGGGGGATACGGTGGACAATGCCGATACGATTAGGTACAATAATAGAGGGATATAATCTTAATCCTTTCTCTTTTAAGATTGGCAGATTGAAATTGCCAAAATTTTGTGTAATTGAATAAGATATTACATAAAAAGGAAGGTGAAATGAATAAATATGTTTACTATATAATATGGTTAACGATTTGGTTTAATAGTAGACCATATTCCTGGGTAACTGATCATGATTACCATTTTAGTAAGATTCTTAAAAATGAAAATTTTACCAGACAGTTAAATCGTACTAACTTGCTAATACCAGAGATATAGATAATGTATCTATGTCTCTGCTAATATACAATACCCAAAAGATATTTTGAGTTTCAAAAATCTAAGGATTCGATCTGTTGTTGCGTAATAATTAATTGCAAGATACTGGTTTATTAAAAATCATTTTGATTTTAGCATTACTAAGACAAAGAAAAGAAAACAATATAAATCTATGTAATTTCAAAAAAAAAAATGTAAAGGCATAAAAAGTAAAAATTCTTTTGAATGTACTCGTACATGACTGTATACTACATGACTGTATACTATTTGTATCTGCAAAAATGCACTCTCAAAAAATCTTACATCACATCACGGATTTATAATATAAATCCGTGATCACACTAATATATTTAAGCTGGTAAAGTAATATTTTCAACTTGATACTTTTTAATTATACTCTGCTTATCAAATATTTATAAAATCACACAAAAAAACAACAAAAACAAGTTGTGAAACACGTTCACAGAAATTCGTTATTAACTGAATTATAATTTTACGTATTTTTGACTGTGCCAGTTGGTAGGACTCTGGATCGAGTATCAAATCAGTAAGGCATGACCAATAAAGTCCCTAGGATGATCCATAATAAAATTCGGACCATAAATATTTTGACAACTAACAAAAGTGACGTAATCTGATGTAATGTTATATCTCTAAAAAAATGCACCCTGGTGATTTATGATATCACAGCCAAGTGCCGCTTGTATATATAACATATGCACCCTGTTAATTAATATGTTACGGCCCAGTGGCGCTTACATATACACATCTATTTATATATGAAATAAGTTACAGGGAAAAGGTCTTTAAAGAATAGATTATTAATATTATCGTTTGTTGCGAATCTAAAATTATAAAAAGCAATGCCATATGGTTTTCGCTCTTTCCGGAATATTTATAAAATTATATCCTTCACTGGTTCTTTGAAATATTTTGTATACGGCATAATGAAAAAGAATCAGTAAGTATTGACATAATGCATTCTGTTATTGTTCTATTAAAGCTTGAAAAACAATCATTAAAAGACATTGGCAATCTTATTTTCAGGTTTGTCACAAATACGCCGGAATTTTCTAAATGACAGAAAATAACACAGAAAACTAGAAAATGGCCATTTAAATTTATAATAGGCAATTTCAGTGTGTATGGGTGTTTATAAAATATTAAAATTTGATTTAGTTACTAGCTTTTTATCCTGGCATTTGAGAAAATCTAGATCTAATAAATATATTCACTTTGAAATTTCGCTGTTTCACTCCGTAGCGACACGGATTTATAAATCCGTGGTAGCGAGAATTAATCTCAATCTTTGCTTTTGTATTTTTTTCTATTGTCTTGATATTGAATTTATGTATGCATGCGTAAATTTTTACATGTTATAATCATAATTGAACGATCAGTATTTACGCATTTAACTTTTCAATAAGCTAACTTTCTATGCGGCATGCATAGTTTTATCCCCCATTTACGTCACATCCGGTAAGGGAAGTAACTCTTCACTGACTGTTATCGCTTAAATGAAAGGGTCTATACACTTACTAAAAAAAGTGTATGGTTTGTTACTAAAAATAGATGCTAGAAATCCCAAAACTTGAAGTCCAGCGAGATTTCACTTGAAAGCAGACTCCAAATTGGTAAACCTTCTCTACATATTTCCCTATTAAATAGTTGGGTACACAATGTCATTGAAGTTTCATTTAAAAACAAAACATGAATTGATTCAAAATTGATTTTTTTATCAAATGGTATTTTTATTTGAGCCTAATTTGATAAATAAGGGTGATTTTAATAGGTTTTTATGTATACCTGCACACGGACTGTGAAAATTCTGGTGGCCTTTGCAAATTGGGTTGATCCATAACTTTACTGTTGCACAACTTCAAAATAAAAGCGACTTATAAAGTTATGGAAGAACTCCATCTGTAGATGACAAAGATCGATATCATTTGTAGTTTCTTCACTGTAGCCAACATCTTTAGAAGTATAGTAAAACTACAATGGTAAATGGGAACTTACAAAGTAGTACACAATGGATGTGATCAGATAAATCTTCAAAGCTTCTGATGCGTCCGCTCTGCAGGAAGACCAGATTAGAAGAGGCAGGAACACTGCGATGTCACTCGCGCATCACTTCCGGTTCAGGTCAGCCACCACTATTGGGATTGACGGGCAGCTACTACACTACACTCCTCCCCTTCCTATTTTTGAAGTCTGGCCATCCGATCAGACTGTGAGAATCTGACCCTGCACTCAACTCATGAGGCTACAGACCTATTTCCTGGTTTCAAACCAGTACTGGCACGGTACCTGAACCTTTTGGTACAATGCCTAAGAGTGACCGATTTTAATCGATCACCCCAGCCTCCGAAGAGACTTAAACGGGCTCCCCCTCCGAAGACACTGAGAGCGCTGGGGGATGTCTCTCAATGTACAGCCTTCTAGCATTGGCGGAGGCCACTCGGAGGAGTTCACTCCAAGTTTCGGTTCGTGCCTTTGCTATCTTGGCCGCCACCCACCCAATCATATATGGTGTGGATACTTTACAACGGGGGGGATTAAAGTAGGGGGCATCGGTTTCCAATAGCAACCGAGACTGTTCAACCAGGCGTATGGTCTCCAAGTATTCACCTGACCCACAGGATATGGCTGTAAAACCTACATAAGTGTTAGGAAAAGTACCTATCCACTTTTGCAAGATCGCTGGTGACCCCGTAAAGCAGTGCAAATGAATCAGCTGCTCCCGGTTAACTGAGGGATGTGCCGTAAGCAAATGAAGCATAGATAGAATTGCTTCATCCGCCAATTTTGAAATACTACGGCAATGGAGTACCAGAACATGTTCGGGCAAGAGATAATTGAGGATTCTCTCTACCGTCAGCATCTGGTCAGCCCACTTCTCAGGATCCTCAGTACGATCCAAGCCAATTTCCCCGAGACCTGCTACCTCTAGGGGATAATTGCTGTTTCTTGGTTAAAATCCTCGCTTAAAGTCATAAAATATCAAATGCATTTTTGACTTTGATATAATTTCAAAAAGTGCCATACAGCTAGCCAATACAGTGCGTTCTGGCTAGTTGTACGTGACTCACGTACGACTAGAAGTTTTGGCTAGACGTACGGGCACGTACGGCTATCCACTTCCTTCAAAAATTAAAGTAAAAAGGTCATAAAATATAAACTTTCCTTCACAGCATTTTATGCCTCGGTTTTTTAGTTTATTCTTGTGTGCAATGACAAAAAAATGATATGGCACCATGTCGGCGATGGACAGTGATTATCTAAATAATGAAGACATAATATTTTTTATCCGAAAAATCTTATCCGAGCAATACGTAAGATTTTCGTCATTTATCAAAATTTCCTCAAAATAGAGCCTTGTGAAGGCCTACAATGACTTATTTCATTTATAATATTCTCATCAAAGTTAGTTTACAATATAAAGAAATGTTTAAATCGTCTTAGAACAAATACTAAGTCTTAGAAACCTGGTGGTGGAAAGTAAACATTAGCGCCATTTTGACCGGTGTACCAATCGTAACAACTCGGCAATCTCCGTCAAGTTCGGAGAGCGAATTCTTGAAGTCGCCTGCCGGTGTAGCTACATGTCAATATCACGAGTCATTTCGGTACCATGACGTTTCGGTCCTAAATAACCAAAGACAGTTCGGTCCCGGACGTTTCAGCACTGTACCAAATAGATTCCATTTTCAGTTCAGAATAAGTCTTAATCACCTTTACGTGGTTTAAACCAGAAATGTGATAGTATTTCAATAAATGAATGAACAAATGAATGAATGAAAGAATTAATTGATAAATTAAGCTAATTACGATTTTGCAAATAATGAGGCTAAATACATGTAGTAGGAAAACAGCAATCAAAACAAGCAGAATAGAACATATAAACTTTTTTTCAAAAAATATATTATAAAAACAGGCATTTATTACCAACAACTTTAAAAAAAAATATATTTTATAATAATTAAAAACCAAGACACAAATCAATACATGAAACAGACATTCTTTATCAACAACTATTTAACAGTAGTTTGTTCGTTTATTTAAGTCTCTTTAGATTCTCACATTTACAAACATAGTACATAAAATTCATATACATTTAAAATACATGTAAGACCAATCAACTGAGATTTATAAGAGTTTATAAGAGACATATATATGTAACTATTATCACGTGTAATACATGTATAATTATATAATATGACTATTTACGTATAAATAAAAATATAAAAACTAGAATACTCTTCTTAATCTGATTTATTTTTTAAATTGCTATAAAAAATTATGTTGCTTGCACAACTATTTTGTAAAACAAAAGCTAATTATAGAAAACTGGCAACTTGAAGCAGGCCTGAATTTTTCTTGAAGTTTTGTGCATATGTACTGGGATATACGATAACTTATCGTATGTCCCAGATATGTACGACAGAGTTAATATTGCGTTATCATTTTCCCCCTAAAATCATCAAAGTATGCTAGTAACGTAATTTTAGTAGGTAAAATATGAGCTGTGTCTACCCACAAAACTTAATGAAAATCATTAAATATTCTAAAGATGTGAGTCATTTTGGCCCTCGGTGCATGATTTATCTTTACGATTTGCTCAGCATCTTTACAGGCAAAGTCACCAATATATGTAAGAGAAGAATCTTTTCCAAAAATCATTTCCCATTAACTGGTGGGTCTTTGTTACGACAATAACCTTGGTCTCGGCTATTTTGCTTAATGGCTGTGGAAAGATTTTTGGCAAAGGAATACTTGAGGAATACTTCTGAGATGACCTTACAAAAGCTCTTCTTCAACAATGTGGTCAGCTGAGCTAAAAAATTTAGCAATGAATACTGCTTTTATAAATCTAAAGAAAGGACAAACCAAATTGATCGATGTTTTATATGACCATTTGTCTGTATACCTACCTAAAAAGATATTCTAGTTGAAACCTTAACTATATGGTTTGTACAAAATACCATATTCATACAGTACAACTGTTAATAATTTAGTTACACTATTTTGATTTAATAAATCTAACTTATTTCCCGATAAAATTGAATAAATAAATAAATAAATAAATAAATAAATAAATAAATAAATAAATAAATAAATAAATAAATAAATAAATAAATAAATAAAATAAAATAAAATAAAATAAAATAAAATAAAATAAAATAAAATAAAATAAAATAAAATAAAATAAAATAAAATAAAATAAATAAATAAATAAATAAATAAATAAATAAATTTTAAGATATGCATGAATAATTCAACCGATAAACATTAACACATACACAGATGGCCGGGGAGACCGGCCAAAGGATGCCTTTTAATTATATATATACCATTCATTTTATCATTTTATATAACTGTTCTTAGAACCACTTTCCCAATGTTATCCGGTGTCAAATTTTTACAGTAGCATTTTCTTCTTTTTTAAAAAACATTTATTTCTTTCTATTCTAAACAATCATGTTTTGTGGTATCTGTCTCTTCTATCAAGAATGGAACGAATTAAGGGTGTCCGTTGTTAGATCGAAGGATGTCTCAGCAACGCGTTTATAACAGCTACTATCCGTTTTGGCTATAAAATGTGTCTAAGAATCAAGTTTAATCCAATATACGTTGCGCAATCAACCTCTTTAAACTGTCAACATAGCTACTTGTCTATGAACTGAAATCATTGCAGGTATCTCTTGGTTATCACTTACGATTAAAGTGACAATAAAAGCTAGTCAGACAAGAGGGCTCTTCAAACGAAATCTTCATTCATGAAGCTTTACTAGAAAGTAAGTCAACTTCACAAGCCATCAGCAATACAACGTACAGACAATTAATGCATAAAGATTGTCCTAATTAATCAAGCTAATCATCTTTTACTTTCATCAAATGCCATCTAGCTATAGATAGTATTGCTTGTAAATCTACATGTTCATTGAGTAGTGGACACACAATATTCTCAAGAATGCATGCAGTCAGCGCTGATACTGTCCTTTAGAATAATTATTGTAGTCTGATGCTTAGCCTTTTTAAGGTGTTAGAATGACATTAAGCTCATATCTTTATAGTCAATTTGTGTTGAATTGACTTTATATTTCAAAAAAATGGCTTGTAATATGGTGTTGACCAACAGTTGCTAGAGGAAATGTTTAGAACAAAATTCAAATCTGCCAATATCATAAAAAGACTGCCTCGATCACCCTTTTCCTTTTAACAGAACGTTACAGGTTTATTCTAAGAATTATTTACAGAAAATTCGTTTGAATCCGTCCGTTATCTATTGTCTAGGCGAAGAAAATTATTAACTTAAAAGGAATTATAGCAAAATGAAAAGTTATTTTGACTTTCATCGTTCACACACTATATACCCTTGCATCTATGGAAGGTCATAATGTTACTTTAGGTTTTGCACCTAATTATATCACATTGCTACAATTGTAAGTCGTCTTGAACACGCTTAATTGCACCATTTTTTTCTTACATCCACACACGGCCATTACATATATGTGAGCCATACTCTCGAAAAAGGTTCAGTTCTAAGAAGTTTGTTTTGCTGCATATAGTAACGTGAAGTACAGGCATTAAACTTTTACTTTATATGTTAAATCGGTATATATTTTCATTATTGATATATGGTCTATTATATTGCAGGATAAACGTTCATACATTTGTATTAAGACATTCGCACGCTTGTGCACACTGGCACCCGTATTTTATGGTAATTTTCAAATTTTAGTGGTCTAACACCCTTGCAAGTTTAACTTTTAGTCTTCAATACTTGAACACGGATGGGCGCGAATACCTGATGTAAGTATTTATATATTCTGTCATAATTAAAAAGAAAAAGATGGCTTGGTGTCAGAATAGCGAGCAGAAAACCTATTACACAGTATGATGCTGAAAGAATATCAGGGGGTCATAGGTTATATGGATGGAATTACACGACAATTTGCTCGTGCACAACATGGCGGCCACTTCAGAGTGTGGAGCTCAAAACACCTTTAAATCCAAATAGAATGTACATTTGTCAATCCCAGCACATGTATGTATCATAAATATACATTTATATATCATTGTCATTTGAAACTTAATATAAGTGGTTTTGAAAAGAATTCTTATTTCAACCGCAGGTGGCAGAATCTGTGTTTGGACACCACACCCCTATCTGCCCCTGGAACCCTTCTACAACCCTGGAAAAAAAATCATCACTCTACGGCGTATTATAAGGTACCAAATACGAAACCAGAGATAAAATTATGAAACAAATCTTTTTCCACTATCAAAATTAGGTAATAGGACATTTCGGACCATGGACATTTCGGACCAGACACTTCGGACCAGATTTTGGGACACTTCGGACGATATTTCGGGACATTTCGGACCAGATTTTTGGACATTTCGGACCATGTGTTGGAAATTAGCCATCAATTAATCAATAAACTAAAGAGTAGCTTTAGTATATATTAGACACCATGGAAACGATTGAAAACGATTCTACACCTATCCCGATTTAGATTTTATATATTTTGCAATATAAATGAAGAAAATTAAGGAAAAAAACAACAACAAAAACAATACAAGCAATGTTTTGGTGACACACGTTTGCAAACAATTTATTATAAAGTATATACAAAAAGACATGACAAAATATAACTTTTTTCAGTTTGTAAGCTAAAGTTACGAAAATGAAATAAATTTTAACACTGTGTTATATTGCAGCATGGACATCAAATTTTTGACAAATAATTAATCCATTTGTTTGTTATTTATTGTTGATTTAAACTGTACTTTAATCGCATTCCAATCAAACCAATCAATTTAAATATTTGTTGTCAAATTAGGTAAAAATTACAATACATACTTCATTAATTGAGTGAAAGGTGACACAAACGAGTTCTATTCAGCAATTTAAACGTGTGAAAAACTGCACTGACAAGGATGTCGTTGTTCTTTATTACCTGCCAGAACACAATTTAACTTCGTAAACATTTACTCTAAATGTATATAAATCAATTTCAAAACACTCTGAAATAACAAATAATCATATATTAAAAGGGAATAAATGGTCTGTTGAAAAAAAAGTTCTGGTCCGAAGTGTCCCCTTCATGGTCCGAAATGACCATATCATGGTCCGAAATGACCATCTCATGGTCCGATATGTCCCAAAATCTGGTCCGAAATGACCAAAAAATCTGGTCCAAAGTGTCTGGTCCGAAACGTCCGTGGTCCGAAATGTCCGTAATTCCAAAATTATCGTTAATTATAGCACAGGAGATTGACATTCTATCAATAATTGAAAAATATAAGCAAATAATTAAAAAAATAATTGCAAATATACCCCTCTATACTATAAATAAACACAAGGAATACAATGCCTTTTGCACACTCGATACACATTTTATCTAATTACAATGGAAAATCAATGTCAACAAACTAGTTTAGCAATTTCGACAGTGTTCGATACACAATACAAAATTAGTCCTTTTACAACGGCTGATATTTT